CAATAAAATACCCGTAGCAGACGTAGCTATACCTAGGGTGGACCATGAGAGTGTGTATGTATACCTATAGACCAATGTTTTGGTGTAGCAAGCGTAGTTGGCGTAGTCAACACACTATTATGTGGTTATTTGCAATAAAATACCCGTAGCAGACGTAGCTGTACCTAGGGTGGACCATGCCAGTGTGTATGTATACCTATAGACCAATGTTTTGGTGTAGCAAGCGTAGTTGGCGTAGTCAACATACTATCATGTGGTTATTTTCAATAAAATACCCGTAGCAGACGTAGCTATACCTAGGGTGGACCATGACAGTGTGTATGTATACCTATAGACCACTGATTTGGTGTAGCAAGCGTAGTTGGCGTAGTCAACATACTATCATGTGGTTATTTGCAATAAAATACCCGTAGCAGACGTAGCTATACCTAGGTTGGACCATGACAGTGTGTATGTATACCTAGAGACCAATGTTTTGGTGTAGCAAGCGTAGTTGGCGTAGTCAACATACTATCATGTGGTTATTTTCAATAAAATACCCGTAGCAGACGTAGCTATACCTAGGGTGGAGCATGACAGTGTGTATGTATACCTATAGACCAATGTTTTGGTGTAGCAAGCGTAGTTGGCGTTGTCAACATACTATGATCTGGTTATTTTCAATAAAATACCCGTAGCAGACGTAGGTACACCTAGGGTGGGCCCTACAGTGTGTATGCTTGTTTTGGTGTAGCAAGCGTAGTTTGCGTAGTCAACATACTATGATCTGGTTATGTTAAAAAAATACCCGTAGCAGACGTAGTTATACCTAGTCTGGACCCTACAGGGTGTATGCTTGTTTTGGTGTAGCAAGCGTAGTTTGCGTAGTCAACATACTATGATCTGGTTATGTTAAAAAAATACCCGTAGCAGACGTAGTTATACCTAGTCTGGACCCTACAGGGTGTATGCTTGTTTTGGTGTAGCAAGCGTAGTTTGCGTAGTCAACATACTATGATCTGGTTATTTTCAATAAAATACCCGTAGCAGACGTAGGTACACCTAGGGTGGGCCCTACAGTGTGTATGCATACCTATAGACTCATGTTTTGGTGTAGTTGGCGTAGTCAACATAAGTAGTAGGATTTTTGGTCCCATGAGGCCAGGCTGGTCACTAGGCTGGTCATCTAAAACCGGAAGTTAGCCATTTTGACAGGAAGTCAGCCATTTTGACCGGAAGTCAGCCATTTTAACCGGAAGTCAGTCATTTCGAATCTCCTGGCAGGAAGTCAGCCATTTCGAATTCTGTCTGGGCAAGTTGATGACATCATAGCGGATGTTCAGCCATTTTGAATCTGTCTGGGTAAGAAGGTGACATCATAGCGGAAGTGAGGCATCTTTTCAATCGGCCTGGGCAGGTTTTCAATCGGAAGTTAGATATAAGCGCTCTGATTGGTCAATTTTAATCACGTGACCTCGCTGTGATTGGTCAATTTATAAGCCACGTGACCCGGTACTTATTAGCCTCTATGGGTTTAATAACATGGGTTAATGGGCAATAAATGTCTCATTAACATTGATGGATGGTTTATCATGAATTTATAATCTAGCTTCAGCCCGCACTTACGGTACAATCCTAGCAATTTGATGAGAAGGTTGACAGCTGTAAGTCGTAAAAAAGGAATAATCAAACTCATAAACCCAACTTCGATTACCGAGTTCGAAACGGCCGTTAAGCAGTCCCAGTATATATAAAGACAGATTAACTTATCTGTTACAACATTAAATGCTTAATTACTAACGAGTATTGTATTGTATTGTATTGTAGTAACGCTTAGTTATAGCAGATACATGTAGTAGAATGAATAAAACTCAGAGGGTCAAGTCATGATTTCACTAGAATTCGTGACAGAAAAGTATATGATTATCACTGATTAAACATATCATTGATATTAATATACTCTGATTTACAAGTAGGAATTAGACATAGGATGCATTTCAAACCTTCAGATTATTGCTCTGGTAAGTACTTTATTGATTTTAGTTTGATCAGATAAAGCTTCTCTGCACATGTGCAACAGGATGTTATGACCAGGAGATCAGCCCTGTTTGGGCATACTCTATTATCTTTTAAATTCTCTTATAAACTCTGCCTAGACACGTTAAAATAATCTTAATTCACAATTTAATATTTAAGACATATTTCATTTGCTCGCTTCAGGAAAGTGGACTCGTCCAGTACACACGGTCAGTATTGTAAATTTATATGACTTATTTTTAAGGTATCAGGCCAAAATGAAAGAGTTTAACCTGTTTCACCTTTCCAACTATTTGGACTGATCCTACATTATAAATATCTCGGAACAAAATAATAGTGTTCTTTTACAGTTGAAGTTTGACAATACCGGATCTAAGAATATAGAGAGAATAATATTTCAATAATATTTGGATATAAATATTATATACGAAGATTGGTGAAACAAAATTCATAATCAACAGACACAGAAGGAATATCATTCATTTTGAAATAAATGGTAGGTATGGGGGCAAATCCAATGTTTAAAGTATAATACATAGAAATATCAACGAATAAAGTAAAATATACTATTATTATGTCAAGATAAAGTATTTACATACATGATACATTACAATCGTACTTGTGTTATTGTAAATTAAACTTTTACAGTTACAGGATCAAGATGCCTGCTGCACATACAAGTTACAAATGTCAGTATTGCGACAAGGAATATCGCCATTTAACACATTTATCAAGACATAGAAGGACTGAACACGCTCAGCAAAAGTCATCATATCAGTGTGATTCATGTCAAAAATCATTTACATACAGTCATGACCTTAAACGTCACAAGAAAATACACGAAAGGTCCAATTATGAATGCGGAATATGTAGTAGGAAATTTAACAGAAAAGACAACTTAAAAAATCATATGGAGACACACGATGTCAATCAGTATGGAGCAGGAGTGGATACATCGTCAAAAGGTAACTTAGATACTGAACCAATTATACAAGTGCCATCTACATCATACGGTGATTCGACTCAAAACGTCAACTCAAACGAGGATGAGCCAATGGAGACAGAAACTTCAAATACGTCAGAAGATGAAATGTGTGACTTTGACGATGAAGCATTGAAGGGAACACTACTTGTTAAAAACATCAATGCGAATGGACTCTCTAGATTTGATCCTTTGCGTTTTCTAAAGGAAAAAGAGGATAAAGTTAAATCAATATTACAAAAACAAATGAAGAAGAAGGGTGGCATAAAATGGTATGCTTCCATTATGGTTCAATTTAAAAAGCAAAAGATGGAAGAGACTGAATTAGCATGGCCTCATTTCAGAGGTCATTGTCAAATAGCCTTAAAACGAGGGGACCTTGACGAATCCTGGAAAGATAGTGTCAAGAAAATATATGATTCTTTCATTTCCTACCAGAGGGAGGGTAGTTCATGGATATTAGACTTTGTCATTCATCTGCGTCTTCATATAGCACAATGGAAACCCCTGAGAGGTAGTAGCTATATTCCAACACCAGTCCGATTAAGGAATAAACGTGCCATAGTCAATGTACAGAATAGAGATAAGATGTGTTTCCTGTGGGCTATTTTATCAGCGCTTCACCCTAAACAAGAGCATGCATCTCGCGTTCAAAAGTATAAACAATATCAATCAAGTTTGGACATGACAGGAATAGAATATCCAGTGAAAATTGGCGACATCCCTACATTTGAGAGAAACAATAATATCTCTATTAATCTGTTTGGTTATGATGGGACAACATTTCCAATTCATATCACTTCGAACCGTTTTGACAAGCATGTGGATCTACTTTTGTTATCGAACCAGAGACAGTCTCACTATTGTTGGATTAAGGACTTAAATAGACTATTGTATGAAACCGCTCCTGGCAATAGAAAACGTCATTTTTGCCCCTATTGTCTACATGGATTCACCAAAGCTTCTTTACTGGAGTCTCACATTGACTATTGTCAAATACACGGACCACAGAAGATAGAAATGCCATCAGAAGAAGATAAATGGCTTTATTACAACAACATAGAGAAACAACTTAAGGCACCATGGATTGTATATTCTGACTTTGAGGCCGCCACTGAGAAAGTCCAAGGTTGTCAACCCAACCCAAGTCATTCGAATACTCAAAAGATGACTAAACACAACCCATCGGGGTTTGCCTACAAAGTAGTCGGACCCACTGAAGACCTTACAAAACCAACGGTTGTGTATAGTGGTGAAGATGTGACAGACACCTTTATTGAACATATGGTTAAAGTGCAAGATAGGATCGACCAATGGTACAGGCATGAACAAAAGCCTCTCAGAATGCAACCCGGGGATTTGAATTCTTTTAACAATGCTGTGAACTGCCACATCTGTAAAAAACCAATGGGCGATGATAGAGTGAGGGACCACGATCATGTGACAGGTGGGATACTTTATATTACAAATGCTCCATTTCATAGTTTTATACATTTAGTTTGATGATAACCAACATTTTCATTCTAAATCATTGTTTCCAGGTCGCTTCAGAGGAGCTGTACATAGTACATGTAACGTCAATTTCCGGTTCAGAGGCAAAATTCCAGTTGTCTTCCATAATCTAAAGGTATGATATACACTGCCAAAATAACTCCATGCTAAATCAGCGCTAATCTTTTTTCGCGCTAATTTAGCGCCGATTTGGTACAGAATTGGTACAAATAATGTTTGTGTGGAATTAGCGCTAATAAATCAGTACCAAATCAGTACAAACCTCAGTTAGTGCGAAATCAGCACTAACTTAGCAGTGCTAATTTAGTGCTAAGTTAGTGCTGATTTAGCACTAACAAAACTTATATTTTTTTGACTATTATTACAGTATTATTGATTGATTTAAGCAATATTGATATTACTTATTTAGAGTTTGAAATATTTTATTATATAATAACATTTATTATTGTGATTTCTTCATTGAGTTTGACATCTTAGGGAAATCCCTGGGAAATCCCCTTGAACTTTTGACCTATGACGTCACACATTCTATGACTCATACAGGAAGTTTGAGAAGCCACATATTTTAAATTTTGATTTCTGTGCCAGTCTCTGCCATCTGTCTGCAAATTTCACTTGTAAGTATATATTTGATTGTTATGTTATAAATAAATGAGCATATGTTAGGTGCACCTATTATGTAGAAGACTTTCAAATACCAGATAGGCTCTGTGGGATAGGCTAGGGTGAAATTCAAAGATAAAAATGAATTCAGGAGGAATTGAAAAAAAATTTCAAAGTCACTGAAAGTCTTGTCTTAAAAGTCCAAGGCATAGGCTAGTTCTTTGGAGTTTTTAAAAAAATATATTTATAATCTGCAATGCACAAAGTCTTCTGAATGAAGCCAGACATTGGCCAAAATCCTGGCCAAAATGTAATTTCTGAATGATTTCAGCCTAAAAGATCATTTTCTTTTATCTTTTATCGGCAATGCATTTCTAGGCTACCTTTTTATTTTATAGACTTGATGTTGGCATTGGTCAGGTGTTGGTATATCATGAGGAGTGAAGGCAGTGAAGAATACAATAATAACATAATCAATGGATGGATGGCCATGTATCAGCAATGTGCAACCGGGAATGCAACATACTTAAAGCTATTTAGGCTAGGTGCGTAGAGTAAACGTTTTAAGAAATCTAATAATAATTTATTTTGCTTATTCAGCGTATCGTTCGAATCGTGCCCCCATGGCATATCACCATGTTCATTTCATATCACCATGTTCCCATGTTATATCACCATGTTCATTTCATATCACCATGCTCCCATGTTACATCACCATGTTCATGTCATATCACCATGCTCCCATGTTATAGGCCTATCACCATGTTCATTTCATCTCACCAAGCTCCCATGTTATATCACCATGTTCATGTCATATCACCATGCTCCCATGTTATATCACCATGTTCCCATGTTATAACACCATGTTCATTTCATATTACCTACTCCCATGTTATATCACCATGTTTGTTTTGTATCATATCAACATGCCCCAATGTTATATCACCATTCATTTCATCATGCTACCATGTTCATAACCTTATTCATGACCTCATGTCATATCACCAATTCAACAATTAATAGCCTATGCTTTCTCACAGGGCAATAATGAAATTGTAAATACGTCAACCCTAACTCTGTAACTATGACAAAATAATCTAGCGAATGCAAACTGAATTCTTTGTTCAAAGATATTATTTCGATCTTAAATTTACATTAACTATTACGGTAAGCAAATCTGCGATTATGTTCATAGAAAACTATATTTTCAGGTAACTGTTATCAGATATAACAACAAAAAGCTTGTGGGGGTGGAGCAAAAACCCAAAAGGATGGTTAAACTACTGAACTATGAACAACTTTCACGAGGTATGTATTGATTTATCAAATTAATTGATTAATTCAGAATTAATTCAGATTGCCTAAAGATGCTAGATGCTAAACAATGATAGCTCTGCATGTTCTCTTGATGTCTCATAAATTGGATCCTTAATAATATTGCACCACCGCTATTTAGGAAATGTAAATGTTATACATAGAAAATATACATATATGTACTTAGTAGGCTGCAATCACGATCATGGATTAATTGGTTTAACTTATGAATATGCATGTTTAATGCAAATGTGATGAAGCCTCAAATTATAGTTTCTTTTTTATCATTTCAGGTATAACGATTTTACATCAGGGGAACTAAATCGGCGAATAAGAAGGCACAATGACAGGGCGTTAGCTTAAGGAATGACAAAAACAATTATGGACTAAACACATCCCTACAACTTTGAGCTGATACCCTTGTAAAGGCAATGACATTTTCCAGTTGTATGTAATTGGGAGTTAGGGTCATCATAATGTATATACAGAACGACAGTTTTTGTACATTGTGTAAATAGTGAATCTTTTGTAATTTACTGTTATTTACTGTTACTGTGGTAAATCTTCAATCTGAAGGAAATAAAACAATACGATACTCCTATGATATGATGAATAAAGTTATAATTTGGTATTATATATAACAAGATAATGCATTATGTTTTTAATGGTATTATAGCTGGGATACTTGTTTGGTTATAATATTAATAACTGAAGAAAAACCAAGATATATATATATCAAAATCATGTGATATCATAACCCTTAAAAATCCTTACCCTTGATGGTCTAATTAAAAACAAGATCTTGATAAAAATGTCAATTTAATACATTTTTATCGATTCAATATACAAAAATTCATCCCCGATTATTTTTAAAAGTTGGTACAAAATTCATACAAATTTAGCACTAATTCCACGCTAATTCGGTGCAAAGTCATCACTAAGGTTAGTACTGAGTTAGCGCTGAGTTAGTGCGAATTTTGCACCTGCCGTACAGCTCGATTGGTACTAAATCAGTACTGACAATTTAGCGCTAATTCCACACTAAATTAGTACTAACTCCACACTGATAATTTGATTGCGGATTGGGGGTGTACTCATAAATCACTGATATATATTAATATCGCTAACATGTTAAATCATTGTGGGATTACGCATATTTAGTATGTTAAACTTGAATATTAATTGAATATACACGAACAAAATATTCTTTGTTTTTACAGAACTATGATGCACACCAAATAATGAAGAGTATAGGCCAGTACCAACATGGTAAGCTGAAGGTTATACCAACAAACATGGAGAAATATATTTCATTTTCAATGGGATCGATGGATTTTATTGATTCATATCAATTTCTTGGCACATCTCTCGAAAAGCTGACTCAAAATCTAGCTCAGGAAGGATCAGAAAAGTTTCAACATTTATCAAGTGAATGCTCCCTAGAAGATATTGATCTTCTTTTGCGAAAGGGAGTTTTCCCATATTCATGGTTCGATACGTCAGAGAAATTCATGTGTCATGAACTCCCACCCCAACATGATTTTTTCAATGATTTAACAGATGAAATGTTAACTGATGCTGACTATAAACATGCGCAGAATGTTTGGCAACGTTTCAATATGAAAACATTTGAAGAATATCACAATTTATATCTGAAAACAGATGTTCTGCTACTGGCTGATGTCTTTGAAAACTTCCGAACTCTCTCAATGAATCTTTATGACCTTGATCCTGCTCATTTCTACACTGCTCCTGGATTAGCGTGGAATGCCGCACTAAAGTACACAGGGGTGAGGTTAGAATTATTCACTGATCCAGATATGCATCTGTTTATTGAGGCTGGGCTCCGAGGTGGTATAGCCATGATATCCCATCGATATGCTAAAGCCAACAACCCGTATATGTCCGACTATTCTCCAGATGAGCCAAAATCGTATATATCATATGTCGATGCAAACAATCTGTATGGTTGGGCCATGAGTAAACCTTTGCCAACACATGGATTTAGATGGTTGGGTGAAGATGAAATCAACGACCTAGATATAAACAACATTGCAGAGGATGCAGAGGATGGATACTTTCTTGAAGTGGATTTGGAATATCCTCAAAATCTGCATGATATCCATTCAGACTATCCATTGGCCCCTGAATCGTGTTGTTTAGACAATGACCTAATCTCTCCATTCTGTAAACATCTGGCTGAAGACCTAGAGCTGAATTGTAATACAACGAAGAAGTTGATTCCCAATCTGAGCAACAAAGAAAAATATGTTGTGCACTACAGAAACCTTCAACAATATATGGGGTATGGCTTAAAACTCAAGAAAATACATCGTGCGATAACCTTCAAACAGTCAAGATGGTTGAAATCATATATCGATCTCAATACAGAAAGAAGAAAGCTGGCAAAGAATGCGTTTGAAAAGGATTTGTTCAAGTTAATGAACAACAGGTGAGATGCAACTCTATAGTTATGTCATATAAATTATTTAAGTTATTAAATCGACATCCTCAATTCATATTAATCTTATTAATTGAGAATCGTATCTGTTTTCAGTGTCTTTGGCAAAACCTGTGAAAATTTACGCCGACGACGGAGACAGATTGAGCTTGTTCATAAAGATAAAAGACTCCGGAAATTAGTTTGCAAACCGAGCTTTTATGCCTTCAACATATTCAATGAAGATCTGGCCGCTGTTGAACTGAGGAAGACTAAGCTCTACCTTAATCGCCCAATATATTGTGGCTTCACCATTCTTGATGTCAGCAAGACACTGATGTACAATTACCACTATGATCATATTGTTCCGACATATGGAGACGATGCAACTCTTCTTTTCACAGATACTGACAGGTATTTATAATGTTTCAAAAATGATTTACATATTATAATAATATTGTTGTGTTTATATCATTAGTATAACTATTTTATCACTAATAAAGTAGTATTATGTGTTTATATTTTATATTTCAGCCTGTGTTATCACATATACACAGATGACATTTATGCAGATATGGGTCAGCAAAAGGATCTTTATGATACATCTGACTTTCCGAAGGACCACCCATTATTCTCTTTAGATAACAAGAAGGTCATCGGGAAGTTTAAAGATGAAACCGCGGGAATACCTCCATCTGAATTTGTTGGTTTAAAACCAAAGATGTATTCTCTGTTAGTGGCTGGTGAAGCCAAGAAAACTGCGAAGGGGGTTAATAGAGCAGTTATCAAGAACACCATCACTCATGACGACTATAGAGAGGCAGTGCTAGATCATAAGCTATCTATGGGATGTATGAAGCAATTCAGGTCTTTCAAACATGAGATATACATGTTAAAGATCAATAAAATTACTCTTAATCCATATGATGACAAGAGGTATGTGCTAGATGACGGGATCAGGACTTTGGCACATGGTCATTATAAGATAAGCAAGTAAGTACTACCTCCCTCCTCCTTACCTCCCTCCGCTTCCTCCCACATCCTCCCTAACTCCTCTTTATCCCCTCCCTACCTCCTCCCTACTCCCTACCTCCTCCCTACTCCCTCCCTACTTCCTCCTTACCTCCTCCCGCTTCCTCCTTACCTCCTCCCACCTCCTCCCGCTCCTCCCTACCTCATCATTACCTCCTCCTTACCTCCTCCAACCTCTTCCTTACCTCCTCCCACCTCCTCCCTACCTCATACCTCCTCCTACTTCCTCCCAACCTCCTATTGCCTCTTCTCCATCTTCCAAACCCCCTCCCCTCCCTTTACTTTAATATACAATAGTTTATAATGTCATCAATGCCTGTTTATGTTTACAATTGATCTTAATTGACACATTTTGAACCAATCCAAATACTGCACATTAGAATATTCTTATATATTTTAAGTTGTCCATGTTTTGAGTCATTTTACTGATAGATCTTGAACAGACAACATGTCTTTCAATTGTTCTGAGTGTAGTGTGAATTTTACGAGAGGTGATAACCTATCACGGCATATGAATAAGTTTCATGGAGAAAATATACATCAATCGGATGTTATGCTGTAACATCCGTTTACTATGATAGCAGGTATAGGTATAGTCTGATAGATGTATAAATACACAAATATAGAAAAAGAGCTTGCTAATGTATTAAAATATATTTTTGTTGTATTTTTAGCCGGGCCAACATCGTCGGGGAAGACCTGGCTTATGAAGCACTTGATTCAAAATGTTGAACGGTATATATCCCCAATTCCGAGAAGAATCATCTGGTGTTATGGTCAATGGCAGCCTGCCTACGAAGAGCTAAGAAAAAACCCACGTTTGGAATTTGTGAAGGGAATACCAGAGGATATTGATGATTCAAGATACCTTGATACTTCGGTTCCTACTTTGATACTTCTCGATGATCTTATGAATGAAGCAACAAATGATCAACGGATATGTGATCTCTATAGCAAAGGCAGTCACCATCGAAATCTGTCTGTGATATGCCTGCTCCAGAATATGTATCACCAAGGGAAAATGAATAGATCGATGAGCTTAAACTCTCACTATATGATACTATTCAATAACCCGAGAGATCGCCAACAGGTGGCATTCTTATCGAGGCAGATGTACCCCGGAAATGGAAACAAGTTGGTCAGAGCATATACCAACGCAACTAGTCAACCCTATGGTTACCTGCTTCTTGATCTGAAGCAAGAAACCCCAGAACACAGCAGATTGAAACCAAATGCCTTTACAAAAAGTGAAGTAGAATTAGAAAGTCATCAAGGTTCCCGCAACTACAAAGAACCAATGAATGATTCAAAGCACTTACTTGAAGGACAGGGTATTTCAGAAGTCGGATATCCGACGACGACATTTATAAATAGTAGTGATGTTAAGACTTACCCTTACTTGGAGCGTGAAGTTCGAGAAGACAACATGGTATCCTGTGATGACTGTGGTTTAGTATTTGAAAGCATTCATGACTTACAGAGGCATATAAAAAATTGGTGTCAAGATCAGGCACCACTACCCAAGAGGATGAGGACCCAATCTACCCGAAATATGGAGGAGAAGATTCCTCAAGACAAAGACAATGACGTTGATGACGATGATGGTGATTTGAAAGCAAATGAAACATTTGCATTCTTAAAGAAGTGGTCTATAAGACAGAATGAGGAAGACCACAGACGTAAAGTGGATGAGTATATGGATAGAGGGATGGATAAGACAGAGGCCGTAGAAAAGGCAGATAATAAACTATTATCGAAGTATAAGGAAGAATTTATGAAAGGATATAAACATTTCGTCAAGCTAACAGTTGATGTAAAAGACAATGCGTTACACAGAAATATAATTGATTCGATAAATAATATGATGAGAAGGGGTGTCTCTGTGAACTTAGCCGTTAGGAAAACACTTTTAAAAAACAAACACAAGTTTGAGGAGGTCTTTATAGAGGATACAGACCAGGAAAGTAGCTCTGAGGAAGAACAGAGTGAATCCGAAAACGAGGCTGTTGAATCAAGCACTGAGTGATAAATATTAGTTATTTTAAGAGAGATAATCATTAAGGAGTCAGATTCCGACAGTGTAAGATGGCATATCAAGACTATTTAAAGAAATTATACTTTGACAGTCGAAATTCTGGAGCCTTTGCTGGACCAGACAAACTCTATAGAGCTGTGCTAAATGATGGGAAATACCAGCTGTCCCGTTATCAGATAAAGAAATGGTTGGACAATCAAGAAGCTTATGGCCTACAGAGACCTTATAAGAGACAATTTACTCGGAACAAAGTATATGTTTCACATATTGATGAACAATGGGATGCTGATCTCATGGATATGTCTACTTGGTCAACAGAGAATGACAATACGAAGTTTATCCTAGTCGTCATTGACATCATGTCCCGTTTTGCCTGGGTTAAGCCTCTACCTAACAAGACGGGTAAAGCTGTTGCAGAGGCCTTTGATGACATCTTCAAAGAAGGGCAGCGTCAACCAGATGTCATTAGAACGGATAAAGGTCAAGAATTTCGTGCGAGGGTCGTACAGACATTGCTGGCTCGATGGGAAGTACGCCATTTTGTTACGGAAAATACACCCAAAGCCAACTTTTCCGAGCGCCTTATAAAGACATTGAAGACGAAAATAATGAGGTTCATGACATATAAACAGAACAATAGATATATAGACAATTTGCAAAATTTTGTTAAAAGTTATAATGCCACCTGGCATAGGAGCATAAAGATGGCTCCTAAAAATGTATCTAAAAATGATGAACTGGCCATTTGGTGGCGGATGTTCTATCCCAAATCAGCTGCTGTTAAAACTAGGTCAAAATATATATTTAAATTTCCCATTGGAGCTTTGGTTAGAAGTACCCAATCGAAACATATTTTTACAAGAGAATACAACGAGCATTGGACTGGTGAACTTTTTAAAGTAGCGCAACGTTTCATCAGACAGGGCCTTCCATTGTATCGTTTAAAAGATTTTCAAAATGAAGACATTAGGGGTACTTTTTACCAAGCAGAGCTCCAGAGGGTACAAGCAAATGAAGATGATATTTGGAAGGTGGAAAAGATCCTAAAAACCCGAACAAGAAAGGGTCAAAAGGAACATTTAGTGCGTTGGCAATATTGGCCTAAAAAGTTTGACTCGTGGGTCAAGGACTCTGATATAACATTATTGTAAATATTGTATAGAAATGTAATTATGATGTATATAATGCTGTATTATATGTAAATAAAATGTTATGTGTGTTGAAAGAATTCGTGTTAAGTTCATAAGTGATAGTAGAGAGAGAGGTGAAGTTGTTATATGATAACCATCCCCCATTTCTCATTGAGATAGTGTACCTAACATAAATATGGTCAAAAGTTAAAAAATTAGAATCTATAAATTCCCCAACTTTAACTAAAGATTCCTGAAAATAGATGTTTCAAGAGCAATTGCGTGATCTTGCATAATGTATTCATGAAACGAGTGAGACAAATGCCATCGTTATCCTTATTCATATGATATAAGGCTATCAATATGGCTACTTTTACGTTTCCTGCCAAAAATATGATCCACTTGCCCAGGTAAAGTTAAAATGGCTGAACTTCCTCTAGGAAATCATGAACCTGCCCAGACTGAATAAAAGATGGCTAACTTCCGTTTTAAAACCTGCCCAGACCGACTCAAAGATGCCTCACTTCCGCTATGATGTCACCTTCTTACCCAGACAGATTCAAAATGGCTGAACATCCGCTATAATGTCATCAACTTGCCCAGACAGAATTCAAAATGGCTGACTTCCTGCCAGGAGATTCGAAATGACTGACTTCCGGTTAAAATGGCTGACTTCCGGTCAAAATGGCTAACTTCCGGTTTTAGATGACCAGCCTAGTGACCAGCCTGGCCTCATGGGACCAAAAATCCTACTACTAACATACCATACTATTATATACTGGGCTTATTTTCAATAAAATACCCGTAGCAGACGTAGCTATACCAAGCATGGACCATGACATACCTGTATACTCCTTCTTATGTGTAGCAAGCGTAGTTGTATTTTGTACATACTTACGTTGTCAATTCTAATGTACGTTGTCTCAATGCTCGTACCTCAATTCACAGTTAACCCTAATGCAGGCAAAGTATTTTTCATCACGTTAACTTGGAAATTAGAGCGGGGGGTGTCAGATGCATGTCATATTGAAACTTAACAATTACAGTCAGTTTACACTTGACACAAGTTGCCGCTCCCTCATCGTCAGGTTATAATTATTGTGATTTGCACCTAGAACGCATCCGACACCTTGTAATTCAGTTATATTGCAAGTACGAAGCACGAATGTGGTATTTTTCTTGTACGATAAATAAAATTCCTCGCAAAAAGTCTGTAATGACTGCGGGTCATTCTTAAACGTTATTTCTAGAGTTGATTATGCAACCAAGTGGCTCGATGCAGTAATCGCTAGCACTGAGATTGGATTGAATAGTGTATTAAAATGCTAGTCAACGTGTTTGATAACTTTGATTGGACACTTTAGATATTTAGCTTATTAATTTTGTATATATATAGTGTTCACTGTCCATCCATTGAGACACAAGAGTGTGTTATTGTCTGTACGCGTGGATATAATTTATAAGTTTACACTCATCGTCAAAATCCTGTCTTTTTATACGTTTTAAACTTACAGTATATCTCAATTAAAACTTTCATAACATGTATTTCATGTATAATTCACTCGTCCGTGTTATGAACCACGTTAAAGGGTCTTATGTGTAGAAGAGCCACAAGAGCAATGTGCATGTATTGAGTTGGTAATGTACACATTACAACGATGCGACGGATATTACATTCGCAGTTATGCCTGAGTCACATTTGTACCGATCGACTTCTTGTGTCTTAATTGAACTTTTGTCATAGGTAATAAGACCCAAACTTGCGATTAAAATTTTGAAGTGAGATACGGACTCTTGGATTGACGCTAGCTTTTTTGGAAAATATTGATGGTAAACCCTGGGAGCCAATCCTCCTTGTGTCAAATGGGTACAATGGGAACAAGGACTCATATAGACACGGGGTACCATCGAATAATTTTGGCATTAAGTACTAGGTTGTTGTTCGCGTGTAAATATTACTACTTCAAATTCGCTACATTTATCAAATAAATATCAATTTTCCTTCATTATCAATAACAAACGTGTTTTAAGATTCAAAATCATAAGATTTTAGATGTTTTCAATCAAATTTGTCTTGAGAGATTTTTGGAGTATTTTTTCATGTTAAGTATGCTATTAAACCCACTGAATTTTATGCCATCTATCGACAGTCCCAGGCCCGTAGCCAGGGGGGGGGGGGGTTCGCTGGATTCGGGCGAACCCCCCCCCCCCTGGCCAAAAATTCTTTCAAAATCATGCAGTTTTTCACCATTTTGAGCACTTCTCAAGTGATTTTAGCCATATTTGGGCCAAAATTGTCAAATGTGAACCCCCCCTGGAATTTTTTGAAAAATGACCCCCCCCCCCTTGGCAAATCCTGGCTACGGGCCTGAGTCCTGAAGGCCATTCATGAAGTACATATACTACTAAAATAAGACATCTATACATCTATTTAGGGTCCCAGGATGTATTGCCCCCTGGACCATATATTCAAGGAGACTCCATTTACTCAGACACAGGTGTAAAGGTATTTCTGGTCCTACCGAAATATGGTGCATAGCACAACATTTAACATTTGTGTTCTTCAAATAAGCTAAATGTACATTTCTAAATATAGTTATAATTATACCAAAGAAGAAATATATATGAAATCGTCAAGGTTGAGTGTGTACTATGGTTGAGTTTAATTGACCAAGTAAAGGGTTGAGTTAACTGAGGGCCGAGTTTACTAGCTAAGGTCTGGGTTGAATTTATCTCTACAAAAAAAGTAACTAATTTACATTTAATCCTAAACATAACTTTAATCAAAACACCAAGAAACATCGTTTATTTATAAGCCTTAATATACCACGTGATACAACATCAGTTTTATCTGATGCATGTAATCCATGCATAAACCTCAATTTCATTCATTTTCACATTTGTGTATACCCGTACCTAGGTGAATCTTTTCTGAAGTTAATGCATCTATCAAATATACACATTTATAAACGTATGATCAAATATACACTCCCCTCCAAAAGTTTGGCAACTTTAGCACCCCCCTCCCCCCCCCCCCCATTGAACTACGTGTTGAAGCCGTTTATATTTGAATTCTTATTTACACAACCTGTTTATTTGTATGTTGGTTCTTTCAAGATTCCTGTTTGCAATATGCAATATAAAACAATCAATAATGCAATGCAATATAAAACAATCAATAATGCAATTGCAATATAAAACAATCAATAATGCAATGCAATATAAAACAATCAAAGTGGAACACTGGATTTTCAAACATTGGAATAACCTTGAAACACCTTCTACAGTGAGATATTCTAGGGTACTTAATTACGTTTTTATATAAATCTGAACAAAATGGCACAGTTCAATAATGAGGGAATCAGGATTAGTTCTTGTGTTTAACTCTTGGCTCATCTCAGTCATCACGGACAACAAACGACTTTCCTCTTTCTTTGTCCTCGCCTTTTCATGGTCCCCTTTTGGACTATAAAATGAAACATGTATTGATTGTAGACATCTGCAATCATTAACATCATAAAAATGATTGATTAGCTATAGTTTTAATTTGTATAATTTAGCGGGATGCAACTCTATAAATTGGCAATTGAACTAGTTATATATTTGAATATGATTTAATATAATTAGCATTATTCATTATGATTTGAAATGCTTTAATATGATTTATACGAGGGTCGATCATAAAGTTCTCAAAATATCTTCTTTATATTTCAATATTATCTTTTGAAAGCTTCACAGAATGTACATCATGGAATGTTTTGTTGTTATTTAGAATACCAGAAACATTAGATTAGAAATGGTTGCCATAGTAAGTTCAAAATCAATGTACCTGGGGCAAATAAAAACTAGCTACAATAGGACCCATTTATCATGTTTGAATGTATATCAATAAGTTGTCAAATAAGCTATCAAACACATCAAATTGTCAAATACTATGTGCTCTTGACTGTTTTGAACTATTAGAATGATCATATGAATTGTATATGATCTCATAATGGATATTTGTTATGCTTCATCAGAAGTGACTGTTATACCCTATGGCTGTTTTGTCAAAAATCACGAAGAAAATTGATTTTGTCCCTTTAGTTATTAATGTGTTCAGTGTGTTATTTTGTTGATGATATCTTAGCAATTTATTTGGGGAAAGCCGAATGTTTGGTTTAAACACAATAAAATCTTCACTCTTAATTGCAATTGATTAATTATTAGCAGATGGGATAATTGATCAAGTGAGAAAGCACAAGTCTAATAAACCATTGAACAACATACCTTCTTTATGAGTCTCCTCATCACCCTGGCTGTCTTCTGTAGCAGATTGGGGATCATTAAGAATGCTCTGACTCGGCTCGTCTGTCGCCTCTTGGTCACATTGTCCGCCTTCATTTGAAACTATAATATATAATAAGCGTGAAGTTGAAGAAAGGAAAAACACATGCTCATACAATGTGCTGTTCTGTATTCACAAAATGTTTGTCCCAATTTCCATTTTCCCCTTCATTTGCTGAATTTTTATTTGATTTTATTATTGTAACGTGATGTTAGTTTACCTACATGTGTCTGTTTCAAGTTTTTTGTGGATATATGATTTCAATATCAAAATACAATTACTCTCACTCTGATCAAGTAAAGAAACTCAATTACACCTCTAAATGTAAATTATCTATTAACACAAATAAACAGAATCAAAACTATAGACTATACCAACAAATGTAATACCCGAAGCACACAATGGGCACTATCAATCACATTAAAGTTATATTTGGCTTCCGGTTTTGATTTCCATAATCATTTAGTTATTTTGATACTCAAACTATGGCCGGAATTCGCTTGCAAATCGTAGATATTGACCTTCAGTCACAAATCTTTAGATTTTATAGATCACAAAAAATTGTTAAAACTTGTGACAAAAATAGTACATTTGATTTAACATATACTATTACTGATCAAAGCCCCTGGCATGAGAAAAAATATTTTGCGTTTTTTGTATCAGTGACCGGCCTTCTTTGTATTGCATATATATCAGATAGATGGTGCTGACTGTGATGTATCATACCTGTTGGCCCTGTACCTGTTGCTGGATCGTTCAGAGCATCCTTAATGATCTCCAGTTGATCATTCTCTATTGCGTCCTCGAATATAAATATTCCCCGGCCGCTTACTCCTCCTCTGTACCTCCTTGGTTTCGCATATTCGCCATATCCTCCTATCTTTATTTCCTCCATTAGCTTTTCTTTGGATAAGCTTGTTTTAGCCAAGTATTGGTTGGCCACAAAGATGCCCGTTCTTCCCTTTGAAGAGCCCATCTGAACATAGTTGATTGCGACACCCTGAAATTAAACAATATATAATTAATTATGTTGTTCAGCTCTCAAAAGTTAATGGTATCTATGATGATGCTCAATCAGATGTCCTTTGTAACTAATATACCTTAAATCATACAACAATATTTGTGGAGAGAACATATATAACATATTGCGAAGTTTACAAAAAGAACTATTTTGATGCATATCGTTTGTGTTGGATATTTTTTTTAATATCCAAAGGTGTATGTGAGTGTATTCTAATTTGGACCAACTAATCAATAGACCCTTAATGTCCCCCGCAATGAAAACCCTACAATGAAATAATAGCACGATCAATTGATAGAACGACCTACTGCAGGAGAGAGCGGGGTAAGATGGAACGCAAGGTGAGACGGAACGTTGGATTTTTATTGAATACTTGTTTAAAAGAGGTTACTGAAGTAAACTTTTTTTGAAAATACATCAAGTGATCTTTCTGTTCAACCACAATTTCTTGTCGGCTTCAACTAATACTTTAATAAAAAGCCAACGTTCCGTCTCACCCTGCGTTCCATATTACCCCGCCCTCCCCTACAAGACATACGTACGCGTTCATTCATGCATGTCTCAATGACATTCTCTAGAAATTTTTCCACAGTGCCCAGTTGTCTCTTGTGGAATGCCTGTATGTGGCGTCTATTTTTGTCCAAGTACACAACAATCATTTCCCTGACACCAACCTGTGTCATGGTGGACAATTGCATCAATATCTGGAAATTAATCAAATGAGAACATGTATCATTTAAAATAGCATATATTTTTTGAAAAAGTATATCAATGTTTTGACCAGTTGATTTGCTCGACTGAAAAACCAAGATTGTGTAAACAAAACGAATAATAATGCCAATCTGTTTGCTTAATACTGATTCTGTTAATCTATGAATAAGCAAAACTGAATTTACAGTCTCTTCAAATACAAATTGCAATAAAGATATAAAAACCATGAGAACGAATCTGTTATTTACATGTTACATGCTTACCACTAGAAAAGCAAAAAAAACGTATGAAGGCAATGCAACATGTATTTGATAAAATTTAAACAAGTAAGCATGAGTTGAACATTTATTAGAAAATTACGTTTCTGGTATACTTATTATTGGTGGAAAAGTATGCAATTAGTATTACCTCTTCTGTGTACGCAAATAGCAACGCATACATCAAATGAGACTCATCGAGAATGTCTGGAAACTTATCCTTTATCATTTTTAGGTACGTCACTTCTATTCTATTTGGTGTGGGCCTCGCCCGAATGAACATGCCCACTAACGCCGACAAGCCTCCGTGTTTCACAGTTTGGTACATTACTTTGTGGTACCCTATCTCCTGGCTTGACCCTTGTATACTGTCCCCTGAGAAGCATATATACACGCATCTTCTTTGAATCCTAAAATCGAGCATCAACATTTGTAAATGAATTGTTGTACACATATAAAAAACTTTTCTGAGAGGCACGCACGTTGACATCATACTTCGGGTCAAATAAACAAAAATGTAGTTTCATATATTATGCTCACATTGGACGTTTCAGATCGTCCTAATATTGTATATCAAAACTATTAAGTAGATGTTTTATGTAGTAGGTGTTCTATGTAGCAAAAATAGTTAGTTTGAAAAATAAATTAATGTAATAATCAGAACTCATTATATTTCTTTTGTAATTGTGTGAGCCCAGAATGTCGTTGTCTTCACAGATTAACAAAGTAGGTGTAATTAGGAGAAAAAATATGCTTGGTGTTATGAACAATAGAATTGATCAATGAAATATACATTTTTATACGAATAAGTACATATTTTTGCGAGAAGCCAAATTTCTATTAACGCTATACGCATAAACATAAGTCGTGGTTTCACTTTTGATCTATCTCTCTAGTTGCTATTATTATGTAGAGAACTGATAAAGTTGCAGGAAAGGAGGTCCTTCATCCTATATATTAGCATTTTTCATCAATTTTTTAACCTCTTATCTTATAAATTACTGCTTGGACATATGGGGAGATAGAATAATGTTATGTGTGAACTTTTGCATGATACACAATATTGTGTGCCATTCGAGTTGTAGACAGATTCACTTGCAACCAATTTAATTACGTTAAAATAAATCATGAAATTTCGTGACAATTGCAAGTGTTTAGCATGGAAGTCTATGGCTATGTGGCCCAACCAAAACAATGACCCTAAGATGAATGCTTCTATGAAAGTATTATATTCAATTCTTAAAGCCTGAAAGCTAATTAAATCAATTAGCTGACTTTTGATAGATGTCTCTGCAATTACAATGGTAATATGGCAAATATAAAGATGTCACTATGATTAAAGTAACACATAGACGATACATCTATAAAACCCCAAAAAGTAATAGATATGACTATATGTTAGATAAAAAGAGATTTAAAAAACATTGGGGGCCATAGATAAATAACTTTGCCACGACCGAGATTAAAACCACCAAATATGGGGTTGGAAGACCATAGCCTTAATCATAATCCACTAGATCAAGTTGAGATGAACTGGTAATTTCTAAGCTATCTCACCTTCCGGGCTACGCCAACTACGCTTGCTACACCAAAACATGAGTCTATAGGTATACACACACAGTGCCATGGTTCACCCTGGGTATAGCTACGTCTGCTACGGGTATTTTATTGAAACTAACCACATCATAGTATGTACTGTGTTGACTACGCCAACTACGCTTGCTACACCAAAATATGAGTGTATAGGTATACAGACACACTGCCATGGTTCACTGTGGGTATAGCTACGTCTGCTACGGGTATTTTATTGAAAATAACCACATGATAGTATGTTGACTACGCCAACTACGCTTGCTACACCAAAACATTGGTCTATAGGTATACATACACACTGGCATGGTCTACCCTAGGTATAGCTACGTCTGCTACGGGTATTTTATTGAAAATAACCACATGATAGTATGTTGACTACGCCAACTACGCTTGCTACACCAAAACATTGGTCTATAGGTATACATACACACTGGCATGGTCCACCCTAGGTATAGCTACGTCTGCTACGGGTATTTTATATGCAAATAACCACATGATAGTATGTTGACTACGCCAACTACGCTTGCTACACCAAAACATTGGTCTCTAGGTATACATACACACTGTCATGGTCCACCCTAGGTATAGCTACGTCTGCTACGGGTATTTTATTGAAAATAACCACATGATAGTATGTTGACTACGCCAACTACGCTTGCTACACCAAAACATTGGTCTATAGGTATACATACACACTGGCATGGTCCACCCTAGGTATAGCTACGTCTGCTACGGGTATTTTATTGAAAATAACCACATAATAGTATGTTGACTACGCCAACTACGCTTGCTACACCAAAACATTGGTCTATAGGTATACATACACACTCTCATGGTCCATCCTAGGTATAGCTACGTCTGCTACGGGCATTTTATTGAAAATAACCACATGAAAGTATGTTGACTACGCCAACTACGCTTGCTACACCAAAACATTGGTCTATAGGCATACATACACACTGTCATGTACTGCTACGTCTGCTACGGGCATTTATTTGAAGAAAAACAGTATGGTATGTTTACTACGCCAGCTACGCTTGCTACACGGAAACATGAGTCTGTAGGTATACTCACACACTGTCATGGTTCACCCTAGGCCTACGCCAACTACGCTTGCTTCACCAAAACATGATCAGGGTACATTACGTATGTACGCGTGATTTTACATGTTGGTTGCGCTTTCTACACATGTGCGAGCCTACCAAAGCCACATTTGTCTGCATGTTACAGAAATCATCACGAAATATGTTCACCTATCTAAGGGATTGTAACATGGGCATGTTATATTGATACATGTCAAGTAGGTGATCACCGCACACGTGCCGCCTAAAGCCTCATATGACTAGTGTCTTACATTTGTCTTATGACCTGCTTATCTTAAAGGGGTCATATGAAATATTTAAACATCAAGTGACATACACTCCCTCAATTATATGTTTACCAAACGAAAGTGCCCCTTTAAATCACTCGATAAACCTGTTGATATTTAGAATTTTGAAAAAACTGTCAAATTTGTCGTAAACTTTGTAATTATTGTAATTAAGGACAAAATTAAGATTCGGATATTGACACATAGGATTTGATCTGCTATCTAATGCCAAAACTTCAGGTTGCCAATCTAATGGAGGGGAGTGTAGCGTTTTATCTATTGAAATTGCTCTATCATTCTTCACAATATAAACAAACGAGAGGTAGAAACGTAGCAATACATTTTAATTCTGACAGTAAACCCGAAGACAATATACATCATGTATGGGATTCTGATAGCTTTATTTGTTATTAATGGCGTTGCAACTCAAGCGATCGTGCCGAAAATGCCACCAGGGTTTGTCTACCGCGTGAATGGTACCTCCGACAGCGCAAACGTTGAGGTGGATTTCTTCATAGATCTGATGTGCCCAGATTCAAAAGCCGCTTGGCCCGTGTTAACGACAGTGGCGGCATCTTACGGTTCCCTTCTAAGGCTGAATGTGCATTCGTTTCCATTGCCGTACCATAGGGTAACATGGCTAAGTAATAAGGTATGAAATATAAGGTCACTGTGGCTAGTCGATCAATGTGGATGCAGTCATGTATATGCAATGTTTCGTGGGTTCTTGCGTACATTATAGTGAATGGGGTCGTTGAAAAATTATGACAGAAAATCGAGGTAAGTGATCTCAGAGTTTCTACTTAACATATTGACTTGAAATCTTGCATACATATTCAATATACATAGTATGACAATGTGTGAAAATTTCAGCTAGCATATTCCTGTTATAGGGAAGATATTTGAACAACATTTTGTAAACGTCAACATATATGTATCAGATGGATTCAACTATGTATCATTTGGATTCAGAACGGTAACAAATGGATGCTATAATAAATTATGCTTTTATCATGATGATTTATTTACAGATGGACAACTGGCCAGATTTTCTTTGTATCCATTGTTCGGATAAACATTCCTTATTCAGTGAAGTAATTAGCCACACCATTACAATACACCCTCATGAATAATTGAAAATTAATAGACTTTATATAGACCCCTCAACTGGAAAATGCCAATACAGAAGGAAAAACTATGGTTTCATCCCTAATACTGTTAATTTGAAAAACGGGTCCATAACATGTAATGATGACAATGAAGATGTTGAAATTAGGTACGCCAATCAAGTGAATTCAGAGCCCAAGAACCATCAACCCACTGAAATACCCACAGATCAAGTTTCAGAGCCATTAACATTCCTTGAAAGTGACAATGAGCAGCCAACAGATGGACCATCTGTAAATCTTGGTGATTTTGTCAGCTCAGCTGAAAGAACCTACAGATTCCTTGAAACAAATGACCCAAATTCAAGAATTATATCATCTATCTACAATTTTTTGAAATCGTGGTAAGTGGAATCTTTCCAATTACCAATATAGGATTATTATTGTTTTTGGACACTGTGGACTATTTCACCGCTCCATGTGCCAAACAAGTAAGATACAGAAAGGAAACTAAATACTTTTGGTTCATGGGCTTTCGTCTGTTTCATGGGAAGTTTCTGAGGTAAGACTTCATTCATTTTTACTTTTAATTCTTATGATAATAAAATATAACTAGACTTTGGAAATTGAACAAGTTCAATTTCAGACTCCAGATCTAGACTTTTTTAAGCCCAGTCATCCAGAATAAGCCGAGTCATCCAGAATAAGCCGAGTCATCCAGAATAAGCCGAGTCATCCAGAATAAACTGAGTCATCCAGAAAAAGATGGATGGATGGATGGATGAAATAGGAAGGAGGGATAGGATAGAATAGGAAGGAACGATAGGATAGAATAGGAAAGGATGAGATAGAATAGAATAGAATAGCAAGGAATGATAGAATAGGAAGGAAAGGATAGGAAGGATAGATAAGAAGGATAGGATAGGATAACATGGGATAGGATAGGAAGGATAGGATAGAGTAGGAAAGAAGGATAGGATAGAATAGGAAGGAAAAGATATGAAGGAAAGATAGATAGAAGGAAGGATAAGATAGGAAGGATGGATGGAAGGATGGATGGATTTTTCAACATTTTCTTCACTTCTCTTGACTTTCTATCAGGATACCATAAGATCGATTTTTCTCGAAATTTCAAAACGCCATAACGTAAGTCGGATCGAAATTTGGTTTGCAGATTCAGATCCCTTAGAAAATTCTATCCTTAATTCATAACTTATACGTTAAATTTAGAGAAGTTTTTATTTTGACCTACTTTTCAGACAACATATCTCAAAAGTGGGTCAAAATATTTTCTGACAGCAAAAAGCTAACACTATAAGCACACTCTTGGCTACGTATATACCAAATTTCGAAGAATATAATTAAAGTGTAGTGTCAGAATCGAAAAAATGAGGAAAAGCTTTGAATTTGACCTAGATTTTGACCTAGGCCCTGGACTGGACTTGGACCTAGACTTGACTTGGACCTAGACAAACACTGGACTTGGACCTGGACTGGACCTTGACTTGAACCTGGAAATGGACTGGAAAGGTATTTTTTCAAATGATCAGATCGATTTTTTCTCGAAATTTCAAAGCGCCATAACTTCCGAACCGGAAGTCGGATTGAAATTTGGTTTGCAGATTTGGATTCCTGAGAAAATTCTATCCTTAATTCATAACTCATACGTTGAATTTGGAGAACTTTTTATTTTGACCTACTTTTCGGTCGCCATAAAGTGGGTCAAAATACTTTCTGACGGCAAAAGGCTAACACTATAAGCACAATCTTGGCTACATGTATACACCATTTCGAAGAATATAATTAAAGTGTAGTGTCAGAATCGCAAAAATAAGGAAAAGCTTTGAATTTGACCTAGATTTTGACCTAGGCATTTTGGTGTCCAAATTTGGTTTGCAGATTTGGATTCCTGAGAAAATTCTATCCTTAATTCATAACTCATACGTTGAATTTGGAGAACTTTTTATTTTGACCTACTTTTCGGTCGCCATATCTCAAAAGTGGGTCAAAATACTTTCTGACGGCAAAAGGCTAACACTATAAGCACACTCTTGGCTACATGTATACACCTTTTCGAAGAATATAATTAAAATGTAGTGTCAGAATCGCAAAAATAAGGAAAAGCTTTGAATTTGACCTAGATTTTGACCTAGGCATTTTGGTGTCCAAATTTTGAAGCTAGAAGGCTTTTGAGGTTCCATTCTTTTAAAAGCTTTCATTGTATTTAGCTGAACTCAGTCTATATTTCGTATTTTTCACTTTTTTCCCATTGACTTAACATGGGCACCAAATTTAGCGATTTTTGAGCTTTCAAAACACAATAACTTCCGAACCGGAAGTCCGATCCATATTTGGTTTGCAGATTCGGATTCCTGAGATCATTCTACACTTATTTCATAACTCATATGTTGAATTTGGAGAATTTTTTGTTCTGACCTACTTTCCGGACACCATATCTCAAAATCGGTAACAGTAATCAAAAATCTGATGGCATATTTATGAAAAAGCTGTTTCTAAGCTACATGATGAAAAAAAGACAAAGTTGTTTCGATAAATAACGACGAAGATAATAGACAGATTTAAGATTTGACCTAGTTCTTGACCTTTGACCTAGATAAAAAATTGACCCAATTTCCGAGAAACTAGATACTGGACCTAAATTGACCATGTACAGGACTTGACTCAATGTCTTCTAGTTAAGGAGAAAACGTGTGTAGAAGAATAAAGAAGAAGAAGAATACTGACAAAAGCTATAGACTCCAGATTTACATCTGGAGTCTAATAAAAATGGTCCTGATCAACACAGGCTTCGCTATAAGTATTGCAGTAGCACATTGGTGGAGGACGCCATGGTTCTTTACTTTGCGTTTTTAGTGCGCTTTTGCTATTGAAAAGGTTGCCGCATTCATCGCACATGTGGCGTGTTGGGGCAGTTTCCTCCACTGGCTGTACGACAACCAGATCCATCTACAAAATAGTTGTGATATATATTGAAAATAAAATCAAGATGTCCATCATCTTGAGTAAACATCAGATTATCGTCGGGCGTCAAATATTCACCATATACTACTGTAAAATTATATTATTGTTGAATTCTTGTCCCAACTCAAGTTTATATGTAACCATATTTGTTTCTTCCTGATGTATCCAATGAGAGCGTTTAAGAAATATATGTAAAATATTAAAAATACACACATTCGAAATGATTCAATTAAAACCAATTAGAACGTCTACTAATCCACATGATACATCATAATTAAATTGCTTTTTTAAAGTGGATATTTTATACCATAACCCCAAAAATATTATAAAATGCGTTGTATTTGTATTTTACTTCACACAGACATATTTGTGTTCGTGAAATAATTATATTACTTGAATGTTTTATTCCCCATTATAAGGTAAACCTATGGCAATTATACATGCCTTCTCACAGCTATGAGCGAGGTGATAAAACTGGTCGAGTGAACTCGTTTGAGTTATCTATTCGCTGTAAAAGTATCAGAGAATGTGTGTTTATAGCGTTGCTTTGGTTTGGTAAATCAATGAAGTATGATATACACGGATGAGTAAATGTAGATTATTTAAACAAAAGTGCAAATTTCTTCCATTGAAAAGTACAGAGGCGGGTACTCACGAAACATTACATGTGCCTGACTGCATCCACATAGATCGACTAGCCACAGTGTAAGGTATGAAATGTTAAACGAAACGTGTCATCTTGATTTATCTGATCTAGGTACGTCTGAAAGTGTAACAGTATGTTATTGTATGACAATATAGGGGCAAAGAAAAGCCTTGCTAACCATTATGACAAATACGAGGGATAAGCATAATTTTTTTAATATCCCTTTCGATTATTTCATTTTTCAATTTCTGATATACATATAATAGATATTTCATATCCATCGTCACAGTGAACTAGAAAATGTTTTCAAATATTTCAGGGATCATTTCTCCAACCCGGAGTACCTCCTTCAAACACACCAAAATCTCATACAACTGTCAACTGGTTTTGCTTCAAATGGATCGCCAAGATATTTGAGGTTCAAGAAAAATTCTATAATGAGCCTAGTTTTATGAAATCAGATTCTGAAATAATCGGGTATGTATTTTCTATAGTAAGGCTGCTACATTTTCTATTCTCATTTGTTAACATATCACGTGTACTTATCTCTCTCAGCCGTTATTGGTTGTTGCACCTCACGTGATGTGCAATCCTGTCAGCCATTGGTTTGATATGTCATGTGACCCTATGTCTGTCTGTTTGGATTGGTCTACAATGACATTATTAAAGTAAAATATGCACAAAGCAAGTTTATTCCCCCCCCCCCTGGGCAAAGAAGAGCTGGTCAGTGATTTATTGAGATTAACTTTTTATATTCAGCATGCATATTGAATTTATAACTTTGACTGATTATTTCTCTGATTGGGGTCGGAAGCCGGCAAGTTCATTTTATGTAATTTGACCTTTGTGCTTTATGGGTTTTGACCAAATGCTGATTATAAATTATATGCGATCTCAGACTAAACCTCTCCTATGCCACTTCTCTAGCCTCAGCTACTTGCAATAAAATATTCTTAACTACCAGAACCTGAGGCTCGGGAATAAAAAGTAATGAAAATGAGTTTCTTGTGCTCATCCGCCATTTGCTCATCTTTTACAGCCTTCTACGTGTGTAAGTATTACACATACTTATACGTATATAGTCTTGCTTTATTAGGGAGGTTAAGATTAGCGTAAAGATATACGTGTACCTATCCCTATCCGTATGTTTGTTATGGATGCGTATAGGTAATGCGTATTGCAAAATGAGTTAACGTAAAATCCTACGAAACCGTATGCTACAATTTATGATAAAAATGACATCCTAATTATATAGAATGAAAACCATGCGATGGCTTATATGGCATATACCTGTACATGTCACTTCAAAAAACTGTTATATACTTCAGAGAGAGTGTGGTGTAGCTACTGTAGTGGGGAGGGGTGGTGCTTGTGGGCCCGCTAATGGGGCAGTGACTTAAGGAGAAATGTTAAATTTCATGTCTAGCATGATCCAGCAATGAGAGTGACCAAATAGTAAAATTAAAACAATTAAAACCACGAGAAAATGGATGATTTAATACATTTTCAATAAGCAAACTGGTGATCATGAAGAATGTGTAAATTCAACAATTTCATACATCACCACATGGCATCGTTTATCGCATCAATGAATGTGTTCGTACCACTTAATTTCTATGCAGATCGAATGAGAAATGTTTGTTGTTACTATTTTAAAGTTTAATGAATGATATTTTATCTACAAATGACATAATTTGTTGGATAAAAACATACGTATTCGAATTACCTATTAGGCTAGAGGGAACTTGGACAAAAGGCCCTAAAATCAAAAGTTTATTGTACACTCTCCACAACGACATGTGTTTGGTACCAAATGAAAGCTAAGGTCCCATGTTTTCATGATTCACTTGTCCTAATATCAAATTGTGGTATAGCTTTTGTCTAAAACGCCTGTTTCCATAGTAACCACAAAGTTTATATCTTCGCCCATTTATAGGTAATTGCGTATCGCAAACCCTGGAACTTAGGTAAAATACCGCTTAGTGTAATAACAAACTACGTATAGGTATAGGTAAATGAGTTATTTACGCTAATCTTAAACTCCCTATTTACATATACACTGCGCATTACTAACTCAGTAACCAGTGGGCTTTTAAAACACTTTATAACGTGTTCCCCAGCCTCAGACAAGACCAGGTAAATGTGCGTCATCAGCAAATATTATAAGCTTTAGAAGAGAAGTTGCTTTCACAAAGCTTATGTAACTAAAAATAACTTGCAAACTTAAACATGCTTTTACAGTTTATCTTATGGGGTAAAGGCTTGTCACACATTTTGAGGAGAGTGTACATGGTACTGAGCATGCGTACTTCTTTATTTCAGTGAGTTGTCACAGGTGGCGGCATCTTTAGGAGTGAGTGCCGATTGGGTCACTAGATCTCTACACTCGGACGATACCCTAGAAAACAACGCACGTGTTGCTTGGAAGTATGGCTGTTCACGTAAGTATAGTATAATACTATTGTATGCCTTTGGCTAGATTGGCAAAAAGAGATAAGAAATGTGTATTATTTGAATAAATCATGTGTTTCATTAGCCGTCACCGAAAATAATATTTCCCATATAATAGGAAAATAGTTCGCATGATTTACTTTGTCCTGTATCCCATTCCTATGTCCTGTGTGTAGGAGGGTGTCATATAATATTAATTTTTAAGTTGGACCTGTAAAAATCTTCCAAAACCTATATTGCAACAACCAATCAAATATACCATTCCATTCTAAGCTTTTATTTGAAGGTGGAGTTGCCGGGACGCCTACATTCTTTGTCAATGGAGTGTTTGTCGATGCTGCTAGTTGGGACGAAGGGAAATGGCATAGCTTCATCGATGAACTCTTAAAACTTTGAATAACAGCACAAAGAGCTTATATATTTGTCCGTTTTGCATTGTACTCCGGGCAGTTACCTTTGAATCTTGTTATACAGTATGCGTGTATCGTATAGACTCTGGTTATATCTCTCATTTAAACGATTTGCCAAGGTGCTATAGAATAAATTATATATTTGGTGATATTCTTCAACATAGACCATACACATTTAATTACATAAGTTATGCATTATTTGATGAATTGATGACCTAGTTAAGAAATTAAAAAAACTACTACAAAATAAACAAAAAATACATTTCATATCCTTTATTTTTATATGTGAACGCTATGCCTAAGGTATGATCAGTTTTTCATCTATACGTTTTAAATCTAAGGTTTCTTTCATATGCAGTATGTACCTATGAAGAATAGTCTTTTTTCGGTTAAATCTCGATCAAATGTCCTGCAAGTATCCAATTTCCTCTTGTTGCTAACATAAATATTGTTATGGTTTGTATGCAAATACTGATGTCGTCATTTCAAACTATCGTGTCATATATTGTAACAACAGAATTGAATAGTGTTATCAAAATGATATGAAACTATAAATATATGATTATTGTATCGAATACAATTTTTGCTTTTTCTTAATATGGATGTTGATCTGTCAAAATGAAAATATGAGTAAAAATGTAAAAGACAGTTTGTATTTATCATGACTTATTGAACTTTGAGGAGAGGGGACATACCGTATTGAATTTCCACTCAGTGTAATTGGTCTTTGAAATGTAGTGGACATCGTAGTACGTGACAAGTTAATAAACATGGACACTCATCTTCATTTGAAAGCATATAAAGCACGTTGATGTGTATATATGTTTGTGTTGTTCCCTGTGTTATTAAAATAGTTCGAAAATTTATGTCTTTGATGATTTGATCAATATACAATAGTCATCTGTATTATGTTACACTCCCCTCCAGAAGTTTGACAACTGCAATTAAGTCTTCATTTGATAGCAAGTTAAGGCCTGTTAAAATTTGAATCTGTTTGTTTTGTTCCTTTTTTACGATAGTTTGGAAATGTATAAAAAAAATTGTGAGATTTTTCTAATCGCCAAACATAAACAGGCTTCAGACACACGATCCAGAATGAAACTTCCGGTTTCCAAACTTATTTAGAGGGGTGTACTTAGAAACAGGGAAGGTTGCCAAACTTATGGTAGGGTATTTAACAACCTATAGCTGAGACTCCACGCGATAAAGTATTTTCAAATCTCGTTTCTTTTCTTATATCCCTCATTTTAGCTTTATTCATTGTCTTATTCATATTGGAATGTAGAAATAAGTGCTAATAAGGTTTTCTAAAGTTAACTAATGCATACAATACACCACGTAAACAACATGGTGCACATGTTTTAACTAATGTCATGAAAGTTGAAAATAAGTTTTTTATGCAATTACACACCGTCAGAAACAAAATAGTATATTGGCAAAATGTTTGCCAATGAGTTCAGATGATAAATCAAACACAGGATTGATTACGTGATGCTTTAAAAATCAAGTTTATTAAAATGATGACAAATTGTGGCTATCGATTAGAGTTGGTTAAATAATGAAGCAGGGTGTTATAATAACGAATTACCCCAAAATTAAGCCAATTAGTATTCTCACATTCTTATGGAAATATTTAAAAAAATATTATAGAATATACATAGTACAAATTGATAGAATTATAGGACATAACCAATTTTTGTGAAAGTGCGGAACTAATTTATTTGGAGTTCTAAATAACACTTGTAAAAATGTCGAAAATATTTTCGTATAATATCAAAATTCAAAATCAGTATATCACGTATTGAATTATTCATCCGTATATCACGTATACAATGAGAACAAACTATTCCAAATATGAAACGGAATATTTTAAAAAGCGGTGGGCTCGCATCCAGATTAATTTGTAAAATGAGATGATCATACGATCATGACGCGCAGGCATCATCCGCCACCTCAAAAGACACCAATCATTTTTATTTTTCCTATAAAAATAATGTTAATTCACAGATATCTAGACATGACATACTGTATCCATTCAATCAAAACAAAAAACTCGATCCAATGCACATTCTATATTTTTCAATAGATGAATGGCATTTCATGGTATACGTAGACGAAGGTACTGTATACGACGAAAGGTATACGTAGAAACGTAAGTGGACTGGACTCAACCAGTGTTTAAATGCCGACGAAAATATGATACAAAGAAAATTCTAAAATGTGTGGTTATTATAGTACAACGAAGAAGTATTGTATATGTAAATGTGACTGATTTCAATTCTTTTATGAATAAAAAAGTAATAAAATGTGAACTTCCAGTTAAAACTTTATTATCTTTTTGAGTAAAGTAGCAAAAACCTTCATTATTCAATATTACTCCTAGACCATCGGATCTCGTGCCGTATCCGATGGCAGAGTAGCTTATCTTATGTATCGCCCTAACTATGGATAAACCATGATACAGGGTGACCCCAAACACTAAAATTTTGGAAAAACATCTCAATTATTATGGCATCCTCGTATTGTAAGATTTTTGTACGACTATGACAGAGATGGAATAATGAGATGCTTTATTGGATGCTCTATGCACAAAAGAAAATTCAGGAAGATCCAAGGAGGGTTATTCCAAAATTAGTGGGGTGCATTTTGGGTCACCCTGTATTACATGCATTCAAAATAAGAAGTCATTTTTACAGGTATGCATATCAAAACGAAATTTGGATGATATCGCCTTGAGGCATTTTTTCACATTTCACAAAAAGTCACTCGTAAATGTTAATTGGGTCGTATCGGCCACCATGAATCACTCGCACATTTTGTCAATATATTGAATGCCACTCAAATTGTCAACCAATACACCCTTGGTATATGTGTAGCTGAAGCATAAATTAAGCCTAGAATGTTTTCATCATGATCAACATTAACAAAAAGTACAAGAGTATTAGTATTTAGCTATCAGATTAGTAAGACTCAGCATCAAGCCATTGAATTCTCTTGAGTGGTAAACTTTCATCCTTCATGCCTTGTCTTTTTAGAAGTGCATTTTTGAAACTGTTTTGCGATTTTTTGTTTTGTAGATAATTTAGAATAACTTTCCAAATGCTCGAATCTCTACTGAGGGATTTCGTCACTGCACTTGGATCAATGCTAAAATCAGACACTGCCCTAGTGTCATATTGTTTGAATATATCGTTCAAGTCCGAAAGCACTATTTTCTCTGGCGTAGGAATATTGATATCATCGGTGCGCTGACTGCGTTTCCACATTCCAGTGTCGCCGACGCCGTTACAAGCTGCGTATCTCTTGAAGTTTTTCTCTAGGGCATGGTATGCGCCTTTGTCCACCTGCTTCAGTACATTTAACAAAAGTCGAACACTCCTGCCTGGAAATGGACACAAAAAGTCAAGAGAAGGAGAATCTAAACTTACGTTTAGTATTCAGAATAAGACTGAAGGAGCATTAAGGCAAAAAAATAGTGTCGAAACTGTATAGTTATAGTGCTGCTTTTCCCCTCTATTGGTGATGCATTATTCTAGTATTATTTCAGCAACTAAGTTTCGTTAACAACTATTGTTGCATTTGTTTAGTGTTGATGTTACATTGGCATAGTGTTTGGGTTACAGTTGCTTAGTGTTGATGTTGAAATTGTCTTAAGTTGGTGTTAGATTGGGCAAGTGTTGGTGCTACTTTTGCTTAGTGTCGTTGTAACATCTTTGCAGTGTTGGTGTTACACAGGGAGATATGATGATTACTCATGACAATTAGTACAAAATTGATACTAAATTAGCACTCTGGCAAAAGTGCACTCATGAGCACTCATATAACGAGTGCTAATTTAATACTTATTCATGATATGATATAATTCAATTCATTTAGTGCTGAAAAAAATCAATTTTATTAGTACTATTTTATCACTCATGATATGAGTGCCAATTAAGTGCTAAAAAATCAATGAAATTTCTGCTATTTTATCACCCACCATACGAGTACACATTTACTACTAAAACATGCAATAAATCAGTACTCATGTCATGAGTGCTCATTTAGTACTAATATTTGCTGAAATGAGTACTCAATTAGCGCTAAAATGCCATGAGTACTATTTTAGTACTCGACATATCTCTCTGTGTACTAATGTTTAGTGTTGGTGTTCTATATTGGTCTTTTGTTAACAACTGCCGTTACATTTTGTATTGTCAATGTTACATTGGTATAGTGCTGATGTTATATTGTCTAGTGTCGGTGCTACAATTGTCAAGGTTTAATGCTTCACCAAAGTTACACATTTTCAGTTGTCTTTGTAGTTGTTACCGATTGTTTAGTGTTTCTGTTATGGTTGTTAATTGTCGGTGTTACAATTGTTTAGAATTCGAATTACCTCAGCACTTCGATCTACCGCGATAAGAACATTACCTTACCATTAACTAACACGGGTAATGCTTGAATCAAATAATATTTAAGAAATAAACAGAAATATTCATTTGTATTGAATGCTGGTATATTTTCAATTATCGGGGCTCCGAATGCATTTGATAAATGGTAGTGTAAGTAATGCATACTTTGTTTTTAATATTATAAAACTCAAGTCACATTGCCCACGCTCTGTGGTTATGATCAAATGTACTGTAGTGAATGAATAACGAATAAATAAAACGATAATCAAACATAAAATACAGGTGGGGATCATTAGGGAAATGAATTCAGCCCAAGAGCAAACGGTCAGGAAATCAAATGTCATTTCGAAAAGGTAGCTTGAAGATTAATAAAAATGTTTCGAGCGATGCGCTCAAATCATCAAATTCTCTTTAGCAATTTGATATCACTACGCCTTCCACTCTACGGCTGGTAGATTAATATTTCGGTAGCAATTTGAATTACTCCGCGGAAAAATGTTCAACTCAAATAGCTAAAAGATACATTTCTCGCTGTCTATTTCACAAAATGTATAAATTTGGATGAGAATCGTTCGATATTCCAAAAATACAGTGCCGAAAAGAGAGGGTGGGTGATTTTACCAAAATGTCCTTTTCTGATCGCAGTCTATGAAGATATACTATTAGATATATACCAACGTGTGGGGAATCTATGAGCTGAAGAGGAAGATAAAGGCGCAGCACTGCAATGCAAAGGAGAATTCCCAGTGTAAAGACAAACTTAAATTCATGTAGAACCCCTCCATAAGTATGGAAACAAAACGTCTCATTTGGATTACATGTTAAATGCCATTTTATGTCCTCAAATTTTCAACTGAATGTTTTTCAAGAAAAAAGTAAAATTAAGACATTAGTACGAACATGCTATCCACCGAGAAGTTCATGTTTCCAATCTTTTGGAGGAGTTTATTTTATATTATTTACCATTTAGCATTGTGGAAGCTCCTTTTGCTTTGAATAGACCTACAACAGAGGAAACACATGGGTTAGGTACTAACAACTATAGGATTTCAAATGAATATACACTCTCGTTCACATTTATGGAACACATGCAGTTTTATCTTCATAGCTTTCAAAGGTAATGTCAGGCAATGATTCGTTTTAAGGTTATACTCTTAGCTATGTAGGGTCACATGTTTAGTCGTTTTTATAAACCAGTTACACCCCAGTCACATTTCCAACGGCGACCTTGCGGTCTATTATTTCTGCGGCCAGTAACATTTCTACGCTCGCCGTGGAATTTCTGCGCTCTCATACTTTTGCAGTCACATTTCCCACGGTAGCCGCACGGTGAATTTTAAATTTCTGTTGATAAATAATACTTTATTTACATCGGGACAATTTATGAATGTTATTCATAGTGCTAGGATGTAATATCAAATGAAAAGTGATTGTGAAACATTGACAAATAATGATTGAATCTTGCTGAGCCAGTTCATTTCTACGGGGACCTCAGAAATGAACAAATATTATAACTCCGAGTTAAAATTTCTACGCCTTCCTTGCGGCCTGTAAAAATCTGCATTCGCCGTACGGAGGCCGCAAGGCGAGCGTAGTTTTTCTACGCTCGCCGCAGAAATTCACCGATTTAATTGATCTGCGGTCAACTTGCGGCCGCCGTGCGACAAATGTGACTGGGGTGTTAAATGTCAAGAACAAAGAATAGTCAAATTACCAAGTCTAAGACATATGGGGTTAGATAGTTAGATAGAGAGTTTCATAAATCCCGCCTTTTTACTAACCCGGATTGACAACTGTAACCATGTGTCTGCAATGTTATTGGCTGTCTGTGGTCACATGTTCCGTAGTTTTTACAAACAATGTCAAGGTCACGAACAAATAACTGTCACATGATCATGTATTTGCGATACTATTGGCTATATGTGGCCAGATGTCCCGAGGCTTTTATAAACCAGGCCAAGGTCTCGGAAGAATTATTGGTTATGTATGGTTATAAGTTCACCAGTTTTTACAAAACAGGTAATGGCTCCGGATGAAAATCAGTCACATGATCATGTCTAGATGATTGACTATGTAGTACTAATCGTTGTCTCAAACATCAATTATCGATCATGTTACCGTTTCATGTCATGTATCCAATCCAAACTAAGGTCATGTCTAGCTGTCTTTAATATATGATATTTTAATAATTCCATACTCCATATATGTGAAGAAGAGTGTATAGACTAAGCAGTACTAAAAACAAAAGTGGTTTATGAATGGGAATTACAACATTTACTTAATGGATATTTGTGATCTTTTAGTGATGATGTTCGTGATCTGATGAAATATTAGAAATAAAGGAAAACAAGGTCAATTAAATTAACTGATTGTTCAAATAAATACTTAATGAACATTTAACCAAAGAACAAAAGAGGCCATTCTTTAATATTTTCAAGTTTGATAGAATATAATAAAAGTTACAGCATTTTTATTAGTACTTATTGAACGCCCGGTAATTTCAAGTTTGATAGAACGTAGAATGTTTATAATAGTTTTGGCCAACGAGGATGTGTTAAAAATGTCAAATATCACAGATCAAAAATATTTTCAAGTTTGATAGAATATTTATAATATTTTTGGCCAACGAGTATGTGTTAAAAATGTAAAATATCACAGATCAAAAATATTTTCAAGTTTGATAGAATATTTATAATATTTTTGGCCAACGAGTATGTGTTAAAAATGTAAAATATCACAGATCAAAAATATTTTCAAGTCTGATAGAATATTTATAATATTTTTGGCCATAGAGTATGTGTTAAAAATGTAAAATATCACAGATCAAAAATATTTCTTCATGTTGTAAATGAATGGGAAATACCACTGTGAAATTCGATTTCATTTTGGGTTAACTTGCGCTATTTCTTAGTACAAAGGAACGAGTCTGCGACGTGCATTACAGAAGCTTCAAAAGTACACTAAAATCTGCGCTAGTGAACACCTCTCTCTTGTGAACACCTGTGTTTAATGAACACCACTTCAAGACAAATTCTAAACTGACTCCTGTATAGAAACCCCCTCTCTGTAGTGAACACCTACCTTGAGTGAACACTTGTGGCTCCATAGGTGTTCATTTTATACATGTTATACTGTAGTTACATTCGTGTAATTGAGGAAACGTAATATTACCTTCTTTAATGTCGCTACTGATATATATATCAGAGTATAAAATGTCATACATTCAGGTTTAATAGTTAAAATGATAAATAACAAGAGTTATATTATATATTTACATTTTTTAAATCGATCATGTTAACTAATTTCACCAGAATGAATATCAACTTTTTTTAACTAAGATAGTAAATTGGCAAAACCCCGAGGAATGATTTGGTATGCAAGAGGTTTGGAAATATCCGCATTAGACAAGGACGTCATTTTCAAGTAATGCTATTACTCTTAAAATGCATTGATGTTTACTTCCAAAGAAATTAAATCACTGATGTTAGATCTTTTGATAAACTGATTTAAAGATTAGAGCGGAAATACTGGATTTAGAATAATTTGGAGATCTCAAATTAGAAATTTGGAGACAGAGATAAACGTATTTAATTTAATTTTGGATAGTCCCATTTGCGTCATCTTCTCAAACCTGACAGAGATCATGGCTAAACTAGGTTAAATGTTTACGGAAGAGTATGGGGTAACTATTTTTGTTAAACATGAAATTTATTATTTAGAGTATAACATGTTTAATATGACATACATATGTAAAGTGGCTCATTCAGGACAATTTTACAATTCATACTTGTCATGATCAACAGATGTGATGGTCTTTTGAAAAACTAAAAAACAACACGAATGGTTTTCTCTCTATCTCTTTTCGATTTTGTTCATTTTTCGTTATCTTTCTTTTTATAAATTTCTTCGACAGGTTCCTTTTTGGAAGGCGTGGTCTCAGTGATCCCATACAGACTACCTAGCAATGCACTTACTTTAGAACCACGGTGGTTATAGGTGACGCGGCCGAATCAGAGAACGAACGTGGTCCAGAAAGTTATATTTTTCACAAATATCAATATCGAATACACTTCAATTTTTAGAATTATGTACCTTTGGCGTTTTAAAGGGGAAAATCTTAAGTATCATTTGTTGATTGAACTTCCATGTTTTTCCACTTATCGCCCCTGTCCGCTCGTTTAATATAGTATCAAAACAGTGTTGTAAAATGTTAGTGCTCTATGTAACTGTATTGTATTTTTTCTCTGAAATCAAAAGTAAATAAAAAATATCGAAGTTATATGAGGGAATGCATATGGATCCGTTCTAACTGGTCTGGTGTACCTTACAGCCTTAACTGTTTTGAATATCTGTGTCTGAACTGCGTCACTTTTAACCACCGTGAAATGTCGTTCAGAAATAATCATATTCGGCTTATTTCCCTCTTTGATTATCTCCGATGAAAGTAGGATCACAATGCAGGTATAAGTCTCAACACTTACATATTGTGATAAATTACTTTATCCGTCCCAATATGAGATGCCCTTTGTGTCAACTTGCGGCTTTTGTTATTCTTCAATGCCTCGTAACAGAACCCCGAGACAGTTCAATTATGCGCTCAGTGATCGTTTTAAGTATTTTTGTTGTTCGTTTATTGTACATTGTAGTGACTATTAAGTCAGTGTTATCGCATCAGAGAGTCAATTAATGAATTCAGATCGTCATAGACAAATTATTAATTATCATTTGTTTACTACTCGATGAGTATATTTATGATCAATATCAAATTAAATCACAGATTTGATGCTAATCTGTTCTTACTGAGACTTAGATTAGAATTAGAAATTATATTTCTCAATGGACATTTTGCTAAGTTAATTCAGAAACAGATTCGTATGGCAGTAAGCTAAATGAATGGTATTTGATTTGAAGCTATGAGATTTGATTCAAAACAATGATATTTGATTTGAAACAATAATACGATCTGATTCGTAACAATAAGGTTTGGTTGGGAACAATGTAATTCTATTTGAAACAATAAGATTTTATATGAAACAATGCAATATGATTCCGAACAATGAAAATTGAAATAATGAGAATTGATCCGAGCAATAAGATTCAATTTGAAACATTGAGATTTAATTTGGAACAATGGAATTTGATTTGGAACAATGAATTTTGATTCGAAACAACGAGATTTGATTTGAATGAATGCGATTTGATTCGAAACAATAGGGATTCGAATCGAAACGCAACGAAACAATCAGATTCAAGTTAACGCAATGAAAGTTTTTACAAAACAATGGGATTTGATCCGAATCAATGCTATCTAGTTAATAACAATGAGGTTTGATAGGATTGGATCGAAACAATGATATTTGATATGAACAGTTAGGGAAAAAACAAACAGAAAGTATGATTTATTAAAATAAACAATTAAATTGTTTAAACAAAAAGCAACTCAAACTAAAAATAAATCGTTTCTAATATTATCTTTCATTAAAAATGTCAAATGAAATCAAAAATACCCCCAAAACATACCTGTTCCTTTAGCCAAAGCCATTACTGTCGATAGAGGATTTTCGCCACATTCCGCCGTGCATTTTCCACACTGAAGGAGACAAAGTACAGTTATTATAAACGCTTGTAGCTTCTCCCAACTCATCCTTGGAAAGAACAATCTTCCGCGTCCCCAGGTTCTCTTTAGCCAATTCCCGACAAACTTAAAGATCATTTTATCATACAGGATTCTAGTTAGTAGATTTACTTAAAAAGCTCTTATCAAATCAGAAAGCGTCTTTTACATGTTAAATGACATGGCTACATAGCGTTTCTACTAATTTGAAGTGATGCGTTTTGCCTTTATAGTTTCCTGCGTAGAATTGCCAAGGCAGTATATGACGTGTGAATAGCGAACCCCTGATTCTAATCAACAAGCTATCGCATAGCATTGAAATATGAACACTTCGATTACCTCAACGTCTGTCGGTACACTCACACCTTCTCCCCTCCCACTGTTAACTATTTGTGTATTAATAAATTCCTTTCTGTCATATTTTCCTCACGACCGCATGATATTTGTAATATTATTTCATTGTTTTTTATTTCCAGGGAACCTTACCATAGCCGCGTTGGTTAATAAAATTAATGACGTCATATGTGTGCTAATCAGCCCACTATAATTTGCATATACTGTGTATATTTCTTAATTTTCTGGAATATACACGACACAAAAAAATTTGCAATAATGTGTAAGTTGATTTGGGATTTCTGGTAAATTATCTTGGCAGTCTGTGCCAGATCCAGTGGCGTAGCCAGCTTTCAGCCAAAGGGGGGGGGGGGTGCGATCGCCAAATTCTGTTTTCAGTCAGGGGGTCGATTGTGGCATAAACAAGCAAAAAATTAAGGTTTATCTTTAATTTTACAAAAATTGATGCAACTTCCATCAAAATTGAGCTAAAAGCTTCAAATAAAAAAGGGGGAGGGGCGATCGCAGCCATCGCCCCCCCCCCCCCCGGCTACGCCTATGAGATCCACGAAATAATTTACTCCTCGAAAGAGTGAGAATAGTTCCTCTGTAACTTTGGTGATATGCGTCTTAATCCAACAAAACTGATAACTTTGCTTCTTCATAAATACCTGCAGTCGTGCATTCCTCATTTTTCTACTTCAACGTAATTAAGTAGTAAGATATATAAAGGATGACGAAGTATTGAAACGATTATCTAGTTTTGTTGCGTAACATTCATTAACATTTTAGGTGCAAACATTCACCACTTTGGCCAAAACTTTGGCCTAGCCCACTAACATTTTCCCGTAAATGAACCAACCTTTTTACAGCACATCAGAACCAGCCTTTCAAGGCTTTAGAACGTTCCAACCACTTTATAGTTACCCAAAGTAATCAAGATGAACCTTCTGATTTAATAAAAAGTTACTTTTGAACAATATTTCATCAAAAAAATGTTGAATAAGTTGAATAGTATTAAGAATATTTTACTCGTATAATATATATTTTACGGTGATCACGTCTTACACGTACAATAAAAAGGGTCTTATATCACAGAAATAAAGCATAAAGAGAAATCCATCGGAAATGAGTAAGCTTGTATTTGTGAATTCAACTTTCGGCTGTCTGCTACCGGCTTAAACTACTATTTTATGATCAACTCATTTAAATATGAATGGAATAGTGGCAGGTATTATTCGTATTTAAATGCGTTGCCCTTAAAATACTTAGTTAATCAGGTAGCCAACATCCGAAAGTTGCATTAGCGAATACGATACAAGAAACCTACTTGTGCAAAAAGATGAGAGTGGAAAACAACTATATATTTGAATGTCTATTATATTTAGAAATCATACATACTCTACTTGAATTTAGTTATTTTATATTGTGATATCACCGTGTACGTTGGACATCATTGGAACACCAGGCTGCCGCAGATACACAATGGGCAATTTATTATTAGTCACGATTGTGAAAACAATGGGGTATACAAAAGATAAACGCAGAGTGTATTACATATTACAAAAAACAACAACCCCTACACGTTCTTGTAAATTATGATTAGTTGTATCTATGAGAAACGATTGCAATACAGGACAAAGATCATTTGATTTGTGCTCTTATGTGATTGTGGTTGTCTATCTTATAAAAGGCGCGGAAGGCGCATTGAATAGATTGTCAAAAGTATTGTATATTTAATTTATTATTTGGCTACTGTGTATTTATTAAATGACGCCTACAAATCCACTTACCGTCAAAAGTTTGGCATCAAGAAGTCTGCTTTTGGTTCACTTGTGTGCTTTTGGTTCACGTACGCCTCTTAAGTTTTATGTTTGGCAATTAAAAAAAAATCTTCTTAGTCATTAGAAAGATTTCGCAACCAACTTATAGCATGTTTATTATTCCTGTATAACATAAAACTTATGAAGCATTTGATTACGTCATCATTTATTGCGCAGCTCTATGCGTCCATAATTGTGATATTTTTACTTATCCCACGATTAATGTGTTATCTGTACAATAACAGCTATTGATATTTCTGATATCATTGAAATCCGTGTGATATTTTCCAGAAAATCGTTTATCAAACTCATATGCGTGTGATATCGTTTATCTCACGCATATCCGTGTGATATCACATTTGCATTTCGCGCCACAATATTGTTGGAAATTAGGTCAGATAATTTATTCTCTTTGAGAAAATAGGTCCGTTAATTTATTCTCTTTAAGTTTCATCGGTGTATTGAATTACGATTGTGTATATAATTTGAATAGAACATTACATGTTCATTTTATTTACTTTTAATTGTTAAAATAAAGTGTTTCAAATATTCAATTGATATTCTAATTTCTAGTTTATATTGTCTGCCAATATCCTGGAAATTGGATCAGAACATCACAAGGTGATTGTAATCATGGGATAAACCCAATATCACATAATTTCTCGTGATATCATTTTATCGCCTCGTAGATATCAAATATCAACACTCATTCGCATAAACTCGGCGATAAAAATGATATCACTCAAAATGATGTGATATTCTGTATGTATAGACGACTATTCATTAGAATATCACACTAATGGACGTACTGGTACTGCGCAATAAAGTGATGACGTAATCAAACGCTTTATACGTTATACGGGAATAATAAACATACTATAAGTGAGTTGCGAGATTTCTCAATTATTTCGATAGATGCGTATAAACGATACCTACGTAAATCCCCTTTTATCCAAAAGTCGGGCAACAGCCAGTCTTCATTTTGTTCACGCGTAAAGCCTCTTTAGCTTTGGCGATTGATAAAAAATCATTAATTTCCGAAATACGTGAACGTGAAATAAGTGAACAACATAGACATTGAAACATGAACAGGTTTTAACAACACGCTATTGAATGAAAGATGAAGACTTCTGGTTGCCATGGAGAAAAGTGTATCACAGAAAATTCTTTGGGTCTTGAAAAATGCTTGCAAGACCTACGGACCTGTAATTTTGAAATAATTCAGTTCTGTATTTATTATAATTGGATCGTATATTAATACAAAAATCGAATTCCTCTAACTAGTTATATAGAAGTATGACTTTTTGACCACTCTTTGAGCAGTGCAGCAGTGATGTGTAATACCCCTAAGCAATCGGTGAAGATTTACGTTATCCACACCGATTGTTAATGAGGAGCACATGCCCGATAGCTGTTTCCTTTTAATTTATAAAACCACACAGGAAATTTATAACTTTCAAAATTCAATTTTGTATCGATTGGTCATCTCGATCATTGATACTGAATGAAGGCTATAATTGCCTGTAAAAGGTTAGTATAGAAGCGGCAATTTCAAATTCTTTGCCTTACGAGGAAGTAATGTTTAGTGCGTAGCTATAAAATCAAGTACGCACCTATCGACTCAATTTTCTTTTTATTAGGTACTATCTAGTACCATCTACAAATATATGAATATAATTGAGTACCAAACATGTCTTGTTCATGAAATATTACATTCAAAAATGATTCTATCTGATATAAAGTGGTCATAGGCTGGTAAAATATGGATTTGTGCAATATCATATTGCAGCTTTGGGTCATTAATATTTCATAAAACAAAACATCCTTTATTCTGCGGTATGACTGCATTATTAAATAAATTGTTGAGTGTATTCAATTACTACTATATAAAACCACATGTTTAATGTCAAAGATATATCACTATTTTATTTCTTCGTTTGAAAGCTAAATGCTTTTGTTATATAGCAAGATAACCAGAGATGTTTATTCAAACTTAGCTGAATTAACATCACTGGTGATCCACTCGATTACGCTGGTACCGTTTCGGTAACCATCGTAATCGAGCGGATCACCAGTGTAACATCAGTGCTAGGACCATAACAAGTATTTCAAATAATACCAATCCCTTCCAAAAAAATTAGCAACAACATATCAAGATCCCTCTTGATACTAAGTGTTTATGATCACCATGGCAACATGATTTAATTACACAAAAGCTGTAAATATTTTGGATAAATCCAAAGCTTCCCTAAAAATAAAAACAAATGTCTGCTTATCTTTTTAAGTTATTCCAAATGAACACAAATTTGACCTTTAAAACAAATTTAGGGAGTTTTCAATAAGATAACATGATAAAAATGATGAACTCGTGGATGTCTATGACTCTGGACTCTATTGATATTGGTGACTACTGCTCAATCCACTAAAAAGTGGGTGTGGTACTTTTGGTTACATTTTCTAACAATTTTGACAGTATCAATCACAGTCATATTTATAGGGGTCATGAATACATATATTATAATTTGATATGGAAAGTCTGAACATGATTGACCAAGTGGTTGCCATAGTAACACAACATAATGAATGCAAATAGTGGCTAGAGATCATTTCAAATAATCCTTATATCTTAACAGGTTGTTCCAATTACATTCACCTTTAAAGAGTTATTTTGTGTATGATTGTAACAAAATTAAGTTTGGATAATATTAATACATGGTTGTTATGGCAACTTAATTGATAATGCTGTGTGTTAAGACACATGCTTTGCTACTGTAGTATCTTCTTAGTACAAAATACGGCAGGCCATGTCTCTAACTCTCTGTCTGTCTGGATATCTCCTTCTAGACCCTTCAACCTTGAGTCATCATGCTTGATCAATATTCTTAGTGGATCAATGAGTATCCCATTAGGTCATAGGTCAATATCTCGGTATTTGGCATTTTAAGATCCTTGGCGGATGTTGTGACCCTTGACGACCGATGATAAGTAACCTGAAGTCAAGGTCAATGTTATGGGTCAAAGTCATTCCAAGGTCAATGATCAATTTCTAGGTGTTAAAGCATTTTGGGGCCTTGTTGACCCACTTATATGGGTAGAGATTACTAGTATAAGTAATGAAATTATGTTCAATTTGAATTGTTTTCACAATTCTAGTTTAAATGTACTTGTTAAAACATATTTATATCTACTTCCATTGTGTCTCAATCTTTCTGATATGAAGTTGTTTGTAAGAGGATGTATTCATCTCAGACTTTGGAGGCTGAGGCTGTACCCATCTTGAGACTCTTGAGACTGTACCATCTCAGATTCTGAAGGATGTATTCATCTTAACTCTGGAGGCTGTACCATCTTAGATTCTGGAGGATGTATTCATCTTAGACTCTGGAGGCTGTTCTATCTTAAATTCTGGAGGATGTATTCATCTTAGACTTTTGGAGGCTGAGGCTGTACCCATCTTGAGACTCTTGAGACTGTACCATCTTAGATTCTGGAGGATGTATTCATCTTAGACTCTGGAGGCTGTTCTATCTTAAATTCTGGAGGATGTATTCATCTTAGACTTTTGGAGGCTGAGGCTGTACCCATCTTGAGACTCTTGAGACTGTACCATCTCAGATTCTGGAGGATGTATTCATCTAAGACTAAGAAGCTGTACCATCTTAGATTCTGGAGGATGTATTCATCTTAGACTTTGGATACTGTACAATCTTAGATTCTGAAGGCTATAACCATCTATGACAATGGAGGCTGTACCATTTTAGTCTCTGGGGGCTGTTCCCATCTTAAGACTCTGGAGGCTGTGCCCAATTTAGAGTCTGTAGACTGTACCATCTTAGGCTCTGGTAGCTGAACTATGTTATAGTCTAAGTGCTCTACCATATTAAGGTATGGGATGTTACTTTCTAGGGATTGAGCCGCATGTTCTCTTGGGATTAGAACACGGTGCAGAATTTTGAATCAACATTGCAACATGCACTCTAAACATACATTTGGTAGAATACTCTCATTGTCAATACATGTATATTGCAAATGACATGGATTGAATGAGATCGCAACTTAGTCAGCACCTCAGCTTATTTTAGCAGTTGAAGTTACATTATTTATATTTACACTTATCAGGCTATTGCTGAAGCACTTAATAAAAAAAATAAGAACATTTATAATAATTACAGACACAACAATTAGATTGAAAAATATTTGAACTCCTTTGATACTCCTTTTAAGTAAAGATGTAGTTAAGATAATAAGTAGGTGTCCCTGGCCCCACCCACATTTTACATAAATCACATTTTGTTACTATGACCTACTGTGAGTAATTTGCGACCCATTGTTACTATTGACCAATTATGATCAAGATTACCATATCAATTGACGATAATGGGATTGATGACCCTATGAAAATGACTGTGATAATAATACCAACATAAAATTAATAGGAAATGTAACCAAAAAGTGCCATGCCCACTTTTCAATTCACCCCTGCCTCATGATGTTAGAATTGTCAATATTAAGAACATAAATATATTCTGTTCATCTACAAAATTATATTTTAGTGTATTTTACACATCATTGGCACAATAATATGTTAAATATTTGGTTGATATACCTCTTATTTTAAAAGGATGATGTTGCGCTCATCCTGACCCTAAAACCGGCCTTAGAAAATGAACAAATTATAAGAACTTAAATAAATGTTTTCAGTCAAACAAATTAACCAACAGTTCTGATATTCAAAGTGTCTAATGTCTGATAGTAGGACAACACTCCTGAATTTTTAAAAGTCATCACTATGTTTAATGATAAAATTATAGGCATTTATAGAGAAAAATGGGTGAAAAAAGCATACAAGGTAAGGTCATGAACACACACAAAAATGAAATTTTCTCAATATTTTCAAACTTTCTTCTGTGAAACTATCAATTTTGATATCTTTCTAATACATACATGAAAAAACAAAGGACACTTTAAAAAGAAAGTAGTGTGATAATTTAAAAAAAATAAATTGTTGTCATTTTTGGGGGTCATTGAGGGGGGTATCTTCAGCACGAAAATTCATAGTCTTCCACTACTTAGATTTTTCTAGATTTTTGATATGTTTTTTTATTTATCAAGACACATTGATTTCACCAGGTTTAAAAACTTTTGCAATTTTTTCCTTTATTTTTGTGTTTTTTACTGGACTATGTCAGGCGACAATGCTTTACGTCACTTGTTAGTCTATGCATCAACGTTTCATTTTTTATATTAGGCATAATATACAAGGGTCGTTCGAAAAGTCTTGCACGACAGCTTCTCAAGAGAAGAGATTTTATTATTTTTCTGTGAAATTTCATACAGATATAGTATAACCCTTCTTACGAGCTTACACTTCCCTCCATAGGTTTGGCAACCTTAGCTCCCCCATTGAACTGCGTGTTAAAGCCACTTTACGTTTGAATTTTTATTTACTTAACTGGCGATGAGAAAACTTATAATATTGATGGAAACGTAATCTGAGTTTATTTCCAATACCTCCAAATTTTCTCAATTTTTTCCTCAATTACAATAGGTCGAAAATTGATGATAAATTTGATGAATTTTTGAAAACTCGAACAAACCGTGTATGAAATCACACGGATTGTGTATATATTCTGCTAAACGCTATTCTATGTGTTAGAGATATCACATAAATATAAGATGTCCAATTTTGATACAGTTTTAACACCATACTTAACATGTAGACCTTTTCAGTAATGCATAATACTTGTAGCATTACGTCTAGTCCATAAGCAAATGTCTGGACCATCCTTAGGATATCAACTCATATCATAACTCCAGCTACCCTCAATACATTTCCCTTCTCTAATTCCATCTTGGAATACTTAGTAAACCCTATTGGAGTCATCATATGCAATATCTTTTAATCATGAATGAATATAACTTGATGTGTAATACTGATTCTCCATTCTTTATCATGTATTTTATCAATGTTTTCTGCTCCAACTTTATTATTTCGAGCCATATTCTCCAATATTTCCTGAATTCATGAGAACTTTGTTAACGTCACAAAATCAGGTGTTTTTTTTCAAGATGTTTGAAGAGTATGTTTACGGTCATTCTTTGACATATAATCAAAGAAAACAAGATGGGAAATATTGAGATAAGATTCACATTTGCCATGAGAACAATACTGGAAATTGTTTAAATCTAAATTGACAGTTTATGAAAGTTAATTTAGCATGTTTAGCAACATTGATCTTAATGTGTTACTAGTTATCTTTTACAAAATGATATGGACCATTGCGTCATCATCGTGGTTACTATAGCAACCGCAAAATGTTAAGTAGTAGGCGTATATAGATGAAACTTTGTCAGTGTAAGGGAATAAGATATGGGCACATACAGATTAGCTATGAACAAGATTGGTTCATTATTCTCACAATTAGACATATTTGTGCAAAACTTTTTGACCAACCCTTGTATATACAGTATATATTTTCAGTTTTTAGTCTTAGATTTTTGGTGTAGTTGAAAATTTTCTTGTGCACATTTTTGTGCATTTTGGCTCGGTTGGCTTGTCCTTTTCAGTTTTTCTCTGCATACAAAGCTTTTTACATTCTTTGTCTGAAAACAGAAAATAGCAATCGCGTATACCAAATATATTTATTTCATGTACATCTTTTGAAATTAAGCTGAACAGTTTACAGTCACCCATGACAAAGCAGACAACAGCACAAACCTTCTGCATGTTCACTGTTCCACAACTAGTTACTTTGACGGAACGTCAATGTAACAAAATGGATGAACTTCCTGGATACGAGTTTTTTGTTCTCTCGATTTACACTTACGTATATTTCTATATTTCTTTTTAATGGTACAATATAATGACATGATAATATTTACATATATTTCAGCATAACTCTGAAGGTAGTGAGATTTTGATGTATTGGGTATTTCTAATTTGGGATGTCACGTGTAGTGTAAATATGGCTAATATGAATTTATTCGAAATAGCGTGCAAATCCTGCATTCCGACAGATGTATAACCTTTTACCACATAATATTACTGTATGTAAGATGATCCCAATACAGATTTAATTTGTAATATGAAATTCATTCCTCATCGTTTTGCTTAGTCTAAAAATAAAAAAAGTCTTGGTAAACGTGCTGCACGATAGAACCTGTATCAATGAACATTTTTCTGTAGTGAACACCTCTTCTTATATCATCACATATTCCTCTGACTTCTGTATGAAATTTCCTCTATGGAGTCAACATCTACCAACTGGGAACACATTTTTGGGGTGCCATATGAGTTCACTGTACACATGTTTTACTGTAGTTGCACCAGGTAACCCTAATAGCTCTTATTCAAATAAAGAACAATCTTAAAATCCAATTTTGCATTTTCGTATTTCAAGATACACTCCATTTACCTTTTGGAACGACTGTAGAGGGTAGAACAATCCACAGTTCATACCATTATATGTATTTAGCTTCATCTTCATCAAATAATTTTACTGCAAATAATCAAGTTACCGTAAAAATGACCATGTCCGGTGATGTGTCCACAGTATGCACTATAGCTACGAAAGGCAAATACCCTACACTGAAATGAAGTTGATTGTCATTTTAATGAGTTACCATGCATAAGTTGGATTGCAGTACAAACTAAGAAAAATGCTTAGAGTGGTCGTATATACATCTCAGAATTTGTAATGTGTACTTTTATTACGCTTCATTTTTCAGAATACTTTACCAAAGAGATTTGACACGTCTGCTCCTCTAAAGTGTAGTTGTAAAAGATATATTATGAATCTTAAATTCTTAACGTATATCAGCTTAGAAACTGCTCCGTCACGGTGGACAAAAAAATTAAACATGATATTTTATAAAAAATTAAAAACACCAAATTCATCAAGATCTCATTAATACCTTCAGAGTTATGCTAAAAACATATGTAAATATTATTGTGTCACTATATTGTACCATTAAAAAGAAATAAAAATGGTACATTTTGGAGTATGATACTCCGGCGCCGTTTTAAATAGTTTTAACTCAAAGCGTTGTTGAACTTCAAACAGAAATTAAAGTTACCCGTTAATGATACATTCATTGCATGGAGTAGGTAATTTTCTTTGATATAGCGAAACAAATGAGTAAAAATTAATTGTGTGGATTTCCTAGTGTTTCTATGCAAAATAGCACGCTCCGTCACAGCGGAAGATTTTTTCAATACCAGCCTGTAAAAGTAAGACAATGTAGTCTTGCTTTTAGAAATGCTTTCAGTTTGGAATACGATTTTTAAACAAACCTGTAATTAATGCATTTGGACCATCGCTTTTGTTACATTGACATAAGTCGTCAAAGTAATATACATCGGTAATATAACGGGTTTTCGTCAATGTAACAAAAGCGAGAGGCTAAATATATAAATTGCAACTTCATTTACTAAACAAATTCCAAATCAAAGAAACTTATTAAAACTAGACGATATTTTCAAGCTTTGTGCCAAATTATAATCTGCAACTTGACTTAAAAGTAGGTTCAAACCGAGAAAATAAAAATTGTAACCGGGAAGTTCATCCATTTTGTTACATTGACGTTCCGTCAAAGTAACCAGTTGTGGAACAGTGATGTTCTGCTAAAAAATATTCATTTGACATGGTCCTCTCGTAAATCAGAATACAGTTGGCGCGCAATGCGCATGCGTGATGTACTTACAATTTTCTCCCGGTATGAGTCTCGTTCGAGGCTGCTTAGTGGTAGTTGTCTCCACATCACGACTTTCGACAGTAGTGGTTTTGCAGTTTCTGCCATTCTTCCTTTTGCATTCTTTGAAATTGTTTCCTTGTTTAGTAGTGGGAATGTCGTCTGCGACTGGTTCTGGTTTCGTGTATCTACCCCAAAACAAAATGGCGCCAGTCGGCTTGTCACGTATGAAGAAAAGGAAGGGATGGTCACAGGTCACTCTGACGGGCGGTGGAGGCCCCGACCTTCCGCCCGCTATCACTGTTACTGCCGCCGCTTCAGTACCTGGGTATAACGAAAATAGATTTTTGAAGGAAGCAAACAGAATACGAACGGCAGAAAGAGTAACTTCACAAACTAGAAATAGCATCAATCAATTTAATTAACTCTTGAACAATCTCAAGTAAAAATTGTCCGTCAGAGACGATGGGAAATGAAAAACGTATCATTGTAGTTTCATGTGAATTAGAAATATTTTTCGGATAATCTATGAAAATGTAAAAAATCTAGGCTATTCTTTGCAAAAAATCAAAAGCATATTTGTCAAACTTACCTTCTTCATTTACTTCAATAAAGGCTTCATGTATGACCTCGTCAATTGAAAGCCTATCATCGTTCGCCATCTTGCTAAGATTCGCACCAGAAAACACATGATCCATACCCAGTCTTTTCAAATTATTGTTCAGTATGTACCTCTCCTTCAGCTTGAATTTTGGCAGGCTCACGGTTACTTCTCTGTCAGGGTACAAATAATTCATCTCATCCTTCAGCATGGCCAATGTGAGTTTTTGTTCAAGTTCTGCAAGTCTGAATCGATCGTTGGGTAGCAATATGACCATACTTACGGTATCACCGACATACGGTAACTCGACGATCTGGGCGTCGAGAATAGACGGCGGGCTGTTCGTGTACGGAAAATGTGTTCGATGCACCATCATGTCTACTTCAGTAGAAGTGTCTTTGTCGGTGAAGAAGTTGGATTTGTGTGTTTCCTTTTCGAGAAATTTGTACTTCCACGTACCTTTGAAATAAATGGCGTTCACCAGAACAATCACAGTCATCGCGTCTATGTTATCTGGTTGAATAACATTTTGTAGTTTGTTGTTTGTAACGTTAGCTATCCAGTCATTTATAATCTTACGAGATTCTTCAGTCTTTTTAAAATCAAGTGGCTCAATCTTAGCGTCTTCCCCATAGTATTCTGTAATAGCATCTGTATATGAGGCGAGGAGATTTAACGTCGTTGCTGGGTAGACACGGTTTACTGTATTGAGCTTCACAGATTCATGTCCGTTGATCGATTCGTCTATGCACCTACGGTATTTGTGGACACTTTCTCTGATCGCTTGAGTAATGTGGAAAACTTCAGCAATGGAGTCGGCAGTTTCACCTGCAGTCCCTAGTAGTACCATCAGAAAGCAAGAAGCAACACTGTAAGGACTGAATATCAAATTACCGTTTGGATCATCCGTACTTAGATCCCTGTGCAAGTCTAGAGCGAATTGGTTGAATGCATCGACTAGTTCTTTGTTACATTTCGGAGATTTCCCGGTAAATCCACTAGTCAATACAAACAGTGATACCAACAAACCCGTCAGTACTGCCTGTGTCATTTTGAACGGCCTTCTGGTCCGATGTTCCTGTGTCTATTTGGAAATTATTCTCCAGGTTTTATAATAGCTGTACCTCCTATATCAACAATGCCTGGAAAACTATCATCAAAACGCATGCTTGTAAGTATTTATTAGTACTTTATGATTAAAATCAGCTACGCAAATATTACACCCTGGAATAATATAACAAATATGCCTATTTCACATAGTACATCCGTTTACTAGATTCAGTCATTATAGGTTTGTTATATTAAAATTAATTAAAAGCAGATAGTTATGTCAGTGGTTCACCAGTATAGCACGACTTGTTTTATTGGAGAGGTAAAGCCACGCGTTTCTAGAAATCATGTACGTGAACGTGTGGAATTATGGTCCTTTGGGATGAGTACTTTTCTTCGTGAACTAAATCTGATTGAGTATAAAGGAATAAAAAATAGTCGTAGTTAGGTACGTCGAAAATGAAACAATCAATAGGGGAATAGTAATCCCCGAGGATCTCATTGTTACACGTTCACATGATGCTACACTTTCACGTTCTCGTAAAAACGTGTAGCTTAACTTCCCCATTTTATAATCGCATTAAAATTTACACTTAAAGTTAACATTACCGTATGTTATGTCTACTCAACATGTTCTGGTGAAAGCCAGTGATGTATTTTTCATTTTGCACGATTTCGAGCACCTGTATTTCTAAAACATGATAAAACGCTTAGAACCATCTGTATTGATGGTAACAGACGCTTTAATGGAAATTTAATGATAATTAAAAGCAGTATTTGTGTAAACGTAGATCAAAAACATATGGCAATGCAAAATCGGAAGTGGGTATATGCAAGTTTTACATATAAGCCATATATTTTTGGTACAAAATGGCGCAGCCTTCGAGGTACGATAAAAAATCATGCGTTGCAATTGCACCAAAACAACTCCATATATGGTCATTTCAGTTAGTTCTTGAAACCGAAGCAGTGTAGGCCGACATTGTTATACAAAATACAATAAATTTATTGTACTTTCCCAATAAGAAAAGTATCGCGGGGCTTTAAACGCCTAGCGTAGTTTATATCAATGTTACATTGACACGGTGTAATTGTATTGTATTGTATTGTATTTTGTTGTGTTGTATTATAGTGTACCCTTTATTATCGAAAAACATGTTTCGATTTTTTGTTTTTTGTTTTTTGTTGTAAAGTAAACTGAAAGTACACCATGTTCAGTTTATTTTTAAACCATTCAAACTTGGCAAGAGCAAATTAACAACCAAAATGAGGGTACGGTAAATGTATTAACATATGATGACGCATGTCATCTTAAAAGATACTTACCACATATATTTAATGACAATATAAAATCAAAGATCATCAAATGTGATCGTTTTCACTTTAAAAATCACATGGAAAAATGTTGTAGGGTAAACTGACGATTGAGAAGAACTAAATGGTGTTAACCCAAGTGCTATGGAACAGTTCTTTAGTTGGATATCAAAATTAAGCGGTATTGTCAGAGGGTAAGGGCTTAGGGTTTAGGGTTAAAGTTAGGATAAGTGGTCAGGTTTAGTGCTTAGGGTTAACGTTAGGGTTTGGAGTTAGGATCGAGGATTTAAGATTAAAGTTAGGGTTTGGGGTTACGACTTAGGTTTAAGTTAAGGGCTTATGGTTCAAGTTAGGGTTTAGGTCAAGCGCTTGGACTTAATGTTAGGGGTTATAGTTAAAGTCTACTGTTAAAGTTAGGGCTAGGTTTAGGGCTTATGGCTAAAGTTGGGGTTAGGATTTAGGATTTAGATTAGGGTTAAGATTAAGAATTAAAGTTAGGCTCTAGGGTTAGGGCTTAAGGTTAAAGTTAGAGTGATGGATTAGATTTAGAGCTATACTCGAACATATAAAGAAAAAGTACTGGAGTTGAGTTTTTTTGTTTGTAAATCATTTTAAAGCTCAAAAATAATCACAGAACCTATTTTTATGCATTGTAGTTCATTATAAAGTTAGATTGATAGATACATTGATATTTGCTTCAAACACGTTTCTTTTAAAATTATATTGTAAATCAATTTAATTTCATTTGATACATAAATCAACAATTGTGACCTCCTATAATTGGAACTATATCCCCAAAGCTGAAATAGCTGTGAATGTTGCCAATTTCAGTAGTGCATTCATAGATGTCGAGTTAGTATAGTAGTGAGTATTGAGGTGTCATCAGCGTATACCAATCAAGGCGTTACAATACCCGGGAATTTTTCAGTTCGTGTGGTTCATGTTTAATTTGTGATAGCGCTCTCTGCAGGTCACTGCGCTAAACTGTCTCAGGTAGTAAGGGGGTAGGTTATCTATCCATCGATTTAGATATAAATTGAGGCAAATGTTACCATTTTCCTACTTAAGCAACTTTGAAATTGATTAGAAAATAAAACAATATCAACAAATATGTAATAAATGTAAACTGTCTATCGAGAAATCAGGATGTGTTTATCGGGTTGTGTCTTCGTACGATGTCCAACACAGCCCGCCATAGATGGTTCCTTAAGCCCGGTATACACCAATGGGGCAAAATCCCACTTGCCCCATCGAGTCCCATCTTGCCCCATCGAATCCCAATTTGCCCCATCGAATCCCACAAAGTCCCATGGGACTTTGATGACTTTGCCCCATCGTGCCCCATGGAGTCCCATCAAGCCCCATGGAGTCCCATCAAGCCCTATGGAGTCCCATCAAATCCAACCGTGCCCCATTGGTGTATGTCTGGCTTCACACAACACGTCATATGATCGAAAATCCCACAATGCCCCATGGAAAGAATGAACATGTTCATTCTCGATGGGACTCCATGGGACTTCATGGGATTTTGCCCCATCTTGCCCCATCGAGTCCCACCGAGTCCCACGTGGGACTTCATGGGACCTCGTGGGACTCGATGGGGCAAGATGGGGCAAAATCCCACGGAGTCCCATGGAGCCCCACGGACTTCATGGGGCAAAATCCCAAAAGGTCCCACGAGGTCCCACGCAATGTTAAGTCTATGGAGGTCCCAACTTGCCCCATTGGTGTATACCGGGCTTTATGTGAATTAGTATGACGTCATATTTTCCGGGGAACCCTAGATTTCGAAAGGTGATCCAGTATTTATTTTGGCACATCTTAATATTTTGTTATTGAGTATTGGCCAAACTGCCCTAATTCACGTCACCATACTTGAAATCGCCGTTTGTTTTCGATAATCCGCCGCTTGTTAGAAGTCAAATATTGTCTAAGTTTTGGGGGAAAATTAAAAGTCTTCTATAGACTATCCTTTATTTTATTCAGCGATCTTGTTTTGCACTTCCTTGTCTATGATTTGTACCTCAGTTTCGAACTGCAAGGGAACTCACTATAATCGTAAAGACCAGCCACATGTATGATTGATACAAATCTGTCTAACCAGTCACCAATGTAACGTTCTATAAAGTCGGTTAATGTAGTTATATAAAGCTTTGGGTTTAGTAATATAATATATATTTAATTAAACAAATATAAGATATACTCATATATGATCATTTTCTTGATATGTTTACAACTGAAGAGTCTCTATTTAAGGTTTAATATCTTAATTGTACATATTTTACTCTATCAAAATACCAGTGTCATATAAAATACTGAGTGCCACTATAACATCACCACACTATGTTGATGGCATGTTGTCACTGCATGTACTGTGAGAGTCCCACTTCGCTGAATGATACGCATTGCTGAATAACGACGTTGTTCCACTTTGCTGAATAATACACATTGCTGAATAACGGCATTGTCTCAGATATATGTCCCCTAGGTCACATTAAGAACGCCAATTGATATCAAAAGCATGAACGCCACTCATTCAGTCTCTGTATAAGCACATAGTCAACTAGGCACTAGCATCTAGTATTCAACACATAAGCACCTCACATGAGTATCAGATTCATTTTCATCTTGAATTTCTAATGCTGCTGCTTTTTGTACAATTGGGACCATTTTACTTTTTGAGTAACAATCTCAAACCACTTTGGCTTATATTGTTGTCTTATCGAATGTTATCAAAGTGTGAAATGTGAAACTTTTTATTAATTTCAAAAATGTTTTTGAAGGACTTTTTGTTCAAAATATCGTGAATTTATTTAAAACTAACTTTAAGATGTCACACTTATCCTTAAAAGTGATAATTCACACCGATGCATAGCAATCATCCTCACTTGTTTTTTGCCGAAAAAATCAAGAAAATTGGTTGATAGATGAGCGAGCAATGAACTCATCCATGCATGAAAGTGGTTCAGGGAAAGATGCATTTCAAAATTTTAATTCTCATTGAAACCAATGGTAAAATAATATTAAAAACATAATATTTTCATCCTTTTAACCTGGTTAGACAGTCAAAATTGGTTTATTTTTTAAGTTTAGAATATTTAGAAAAGATTGACATTGAAAAATGTTGCCACCTAAGTGATGTCACGTTATGGTCACTTAGGTTGAAAATATATTCGATATGCTAAATCATTGAATTGGCACATTAGATATAACATTTTATTTTTAACATAGTTTGTCCGTTGTTCAATCTTTATATTGGTGTTAAAAAGATATAGAGGTTCTTATATGAGTACCTGTGCAAGATCGTCCATTCATGATGAGCTTTCATAATTCATAATTCACATTATCAAAGCGACTGTCGGATAAATTATGAATGTGGTTTCGCACAGGTGTCAACGGAACCAAACAGTGAAGCCCGCTTTCCCGAACCCGAGTTTCCAGGATTTGCCTCGCATGCCTTCGACTCTTTCTCAAGATTTGGGCCCTATATTGTACCCCTACCTTATCATCCTGGTGTCTCGTTTATAACACCCTTGTAATTACAATGCGAAGTTACTTAAGCATGACAAAAAGGTTTGAGCCCCCACTTGTATACATGTATACCTTTATATACTCAACCGGCCAAGTATTAACAGTACAAAAGGGAGAAAAAATCCATCAGGTCCATAATTCTACACGTTCACATACAAGTTTAAAAATCTTAAATGTATTTAGAACTACGCCTTTGTACCAGCTACACACTTTCACAGGTGCGTCTTTACAATGAAACACAATAACGAAAATTGCAACTTTAGGATCTTGAAAAAAGTTGCAATATCCTTCCTGGTTAGAATAGGTTTCCACGTACAACTAAAAACACTATATAAATTAACTATCTATACACCATCAATGCAAATATATGCTTTCTTCCATTCTGATACTCATAGCATCTTTCTGTTTCACCTGAGTCATCTCAGGCCTGAGAAGAAATGAGATGTCATGGTTTATCATGATGGCTTTCTTTGAGAATACATAATGCAGGTCTGAGAATGTGGGATGTCACATTCATTGCAACACACCTTACAACAAATTCTTCTGAGGGTAATTTCTTATATTGAGAAGTTTATCATCTATTGAAATTAAATACTTGTAGCTACATGCAAGTAGCAACACATACAAGTCTTTCATGCAAATGGAGGTGCGAATTCACATTAACAAATTAAGATAAGATCCACAATATGTTATCAAATGGTTAAATGCGCAAAATGTGTAGATATGTTTTCCTTAATAATGTGTGAGGAGGCCTTTCAGGCAATTTTCGAAAATGTAGTGAGAACAAGTTTGGTGTAAAGGGGAGGGGGATATCTCCCACCTCGGTCTCTCTCTAATGCCTAGGCCACATATGCGTTGGGCGCCGCTACTCATCGGCCGATTTCTGAATCATGCAGTTTCGACAAAAATTATGTAATTTGGCAATTTTAGTTACAAAACATGAAGGTACATTATGTAAAATTTTGAAGACAATTGGTGTATATTTAACAAAATACCAACACCAGTCCTGTTACTTTTGGAACACCCTGTACCCTCTGGAGGTGGTAAAAAACTAAAATGAATCTGATATACACATAATCACAAGTGAATCATCTATTAATACATCACTCTCATTTTAATAATGACAATTCTAGATTTTGATTTATATCAAAAGTGCTCAATTCAACAAGTGCATTTGGATTTGTGAAATGCAACCTGTGTAAGGGTAAGTTATCTTATAAAAGGTAAATGACATTCTATATAAGTTGCCCTAGTCATTCCACAGTTCCAGGTGTTATTTTGTGGAGCCCATGTCTTGCCACATCACACGTGGAAATGACTTTGATAAACCTTGGACATCTTTCTTTCAGTCCATGGACTCTAAAATAACAAGAATTTGCATTGTCGGGAGCGTAAAATTGGTTATTTTGAATGTCGCCTCTTGTATTTTTCATCTGCCTCTTGTACACAAAGTTACTGAAACCACTGTACTAGTCAATGGGCAAAAGGGCAAACGCCTGACTTTTTGTCTCGAGTTATGGATTTATGTGGCCTCACTGGCCTATCTGAGGTTCTAAACCTATGTCTAAGCTACATTTTGACACTAAACTCAATAGGGGCCAAACATCTATTTTTTGAAATAATTGGTCAATTATGACACTACCCCCTCTCTCAGCAGACAGAAATTAAAATTCACAAAAATGAAGGCAAAATTAATACGCCACTTGACTCGAAATCTTCCTTCAGATAACCCAAATAAACGCATTTTCAAAAGAAATGGCATGTTGTCATTGCAAAAAGTTGACAACTGTGCCTACATACTAGCTTACTGACTCGTCATGATCACAATTGTGTTGGGACTACATTTATTTTTGAAAACTACTTTTTCTATTCAGCGGAAGTGACGTACAGTATTAGGGCATTTTGGCCTAATTGCCACATGGTTGGATGATTTCTGGCTTGAAATTCCATTTTTCCAAATAGTAGAGTTTTTCAAGTTGTTTTGTGCAGTTTAAGATTATTCTGAGAGCAATTATGAAAAATATGGCTACTTTATTACCCCTGGGTCATTTTTCCAAGAACCCAATGGGTTTCCTGTAAATTTGACTAGTTTTTCATTTACATCGTGAAATCTACTGCCTGGTGGTGACATTTTACAATATCGTGTCAAGAAATTGAGTATTTTATTGCATATTGCGATTTTTAGCCAAAATCACTGAAAAAATTTGGCCTATTTTGGCCAAATTTTACTAAAATTATCATTTTTGATACTTTATTCCATCCAACAACATCCTGATTGGAAAAATGATGACTTATTTGATCAGTTTTGACTCTGGCCTAGAGAATTTGGACTTTTGAGATAGTTTTAGCTCGAATTTAGTCATTCAGAGTGGACAAATACATCAAAAACTGACACTTAACTGACCAATCTCTGACTGTACCCCTGATATGTACCTTCATTCTTTACTGGAAACCATAAGATGGTAAATTCAATCTTTATTATGAACATCAACTCATTGGCTTCTCCATTTACGACAACATATGAGATCTAGGGGTCATTAAGGACGAAATTGTAGCCAAATATCGTCAAAATCAGTGGTTTGGGGGTAAAAAACGAAAACTGCTGATTCAGCAAAAACATTAAATTTGTTCATGAAAATTCCCCTTTTTGCCTCCGCCCAGAATATGTTTCACTTACTAAACTTCAATTCTGGGCGATTCTGAGTAGTTTTAAAAAATTGTGGTCACTGTCACATGTGACTAATAGGCCAAACTGCCCTAATTTACGTCACCATACTAGTCAATGGGCAAAAGGGCAAACGCCATGACTTTTTGTCTCGAGTTATGGATTTATGTGGCCTCACTGGCCTATCTGAGGTTCTAAACCTATGTCTAAGCTACATTTTGACACTAAACTCAATAGGGGCCAAACATCTATTTTTTGAAATAATTGGTCAATTGTGACACTACCCCCTCTCTCTGCAGACATAAATTGAAATTCACAAAAATGAAGGCAAAATTAATACGCCACTTGACTCGAAATTTTCCTTCAGATAACCCAAATAAACGCATTTTCAGAAGAAATGGCATGTTGTCATTGCAAAAAGATGACAACTGTGCCTACATACTAGCTTACTGACTCGTCATGATCACAATTAGGTTGGGACTACATTTATTTTTGAAAACTACTTTTTTCTATTCAGAGGAAGTGACGTATTAGGGCATTTTGGCCATTGATTATGAACGCCTGGCGTAGTTTAAATCAATTCATATTGACACGATGTGATATGTTTTTAATTTGTTTTTGTTATTATTAAATTCCATTATATCCACCCGGATTTCCAAAGCGTTTTCTTATGTTTTAAAAACACGATTTTGTAGTATTTCGCGGAAAATGACTTTTATCTGTATCTTCAATACACAGGTGAAACGTATTTTATAGCATAGCTATGATAATGTCATTTTTATTGTTGATGCTGTATATACAAATATTGATATCACAACTATACAAATATCAGACAGAGGCGTGCTTGAATGAAAAACCACATATTAGCTCCGAATGTATACAATATAAAAGGACAATTTATTATTCTAGTCGGCTATTAATTTAAGTGTCTGTTTTTAATTAGGACACCTACACGTTCTGATGACATACATGTAGGCCTACTTTTAGACATTATTTACTCATAGGCAACTATATAGGAGATCGGAAATCTAAAATCTAAAAAAACACATAGCATAGTGCACTATTATATTTGGTAGCTTATATTTTAAACGTCTGGTGACGAGGACATTTGACATGAATATTGAAGTATTGATAGGTTTGTGGGTATCAGTGTCTGTATTGATCAGTGGAATTCAGGGGGTGCCAACGAAATGCAACAAGGAACTAGTCGATGCATTCAACCAATTCGCTCTAGACTTGCACAGAGATTTAAGTACGGATGATCCAAACGGTAATTTAATATTTAGTCCTTACAGTGTTGCTTCTTGCTTTCTGATGGTGCTACTAGGGACTGCAGGTGAAACTGCCGACTCCATTGCTGAAGTTTTCCACATTACTCAAGCGATCAGAGAAAGTGTCCACGCATATCGTAGGTGCATAGACGAATCGATCAACGGACATGAATCTGTGAAACTCAATACAGTAAACCGTGTCTACCCAGCAACGACGTTAAATCTCCTCACCTCATATACAGATGCTATAACTGAATACTATGGGGAAGACGCTAAGATTGAGCCACTTGATTTTAAAAAGACTGAAGAATCTCGTAAGATTATAAATGACTGGATAGCTAACGTTACAAACAACAAACTACAAAATGTTATTCAACCAAGTAACATTAACGAGATGACTGTGATTGTTCTGGTGAACGCCATTTATTTCAAAGGTTCGTGGAAGTACAAATTTCTCGAAAAGGAAACACACAAAACAAACTTCTTCACCGACATAGACACTTCCACGGAAGTCGACATGATGGTGCATCGAACACATTTTCCGTACACGAACAGCCCGAAATCGATTCTCGACGCCCAGATCGTGGAGTTACCGTATGTCGGTGATACCGTAAGTATGGTCATATTGCTACCCAACAATCGATTCAGACTTGCAGAACTTGAACAAAAACTCACATTGGCCAGGCTGAAGGATGAAATGAAATATTTGTTCCCTGACAGAGCAGTTACTGTGAGCCTGCCAAAATTCAAGCTAAAGGAGAGGTACATACTGAACAATAATTTGAAAAGACTGGGTATGGATCATGTGTTTTCTGGTGCGGATCTTAGCAAGATGGCCAACGATGACAGGCTTTCAATTGACGAGGTCATACATGAAGCCTTCATTGAAGTAAACGAAGAAGGTAAGTTTGACAAAAATGTCTTAATGTGTTGTTTCATTGCAAAGAATAGATTTTTCGAATTTCGTAAATCCCATGGATATTTGAAATTCACATGAAAATCCAATGACATAGTTCTCATTGTACACCATGGTGTACCATCCGGGTAATACATTCGAATTCCCTACTCTTGATTTAAAGTGTTTCCCAATAACATGATTTTTGGTTTATTCATATTTTGAAATCCCCATTCCCACGGTTGGATATAGCATATTATCCTACACTTAGTGTACTAAATGTATAATAACATTAAAAAATAAATTTGATGTAAAATGAATATAGGGAATCATAGGGTACTAGTATTCAACATTGTATGATTATGTTGACGAAAAACAAAAATTTACTGAATATAGATCAGCGAGTAAACAATTTTAACACTTTTCCCAATAATGTTTTTTGGTTTATTCATATTTTGAAATTCCCCTTCCCACGGTTGGATACAGCATATTATCCTACACTTAGTGTACTAAATGTATAATAACATTAAAAAAATAAATTTGATGTAAAATGAATAACCGCGGAGGATATCGCCATGAGATACTCCAGCTGAAAACAAATCATGATGCGGAGAAGATCGCTACGATGAACTCCGGAAAACCAATATGCGGAGGATATTGTGATGATATACTCCACTTGTTAGTTTTATACACACTAAGTGTAGGATAGTAATAGCATCCTATGATTTATTTTAATAATATTAATTTAATCTACTCGGTGATATTGATATCTGCACTCGTTCACTTCGCTCCATCGTTCAGATATCAATATCACATCGTAGATAAAAATGATATTTCCCAAAATCATAGGGTACTAGTATTCAACAGTGTATGATTATGTTGACGAAAAACAAAAATTTACTGAATATACATCAGCGAGTTAACAATTTTAACAATTTTCACTTGATTGCCTTAATTGCATACACATAAAAAAGACACAAAATAGTGTAAAAGTTGTTCAATACTGATTTCCCAAATTATCGGGTGACAATATTCTGGGTAAAGATGCGTCCGTCTTGTTAAATGGATTATCATTTTGTACCAAGGTACTGAAGCGGCGGCAGTAACAGTAATAGCAGGAGGGCGATCTGGACCTCCACCACCCGTCAAAGTTACCTGTGACCAACCTTTCCTCTTCTTCATACGTGACAAACCGACTGGCGCTATCTTGTTTTGGGGTAGATACACGACACCAGATCCAGCTGAGGACACGTCCACAACATCATCTACGACCCAGCCTTCTACGGCATCCAAGGCTCCAACTGTACCGGAAACAATTGTCACAGAGGAACTAAAACAAACGAAAATTACAGATGCCCCGACTACTACTGATGCGGGAATAGAGACAAGCACTAATCGATACAATATGAAAAGAGTAGGGCACAATTGTAAGTGAACATTTCTCTCATCTTGATACATAATGGATCAGTTGCTCAAACTTCACCTTGATAATCTACAAATGAATCCACATTTATTGAGTAAACAAAATAAATGCTAATAACGAAACCTCGTCTGATCACCTTAGATGAAAATTTCAAAAAAACAAACCTTTCAATGGAAACCACATTCAGGCCAATTTAGGGGTATAAAATGATCGAGAACTTATAAGTGTGACTGCTTGTAAAACAAATATTTGGATTAAATTATGTAGGATATTATGAACATAAATCAATTGTCAAGAATATTGCTTCATAAGCATTTCAAATGTTATGTAGTGATTCTTTAGAAAGTCAAGATGACACCTGAAGCAACGAGTTGACTACGACCAAACTATAACTCGACAAATCACACGCTGCCCACGCTTCTAAAGTGATATCCCACACAGTTTCAAGATATGTGATCCATTACTCAACAGTCATCCATCACATCAGTCAATATGAAGAGCTATATCTTTTCTTGAAGATATTTTCATCTTTTAATTCTGGGTTATCACTGAGACTAACATACCTAAAATGTTAGTCTCAGGCTATCACTCTTGTAATGTTTTATTAATGTTATATGTATGCTCTTTTTCAGTTGAAGAGTGCATCGAAAAATGTAAAATAAGAAAAGCCGCAAAAAACAAAACTAACATTCAGCCAAAATGTATGAAGTTTTGTTTTAAACGATTCCCGACAACACAGCTCTCAACTCCGTGAATGTGGGCGCATGCGCATAAATGGATGATCACATGATGTATTGACTTCAGATTTATTTGTTTAATAAGGATAATTATACCTAACTGATCTTAGTCAATCGAATTATCGACTATATATTATTAAACATCAATCAAATGTTTAAGGTGATCGTGAATTACTGTTCAAATTTGTGATTATCATTGGTTTTGTGCCCGCACAGTTCACTATTTGGTTAGGATTTTTTGGCTTGCAGCCGATGATTTTCAACACTTATCCTAAACATATCGCTTAACCCTAAACTGTTATTCTATCCCTAACCCTTAACTAACCCTAACCCCTAACCCTTAACCCATTACCAACGAAAGAATCAGAATTGACATTATTTCAAGGTTAGCCTGGACTAAAGAACGCTAAATATTATATATTTTCAAATATTTGTAAAACAAGATCGTTGTTCAATATGAAACTCAAATTATTTTACAGAAATATATTTATTCAGTCATTTTCTCAACTATATTTACTGGAAATTAAGTCCAAAAGGTAATTTATAAAGTTACATTAATATTTTATGTAATGTAAGAAGACAGGACCAGTTTTGAAAACCTTTTATTTGCCTTGCTTTCATTACTTTTGAATCAACTATAAATACGGACAACTCAACCCCTAGGAAACCCATCTCCGAACAACCCATCACTTGATAACTAAACCCCCGGAACAACCCAACCCCTGGACAACTCAGTCCCTTAAAAAGGCATCCCTGATGAACATCCGAACCCCTGGACAACTCAAACCCTTCAAAAGTAATCTCTGAACAACTCAACCATGGAACATCTCAACCCATTGAAAATTCACCCCTGGACAACTAAGCCTCTGAACAAATCAATCCATGGACAACTCATGTATTGTAATGACTTCAGTATGAAGAAATGTCCCTTGGTTTTCTGGTCTTGGATTGTGATATTGGCTCTTGAATGGTGGGGGAAAGGGGGTATTAGACATTGTTTCTTTTGACGTTAGATCATGGTTTTGGGATATATGGGGTTTGTTTTTCTTGACTGGTATGTACAGGGTGGTCAATAAACTGGAAACCCTTACACCATTTTCCTTATATCTTTGTTATTTTAAGTAATAAATTTGCACGTTTGTACATCACTCAATTTCCTACCAGCCTACCATATTTCATGACCTTCTGATTGATAGTAACCGTATTACTGCACTTACAGAACATTCCCGGTGGCCACTATTGTGCTGAAGACCAACCTGCACATGTCGTCCAAAATGTCCCTACCTATGGGGATATGACAGAGATAGAGTGTATAGTAATGACCCCAGGACAATTGCAGACCTCAAAAGTGAGATCATGTGTATCATTCAGGCCATACCTACTGAGGAATGCATTTGGATCATTGACAGCTGTGCAGGTTTGCCTTCAGCGCGATGATGGCCAAACCTGAAGTATGTTGTTCAAAGTGCTGTAAAATTGTGACTATCAATCTGATGGTCATGAAATATGGTAGGGTGGTAGGAAGTTGTATAAATTAAAATGTGTGAAATATCAATGAGTGATTTCTTTAAATGACAAAGATATGAGGAAAATGCAGGGTTTCCATTTTTTGACCACCCTGTACTTAAAGTTTGCTTTTTCTTGCTAAGTTCCATTACAACTTTTGGTCCTTTCCCTTTGGGACATGTGCTTAGATATTCAATCCCTTGAAAAGTCATCTCGGAACAACTGATCAACTCCTTGAAGGCTGTAGCAGTAACTTGCTATTGAGGGTCATTACAGAACTATAGCATGAAATCATTTTGTTGATAAACATTATTATGTCATTATATTATGATATTTAGCAGCATGATCAATGTAATGTCAAAGTTGTGAGAGACAAATAAAATGGATTCACATAGCTCTAGTTTCGTACTATACATTTGAGAGAGTTTCGTATACAATTACGAAACATTGCATGCCCTTGACTTTCTGTATAAGTTAATAGTGAGTTAATGTTGTTGCAGCAATAATAAAGAAAACAAACATTTACAAATACCTATACAAATACAAATACCTATGTATATACCCATCATCAAACACATTAGCTCAACTTTGAAATGCGCAATTTATTTTTTCTCGAAACGGTATTAAGCAATACGTATAATACCAATGACTATTAAAACGAGCTAAACAAAATAAGCTAACTATTGCATAATGACCGAGCATCTGCACTGGTAGGTTAGTTATTATTCATTTAGGAGGTATATATTTAATACATGGCATAGTTTAATGTTATATGGAATAGATGTGTTACATACTTTTACCCTTTTACCCTTTTAGCTTTTTTCCTGAAGCATTGTATCAAAGAAGCGATAAAAATGAAGGAAATGGTTTCCAAAGACTTCATTAAAGTTATTGTGTCAATAGTTTGAAATTGTATCTATTTGCTCAAAGAGAATTGATATCCCGGGACTGATTACGCAAAAAGAACATGTTGGTAGCCGAAGTATTGATAGTACTGGGCATTCTGCAAATGGGCAACGGGGCGAAAAATTGTTGTAAAGATGTAAGGAACATGAAAGTCGATATCAGATTTCTGAAAACAGTGGGATCGGTAAATATTCTTTATTTCACTACAAAATTGTACATGTTAATCTGAGCATAATCAAATATAAAGCCATATAATACTCACTGGCCATTTTTGTCCAAGATACTCAGAATTCATTATCATACTCCAATATATTATTTGAACATTTGCAAGATATTTTATAACAATGTCTGAATAATCGAAATAGCTAATTGATAAAACTTTGTTAAAGTTTACAAAAGGTGATCAGGGACCACCAGGCAAGGATGGAATCAATGGGACTACAGGGCCACAGGGCCCACCAGGCAACGATGGGGCTACGGGACCGCAGGGGCCACAAGGTAACGATGGGGCTACGGGACCGCAGGGGCCACCAGGCAACGATGGGGCTACAGGACCACAGGGCCCACCAGGCAACGATGGGGCTGATGGGGCTACAGGACTGCAGGGGCCACCAGGCAACGATGGGGCTACAGGACCGCAGGGGCCACAAGGCAACGATGGGGGTACGGGACCGCAGGGACCACAAGGCAACGATGGGGGTACGGGACCGCAGGGGCCACCAGGCAACGACGGGGCTGATGGGGCTAAAGGATCGCAGGGTCCACCGGGCAAAGATGGAGCTGGTGGGACTCCAGGACCACAGGGACCGGCGGGAGAGAAAGGGGAGCCGGGAAAAACTGTGAGCTAACGTGCTTTTTTATTCCAACAATTCAGGACGTATTCAATACAAAGTTTACTACATTCAATACAATAATTTAATCCATATAATACACTCAATACAACAATTCAATACATTCAATCAATACAACAATTCAATACATCTTAAATCCAATAACGCTGTTATGTTAATAGAGTACATTGTGTGGAAAATATGAGGCTATCTATGCTGTAGTGACTGATTTAACAATACATATCTCTCTCTAAGTGACACTCTAAATAAAATCAAAATCAACGAACTGGAACATAAACAAGTTCATGTTAAGATAGACGTCTGGATATTATGATATACTATTGTTGTTCCATCATTTCAGCACTAAGAAATTGAAAATCACGAAATCAAGATCATAAGACCAAAACACCAATTAGATTGGCCTAATTGTACGTGAATTATAATGAATTCGATATTAAACAAATACTGGATGACAATGAGGTGGATATGCCAGAATACCTATCCGAGGAAAAAAATACTATTTTTTTCGAGGATGGTTGGAGATCTCGTTGCTTCAATACTGGATAGAACGAGATCTTGCTGCCACGCATGGCAATAGACCCTGCAGCTCTTAACCAATCAGATTTGAGTATTTTAATGAGGTGCATAATGATTGACAATATCAGTTGACCTATAAACCGACAACTCACCAGAGAAATAAGTTAGAGATATAAACTGTCGATCTGTAAAGTTTTTTTTAACATAAGATATGCTTTCTTTGCTTTCTGTCAAATTAGGGGTCGCCGGGTCCCCAAGGCTTAAGAGGAAGCACGGGCGCAACGGGGCCTCGAGGACAGCCGGGATCAAGTGGTCGAGTAAGTAAAGGGTATTATATGGAATATTCTATGGTTTTGAAAAAATATCATTTATATCCATGAGTGGATATTGATATCCATGAGTGGATATAATTGATATTTTTGTGACCATAGGATTCTCCGTTTATTACATGGGAAAATTGAAAAAAGTTTTGAACACAATTTTGGAAAAAAAAATTTAAAAGAAATTATTGCAATGTCCTTCTCAACTAGGTGCATTGTTGCGGAAGATATTTATGTTGATGACAATGTTTCGTCTATCGCGTATTAGTCTTTTGGACACAGTAGGTTCAATTGATCAGTACCCTTTGCATTCGTTCGACTTCGCTATTCAAAAGAGAGCTTCGTCTTCGGTAGTTTATAACTAGACTATGCGCGCAGGGTAAATTGATCAGCACCAGAGTCTAGCTAGTTATAAACAACTGAGGACGAAGATATATTTTAAGAAGGCCAGAGAAAGGAATGCAAACGGTACAAATTTCTGGAACTAAAGACATATATATTTCATGAACATTATATAAATCTGATTTTAGGCTATATGGGGATCATGCAGGGATGTCAATGGGTCGTGGCAAGAAGCTGTCGGTAGAGATTTGCAATACCTAGACCGACATCACGTGCGATGTAATTCAAATGAATTTCTCGTTTCTTGGAGGATGAGATCGGAAGGAACGAACATAGGTGATTCTGGACGATTAGAGTGGCGATGTTGCACAATAAATATTGTGTAGTTGTAAAAAGTGTAATCGTTTGATCAGATGAGTTGCTGGATAACAACACATACGGAACATTTCACACGGCTACTTGTGCAAGCAATCCAAATGGCCTTCATAAAGACTTCCATACATTTAGTGTATCTCTCTTGGATAGTTTACCTAGAGCAGTGGCCTTATATGAATACTGATAATGAACTTAATATAGATTTTCCTACATTTATTGTTTCTCTTTCGGTTAGTCTTGATCTGGAGCAGTGACATAACCCCACTATCACACCAAACTAGTTCTCAACTGTTCTTTCCTACTTCGTTCATAAACAGTCTTGAAAGGCTGAAATTGTTCGGTCAATCTCTGTTCTTTGAATAGTTCGTCAGGTTATGTTATTATTGACTTATAATCAATCAAAAATATAGAGTTCTTATGCATTCTTCTGAGCAGGAATGTATTATTTGTAGCATTCTGTCCACCATGTCTGAACCCTCCTACCGATAGGATGTCAAGCCTTCTGATAACTACAGCTACACTGTACCTTCAATACATTTCCCTTTGTCTAATTCCATCTTGGAATACTTAGCAATGCCTATAGTAGTCATCGTACGCAATGTCTAAATGCATGAATGATTTAACTTGTGTAATTCTAATTTAACTTGTGTAATTCTAATTTTCCCATTCTTTAACATATATTCTATCAACGTTTTCTGGCTCAACTTTATTATTTTGAGTCATATTCTCCAATGTTTCATAAATTGATAAATATTTGGAATCTACATATCAATATTATGAAAGTACAACATGTTTCGAGCGGTTGCAGTCAACCTTAATTAAAGTTCCATATTTGACCCTGCTCCCACTCGCCTATAACCTCATAAAATCAGGTGATTTGTTCAAGATGTTTGAAGAGTATGTTTACGGTCATTCTTTGGCATTTCCAAAGAAAACTAGAGGTTTAAGATTGCAAGCAATCTTGTGGAGGCCCAGTAGGCTTTTTTGAACATTTAGGTCAGCCAAAGGTCAAATCTTAAATACAAGGTCATATATGAACTCCAGGCATCTTGTAGATGATTTTTTAAAAAAAGTTTGGTCAATTTGAAGCAATGTGAAATTTGACCTTAAAAATTTCAACATTAGACCTTTTTCAGTTTTTGAGGTCCAATATCTCAAAACTGGTGCAGAATTTTAATAGATAATCAATTGATAATATGTGTAAAACCTTTAGAGAAATATATATCCTGACTTTAAATCAAAAATATTGATTTGTAGTCACAAACTTTGAGAAACTTAGAAAACACAGTTTGTGATCTTGTTTGATGACCTTGACCTTTGACCTTGAAAATTTTACTTTTTTAGACCTCAGTATATCTTTTCTGATTGAATAAACCTAAATTTGAATCCAGAAAATCAATTTGAAAAATCAACTTTTTTGACCTTTCGAAGGTCACTGAAGGTCAACCAAAGGTTATAGGTCAAAACTAAGGTCAGATTTGAGTTCCTGAGATCTTGTAGATGCTTTTAAAAAAAGTTTGGTCAATTTAGAGCAAGTTAAAATTTGACCTTGAAAAATTTCGAAATTTGACCTTTTTTCAGATTTTGGGTTCTAATATCTCAAAACTGGAGCACATTTTTTTTTTTTTTTATAATTATTTTTTTTTATTTCAAAGAATAAGCATGTTAAAGCAATTGCAAAAAACAATTACAGTACAGTTACATGGTAAACCTACATTTAACAATTTTACAATACAGTACAGTGGTTAAATATTTCGTCTTAAGAGACGTTATACCATTGGCATTTTTTTATCTAAAGGAAAAAATCATCAGTTTCATTTGTTTAATTTTGTTTCCATGATTTTCCACTTATCGCCTCTGCCAACCCGTTTGTCCATAATAAAATATTCCTTCACATTACTTATAAAACCTTTAAGTGTTGGTTTTAGCATAGAATATTTGCACAAATAAACATACCTTTTAAAAATACATAGCATATTATTTAAGATGATTGTCTTTTCATTTATACTCTCAGGTCCTATCAATACATTTTGTTTAGTGCATAGCAATGTGAGCTCTAAAGGAAGCCATTGTTTAATGTCATTTAATACGGCACTTACAATAGTACATTCATACAGAAGATGGCAAATCGTTTCAGGATTTGCTTTACAAAAAGTGCAAATGTTTGACTCTACGAGTTCACACATTTTTAGGTATGTATTAGTTGCTAAAAATCTGTGAAGGACTTTATAAGTGAAGGATGATAACTTAGGTTCATAGTTACTCAGTTTGTTAAGTTTATTTATCTTCTTCCAATCATTTTGATTGAGTGACAAATTCAGATCTTTATTCCATCCTTCTATATATTTTGAATTCTTTTCTAAATTCTGAACAAATTCCCAGTATATTATTTTACTAATCTTTGACTGAGTAAGGAACTTTTGTACGTGTGCTTTATTTCTTTCATAATCAGTGATATTCTGATTATTCTCCATGACGTCTCTTAGCCAAGATTTTGGAATAGTGTTTTTTAGACTCAAATAGTCTAAAAAATTAATATTACTGAGACACCTCAAGATCTTCAGCGCATGCTTAATGTTGTAAACCAGTGGTGTAGGAAATGGAGACTCAGCATAGGTCAGAAAAAACTAAAATCGTTCACTACAGGCCAACCTCTAAACCAAGATCTACATATCAATTTAAGTGTGGAATAAAATCAATAGAATATACTGAGAAATATAAATACTTGGGAGTATGGCTTGAAGAGCATGTCAACCTTCAAATAACAGCAAAGGAAATTGCTAAATCTGCAAGTCGTGCTTTATGTGTAATAATGTCAAAATTCCAACAAACTGGAGGCATGGATATAACTGTTTACAGCAAATTATATGACACTTTAGTGCAACCTGTGATCAACTATGGCTGTTCATTGATAGGTAATAATGAGCACAAGTGTATAAACGCAGTCCAGAATAAGGCATCAAAATTCTTTCTTGGTGTCGGTGTCAAAACAAACAACGAAGCTCGAGCTGACCTTGGATGGGACCTACCACCTCACAAACAACAGATAGGGAGTGCACGTCTTTTTATACGCCTGCAAAATTTGGACAAAGATAGGTTAAACTCAAAAATACATCATTGGTCCTTAAGACGTAAAAATAGTTGGGACTACAGAGTCTACAAGTTCTTAGAGGCATCAGGCCAAGGGAATATAACTCAAATAGAAAACTTAAATGCTAAAGCTATTTTAGAAGAGGTCAAACTTTATCAACAATCTCAAGATCCCTTTCTAAAAAACATTTGGAATGACAAAAACAATGAAGTGAACGGTAATAAATTAAGTACTTTCAGGCAATTTAAGTATGGAGTAGTAGCAGAAAGTTATGTAACTTGTTTCATCCCAAGACACCATCGAAGTGCATTGGCTAAACTGAGAACTGGAACGCTACAACTCCGTATAGAAACTGGTAGATACGATGGTACTCCTCTGGACCAGAGAACTTGCAAACTCTGTGATTTGGATGAAGTTGAGAATGAAATTCATTCACTTTTGACATTTATTAGCCTAATGCTTGCCAAGAAGATTCAAAAATCTCTAGCAGCTCTTATTCATAATATGTATTCAAAAAGGCAATTTGACTATGGCAGATTATAGGAATTACATTTGTGAAGTCCAGACTTGGTTAAAACTGATACTTTTTAGAATTAAAGATATAACTGGGCAGCAAATGTGTGTCCCCAATCTGTTATAGTCATTTTCCAGCACTTGACTGCAAAATTTATTGTATCAATACAGTTTATTTATGTTTGCATGCATATTCATTTATTGTGATAATGGCCATTAATAGAAAATATTTGTCAAAGCATTTAAAGATGGCAGCACTTGAATACTACTCTATTTAAGAGTGCTATATTTAAGTCAACTTACTCTAGTCAATACTCAATTACAATTAGATATACATTTAATGGTGTATCCTAAGCCGATGCCGGCTGGTGGGTTTTTTAAAAAAAGTATTTATTATATGATATTGAATGTAGTTTTTAAACCTGTGACACAGAAATAAAATATTTTAAACTAAACTAAACTGTGGAATTTGTCATTGAATTCTAAAAGCGTTAGAAGTATTTTTGAATTTTGAAATACATCTTGTAGTACAATTACTTCATTGTTAACCTTTGTATTTTGCAGTATATATTGAACATTTTGATTTTTGGTATGTTTCCCCCATGTATTACACATAGCTTGTTCAGCTCTCAGTTTAGTATTATGTTCAGCTTCTTTTTCTTTCTGTTGTGTAAATTTTCAGAACATGAACAAAATCTCTCCAGAAATTATTCGAAATTTTTCCTCAATTTTTTGAATTGATTTTTAATCATACATAAAAATCTCGTTTCTTGATCTTACATTGATGATGAAAATTTTTTTAATAAATAGTCAATTGCGTATATGTGTAGAACCTTTAGAGGAATATATATTCTGACTTTCAGTAAAAAAAATTGATTTGTAGTCTCCAATTCTGAGAAACTTAGAAAACACAGTTTGTGATTTCGTTTGATGACCTTGACTTTTGACCTTGCAAATTTTACTTTTTTAGACCTCAGAAGGTATTTTGTGAATAAATATACCTAAATTTGAATCCAGAAAATCGATTTGAAAAATCAACTTTTTCGATCTTTCGGAGGTCACTGAAGGTCAACCAAATGTCAAAGGTCAAAAGTAAGGTCAGATTTGGAATCCTGGGAACTTGTAGATGACTTTTAAAAAAAAAATTGTCAATTTGAAGCAAGTTGAAAAAAGACCTTTTTTGACCTTTTTTGCCCTTCAATATCTCAAAATTTAGGCAAAATTTCTCTAAACGGCAATAAGCTAAGACTAATAGAATACTAATATCTATCTGTATGCAAAAATTCAGCCAAAAATATTGAAGTGTAGTGTCAGGATTTGAGAAACTTGAAAAACACTTAGATTTGACCTGGATTTTGACCTTTGACCTTGACCTAGATAAAAATTCCTAACCCTCAAGTTCAGCCTAGGTCCCTAGTAGGAGTATATAGTAGCTAGTTGAAAGCTAGTTCACCCTTGGTATACGCAGCTAACGAAAAGGTATGATGTAAATGACATGCTATTTACATCTTGTGAGTTTCAATGACGCGCGTTTGATTTTATAAAAAATGCCAAACTTTGTGACAAAGAATTTCATCAGCTATTGCCCCGAACCGGTCCGTCTTCTCGCTGCAAGCAGATTGCCCCGAACCGGTCCGTCTTCTCGCTGCAAGCAGGATGAAATTCTTTGTCACAAAGTTTGGCATTTTTTATAAAATCAAACGCGCGTCATTGAAACTCACAAGATGTAAATAGCATGTCATTTACATCATACCTTGATGGGGAAAAATAGATCTTATATGTTAGAAGTACTAAATAAAAGTTATCGTGAAAATGAGACAGTCGTTCTCGAGAGAAAAGAGCATAAATGCGCATTTAGAGAGTTTTGGTCCGTTTAAAAATCTGTAAAAAATTGGGGTACTTAAAAGTACGGGAGGCATCATATATTTCAAATTAGACACGAGGAAGTCAATATTGAGCAAGTTATGGCTGTTTTAAATTCAAATAAAACCGTTAACCCGTACCGGTCTAGCTTTTGACCCGTACCGGTCAATTTTCGTTAGCTGCGTATACCAAGGGTGTAGTTGGAAGTAGGAGAAAAGGTCCCGGGAAGAATAAATAATAAAGAATAATAATATCTACAAAATTAATAGGAGGCCCCCCGATGGGGCCTCCTAATAATAATATCTATAAAATTAATAGGAGGCCCCCCGTTGGGGCCTCCTAATAAATAATATCTATAAAATCTATAGGAGGCCCCCTGTCGGGGGGCCTCCTAATAATTGGTGAGAAGTATTGATATAAGATTCATTTTTGCCAAGAGAACAATCCTAAATATTGCTTAGATTAACGTTGATAATTTATGTAAGTACGTTTGAGCATGTTTAGTGATACTGTGCTTTATATATTACTTGTTTTCTCTTTACAAACGATATGGACCGTGCCGCCATCACCTTGGTTACCATAGCAACCAGAAAATGTTAAGTTATAATCATACATACATGGAAACTTGACAGTGTAAGGGAATAAGATGGGAGCTCAAACTCAAATAGGCGCAGTGCATAGAAAATATGTTAGGCCATCTAACTTTTTTTTGAACTGAAGTCAATGTTTTTTGCTATAAATCGGGCAACAACGTACGGTCTACACGACCTGTCATAAATAGGTATAAGGGACATTATTATCACAATACTAATGACATTGCTCACTTTTTAAAGTTAGTTTGCATACGTTATACAAAAAATAATCGAAATAAATTAATATTGGATGGAGGGGGGATAGGATGGAGGGGGGATTTATATGTCTTTACGATGGAACATATTCACAAGAACTCGTGTATTTGAAAAAACTAAACTCAGTACCCGAGTAAGAAACTGGATATTATATCTCTGGAGAATGAAAAATGGGAAAATTTGGAGTCATAAGAATAAATTCAAGTAGCATGGCTTATCATGCCTTATATACACGTTATCCCCCCTCCATCCTAAACATCTGTCATCTGTTTTAGTGGTTCACTTCATATAACCCTTATGTATCCAATAGTTATGCAAATTAAATTAAATTAAATTCAAATTATGCAAATTAAAATATGTCCAGTAAAAGAAAATGTTATCTGTCAAATACAAGAAATACAGGGTGTTCCAAAAGTAACAGGACTGGTGCTGGCATTTTGTCAATTTTGCACCGAGTGTCTTCAAATTTTCACAAATTGCATTATGAAGTATTGCAACTAAAATTGTATAGTTTCAGAAAAAAAGATGAAATGCGGGTAGAGTTGTGGTTACTATAATCTATATATCTAATTCACCTATATTTTAATACAACATTTCTTGTTTATTTTGTTAGTTGCTTTGTTGTAAAGGTGTTGCTATAAAACTCAGATTTAAGTATAATTTTATTATGATAATAAGATTTATTCGATTTGCTGGAATATCACCATGGATTACAGTCTGGACAATTCATGGTTGATTTTTTGAAAAGATCCAATTTGAAGCCAGTCATCCACCTTGATAACGCGCCTGCCCGCAGCTCACCATTTAAGACCATGCGGCTATAGAAGAGCTAGGTCTTGAGTTCTAAAACCATGCACCATACTCTTGATCATACAACATCCAATTTTACTTACATGGAGAATGGAATGCTTAACAGTGCTGTAAGATCTTTAAAGATGTGAATGACCTTCTCCAAGTTGTTCAATCGACCATGAGTGACATGTCCTCAAATGGGTTCACTCATGTGTTTGACATGGATACAGAGTGCTACTCTTCTACTGACCAAAGAGGAGCCTATTTTTCAAAGTAGATAGGATACATAGGAATATCAAATTATGTAAAACAAATGTAATTCCCACCAGTTGTTGCATTTCAACTTTGATATGGGATGTACAAAATGCGTAATGTCTCTTTCTGTCTTAATGTATCTTTCTGTGTGGAATGTTGCCCTGGGTTTGTGATGTCATGTAACCATAGCAACCATAACTCTACCCGAGTTACATATTTTTGTCGAAACTTTGCACTTTTAGTAACGATACATGAAAGTACATTATGTAAAGTTTTGAAGACGATTGGTGCATATTTAACAAAATGCCAGCACCAGTCCTGTTACTTTTGGAACACCTTGTATATTTCACTTTTTGTGATTTTGTAATATGGGCTCTATGGGGAATCAACCCGAACTGGAAGTCAAAGTTTCAAAAAAATCAAATTTTCAGAGTTCATGTTTTAATTTTTAACTTTTACATGTAGATTTCACGTATGACATCACTTTGACTGAATTTTGAATACTTAATTAAGCCATAAATCAAGATTATTTCTTCTCGCAACTAGCCTATTGCCCTACACTTTAAAAATACTGGATATTCTGAAAAAAATGATCAATGATTTACATTTTATTAATCCATATTAGTCGGGAATTTCTATTGTAAAAGCCCCAGATCGCTAACTGCAATCTCATTATTAATTTTCTATTCAACTAACCCCTCCCACTTTGAATTGAAAACCCTAACAATTGCAATCTAGTACATGCAGTATCTATTATTTGAAACATCAAATATAACTTCCTTTTCTGTCCGATTCCCAACCACGCTACCACGTACGGGGGTCGTGACAACTCAATAACGCGCATCTCCCTCGTGAGATATGCACATCTACCTTCGGTCCCTACGGTCCCTCAGGTAGATATGCACATCTCCCTCTGGATAAACCCCATATCCAAAACCTCCCAGTACATAACCCTTATGTATCAGGGGGTTTCGATGCATATCAATGTCAAAAGAAGTTACATGTTCAAAATGAAACTTACTCGCTCCCTGTACATTAATGAATTTACTAAAAAGTATCTTGTATTGCCTTCAATTTTTATTTTACTGCGCTCACTATTCTCTATCCTTGCCTATACGGGGTTTTAGCTAACAATATTCTTCAAACTGCTTGATGAATCTATTCTATATCTGGTTGAACACTAGGAATATATTTTAAGTGTAGTTTACGTTCAGAAATACGGAAATAAACCGACGTCCTCCATTTGCAACTTAACTGTACCCTGTACCCCTTTTAAACGTGGTCACGTGGTAGGGTAGTGTAAAAAAATGATCGAATGGATAGTTAGAATCAATTTCTTTGTTGTCTGAGGCAGGCAGGTTATATAATAATTATATTTAAGAATCTACCTGAATGAAGTGAAACTATCACAAAGTAATTCCAAATCTAACAATTAATGAACAAGGCCATAGGAAAAGGGGTCTTATCACAGATTTTTCAGTATTTTGATTTTTTGTTTATCTTAAAAAGCACAAGGAGACCTTTCAAATGAGCCATGGCTTCTATCTTAACAATTTTTCCTTGCATACATAGACCAAAAAGTCGGATTTGAATTTAGCACATTTTCCTCTTAATCTTGGGCACATGTTTGGCTTTGTAGCACAATGTTAATTTTTGTGATAAGACCAGTTTTCCTATTGCCAGGCTCTAATTATAATTTAAAAAGAACAACGGCACAAAAATATATTGGTGGGTCTAAACATATATATTTGTGCTAAAGATTAAATCAAAGAGAAATAGGTAGGTTTATCAACATGTGAAAGTATTTTTGTCTCTTCCGAGAAACTGATCAATCTTACACGGGAGCTGGAACCTTCTCACACTGCTCTTTTCCCAAAACTTTTTTAAAGCTGGCATCGTTCTTGAATAACGACGATCCATCATATGTTTGAAGTTTCAGGCGGAAGTTCTGATGCCGTATGAATTGCCTGGGATAGTTTGAAGACTGGAAGGCGTCGTATCCTGGGAAAACCCAGTCCTTCTTGTATATGAACGTCGCATCTTTTAAGAAAAAGTCAGGATTAGCCGGGGCGTCTTTGCTATCAATTTGTAGCAAGCCATTGATATGTCGGAGATAGAATCCTGGTTTTCCTTTCCACGCTAAAGAAACAGTACCAGAAACCCCCGTTAGGCCTGGACTCTCTAACGCCCACATGTTTATGTTTGGGTCTTCTTCCTCTAACTTTTTTTGGGTTACGGGATTGGTGGCGATGATATAACCCTTGCCGCCATAAGTTACTCTCATACTATAGTTTGGCAAATTCTTCGACCGAAACATAACTAGAAATAATAATTAAACCACTTCAGGTGAGGCCCGTAGCCAAAATTTGGCAAAGGGGGGTTCACTTTCTAAAAACATCCAAGGGGGTTCACATTTGACAATGTTGGCCCAAAAATGGCCAAAATCACTTGAAAAGTGAATCCCCCGGCTACGGGCCTGCAATATGTCAATGCTTAATAAATGGTTTCTACTAACGTCAATATTCTCATAAAAAGCTCGAATCATAACATACCATCCTATCAAATGCACTATACGTTTTATTTCTGCATTCTTAAACAATAAAATAGATTATACTTACCATTTTCGGAGCAAATTGCTGAAAATTCAAACAAGAACAAGTTGTGTCAATTATATTTCAACATACTGTATATATGTCCGTGTAGTAATTATCTTTATCTGAATAAGATTTATGTCGACGCGGGGGCTATTTATTAAGGATTTAAGCCATGGACTCAGGGTATGGTGGACTGATTATTCCTCCAAGGTGTTGTTCCAAACTCCTCAGAATCAAGTACTAAGTTAAAGAAACAACGCCTGATTTGAATGAATCAACCACAATGCAGTGAGTCACTCTTGTGCTTAAATTCTTATCACACATTGCAAAAAGATACGAAATCACTAAAAACATATTTTCCATGAAACATTTTGCAAAGGTCAAGTTGGCAAAGTATTAATTTCAATCTGTAAAGTCAAGATGAAACATTGACAACCATTGAACAAATGACCTTGGGTTGATTGTTGGTTATGTAATGCAGTACAGTTATGAAATATCGTATCAGGATTGGCTGGAATCGATCTTACCTTGCCCAGCTATGTCACTCTACTATACCTTGCATTTGGTTTTCATGAGCAACCCATTTGGTTTATCAATAATGACTATGTTATTTGTTTTTATTAGTTTGTTCCTTATTAATCGTTTATCGAATGACGTTAGATGTTAATAAGGTACTTTCAAAAATATACTAAACAATACAATTGGACAAACACAGTATCTTATGCATTTCTAGGAGTTAGGTTTAGTAGAGTGTTGTGTGAATACAAAGTTATACACAGGTGCTTATTTACATGAGGTATATAGTATGAAGCTTCTAAATAGCTAGAATATATCTTACTCTTCAAATGCAATCCAGCTGCGACATCCATGAAAACAGTGACACCAAGCATCAGAATCCACAACGCGGCCATTGTGTTATCGTGAACTAATGTTACGGTTACACTGCAGTCAATTGAATAAAATGTTTTAAAACTGACAGACACATGACGCGGCGTGTAATATACAGAATGGGTCAAAAAATAAAATGCACTTTAATAAAATTGTTGCTTTGAATGACATCCGGAATCTGGATCTTTCAAGAAGAGCCCTATAGTGAATGTTTATCTCTATTATTTGAAAACCCCTCGATTTATATTCATTCCATATCAAGAACAATTGTAAAACGGATTCCTCCATAACCTGTGTATTTTTCATTAAAAACATGTATTCTTAAAAACGTTAAATTGAAACAAATAAATTGATTTTTTTTGGCTCACCCTGTAGTGAACTGTTTATTGCATGCATACATATATTCGGCATTATGGTTCGTTCGTTCAAATAAATTATCAAAGCAACAATTGAAGGCAAAAATACATTAAGTGGCAAAAACTAAACAATTTAACAAGATTTTGTCTAAAAGATTTAAAAAAATTCATGAATAGTAAGTATTCAACTTACCCGTTGCTCTCTGTTGTAGACTGATATCAACCAATGAATTGGGCGTGCTGTTCTACATATATACTCGTTAAACTAATAAAAACATATCTCAGATATTATGAGCAGTAATACAGGGTGTTTCATAATGACCGTCCCCCCCCCATCCACAGGCAATCCTACTTCCCCATAATCTATATACCATAAAAAAGCGTATTCAATTCTGGACTTATGTGCCAAATATTAGAATGCCTGGTCATTGAGAACATAATTTGTGAACTTATATTTTGTAGCCACTATCCCCTCAATTTGCATGATTTGTGGCTGCTATTACTGATGGATTTAAAGAGAAAAGCAGATCGCTATATTATCCATTGTATCATTTAGAGATGTCCGGGCATTTCTTTGAACTATTTAATACTTTTATCTTTCAAATATCATCAAGATATATCTTCAACATCCATCAAATGTTAGAAGTTGTCCATTACTATACCCAATAGTGTATTGAGGCATGGTTATCATAGCTGTTTGCAGGGTACATGGCTAATTTTGGAAAAAATGTGGCTTTCAGATTCTATGCTAAAGGTAAATGGGTACCTTTTATAGAGATATGTAGCAAGTTGTAAAAAATGTTAAGCTTAATCAAAGTTGATTCAATAAGTCCAGAATTGACCAAGCTTTCATATGATATATAACACATGGGGGTATGCTATTCAGGATTGGTGGTTGATGGGGGGACGGTCATTATGAAACACCCTGTACATACTATCTGACATTTCAATCGGGTAGTAATGCCTGGGTCACATTTGCTCTGATTCATCGGCCGGCGCCCGGCCGATTGAGAGTTTTGTTCAAAATTGTATTCAGTTTGGAACAAAATACTCAATCGGCCGGGCGCCGGCCGATGAATCGCAGCAAATGTGACCCAGGCATAACCGAGCTCAAACAGTGACACAGGGTGGGGTTTACAAAGTTCACAGTGTTTGGTCTCGTGGAATCCATGCGATAGATTCATGTAGTGCGTATAGGACCATACCGGGGGACCATACTTGTTGAGGAAAATGTCATAATGTCGTTATTTTCTGACATTATAACTGACCATAGATTCGCAATCAACAGTTCTAAAGATTCTAACCAATATCTAGATATTACTTCTTGTGTGTTTTGGGATTTTTGTTTGGAAATATGACAAAAATTTGCGATTCAAATTCAGAAGTGAACAAAATGGCGGCTGCTTGAATTCGAATTTTGTAAGTAAGCTCACGACATCTTTGGCAGAATATCGAGTTGGAACCCCGGGAGCAATTCCTCCTTTGGAATCCAGAAATCCAACTTACTTCAGTATGATTGAAATGTCCCTTGATGTGTTTTGGTCTCTGATTGTGATAATTGTGGGGAGGGGTGTCACATATAGTACTTGCAAAGTAAAACGTGAAGATACCACGAGACAAGGTTTAAATATGTCGGCAGGCTCTGCACGCAAAGGTTTATTTCCGATGCGCTTGATACGCCTGTGGTATCTGCATGGAAGATTTCTTCTTGATTGCAGCACGCAATGATTATTAAGATCCATGTTAAACGGAGGGAAATTTATGCCCGGATTTAACCCCATGCTGTAAACTTAAGTGATAGTAGAGGGGTAAACACAGTGTTGCTATAAAATATACCGTCGTGTGACATCTGTTAAAACCCATAAGATGTGGTCCATTCAAAGCTTTACATTAGTGAAACGCATACGTGCGGAGTGCAACGTGACTAACATATCGAAAAACATTTCAGAAACATAAAAGACATAAAGATAGTGCATCTAATAATATATTTGACGTTTAGAATATATATTTGCAAAATGCATACTAAAACCGTTCTTATCACAATCATCTTCATAATAAAGTTAATTTAATTCCAAGAAACGAGAGGGCAATTTTACTAAAATTCAAATGCGCCTGTTAGTATTCAACATACCCCCATATTCGGTGTATTTATGTTTAACTTCTCGTTAATTCTATGAATAAAAAAGCAATGAAAAGATGCATATCCATAAGCTATTGGAGGCTGACCTACTGAATACATAACACGTTCATTACTTTAATATGTGTAAGCCAAATGTATCTAAATGAAATGATCAGAGCAGAATATAGTGCGTATCAAAAATGCAACATTCAATAGAATCGGAAAAATCGAAAAAACAGTGATGACTGCATCTATTTCATTCAATGTACCATGAAGCCACTATTTCTCCTCTTTTCTTCGGGTTTGGACCAAGTTTTCCAAATTGCGTTCCGACTTGCAAGAAGATATCCCTTGGTGTTATGGTCTTGGATTGTTGAATATAATGGCGTTGGTTGTGATTTGGTTGTGAATTGGGAGTAATTTGGAAATTCAAATACTCATAACATCAAATCAAATATCTGTTGATACTAGTACTCATACAAGAGCATTCAGTTTTAAATGATGTGGGACGGATAACCTCAAAATTATCAAAGCGTCAATATCCATCAGCAAAGCCGTCGCAGCATATAATCCATAAAACACACATGTTAGTTTTTACAATGGCCATCAGGAAAAAACTTTTGCTGGTTCTCATAGTTCTCACCATTTATACCATAGCCATGATAGGATCAACCTAAAAAGACGCCCAGTGAAAAAAGTGAGTTCGTTGTCGTGGAAAACTCAAATACAGGTTCCTGTTAGGCTAAGTTTCTCCTTATTTACGCATTCACTGCTCTGAGGCGGACACAATTCTGACAATGCGGATGGCTATGGACTATAAATGAACACTTAACACAGAAAGAAACAAACATCGCATCGTGTCTCATGTTGCCACGCATCAATTTAAAGTGTAGGGGACAGTGGAGTAAGGGCCGTGGGGCAAGACGGACAACCAAGTTTATTTTATTGTTTTAGAGTATATGTGATTATTCTGACATGGGATCATCATGGCACCGACATCGCGTGCCGTTCATTTTGTTCCATTTCAGCGCCAGATTCAATCGGTGGCACTTTCCCCAAAAAGTGGCTCTTTTCGCCCCACTTTTGTAAGACTTTGGTAAAACCTACAAATCAAAGAGGGTTTTTGATAGAACGGCTCTTCTTGCCTCACGGGGACCCTTCTTGCCCCATGACCACACAAGAATCATTTTTTTCAAAGATGAGGGGCATATTAGCAATTCAAAAATTTATTTCAAAATCATTGTATCTCAGAGAACCAATGTTCCTTGTTTCAATAAACATAGGTTCGGAGGACAGAAACCCGATATTTACAAGCTGTTAAAAATGACTGCTCTTAGGGTGTCCATCTTGCCCCACTGTCCCCTTGGTTACATTTGCATAGATTTGCAACAATAATGACGACAATAACGTCACATCGTGTCTCATGACGACGATGACGTCAAAAGTAGAAATGACGTCTATGTTTGACGTCATAAATGTGTGACGCATAACTTCCTCTCAAAATGGCGGTCTCTGCATACGGCTGGCGATTTTAGATTCATTAATGTATTATCTCTTACAAATATTCCACTATGAATGCGTATTTGGGCGTGCTGCTTGTTGCACTACTGATGGTTCGACGATCACGTCAAATGGAAGAACATCAAATGTCAGATGACGGTATTTTCAACTGTTTGTTATAGATTATTTTCGGCACTTCTACTTATAAAAATTGAACGTCAACAACAAAAACAACAACGTTACACTCAGGTTACACTTTATCGTGTTGTGTAAAGTTTTGGGCTTGGTCTCTATTAAAAAGCCTAGGCTATTAGCGAAATAGACGTCGAGCTCCATTGGTTTACACCTCAGACCAGAACGTAAAAAAACATAGAGTCATGACTTAAAACCTCCTAAAAGACCACGTGCCATAAATACAGTGGGTTTTATTAAAACAATATGTTGTTTTTCTCAATTTAAACATATCAAAAGTCTCCTCTACACTATATTGACAATTCTAAAATGGGTATGGATATTGAAATGAGTTAAAGTTAAAAACCACACTATCCCATGTTATTTTCCCATATGGAAAATCGTGCTATCCGTTGTTTTCAGCATAATTTTGGTTATCGAAAATTGATATCTTCAAAACTAGAATGCCATTCTATTTTTGAACATGTCTTAGATCCCTTGTTGAATAATGTTTTCATGCAATAAAAATCAGAAAAAGAAGATCCTCTTTTGAGTACAATACCTGTAGGTTCAATATTTTGAAAAAAATTTGACATGGGATCCCTATTCATAAGTTTTCGAATTGCTTGATTTATATTTTTATCATCATGGGTACTTCACTTGAAAGAAAACATATTGTTTTAATAACGACCACTGTATTTATGCCCAGAAAGTACTCATGGTGAAATATATGACCGTCTAAAATCACTTGCCATACTGCACGTGGTCTTTTGAATCGATTTCACTTGTCGGTCAGGCCCTAAACATGGTAACCAAATCTGTCAGGCCCAGTCATATACTCCCTGATTCTGAAAAGTCGAAGATCTCCGACGTCAGGGAGTAGATAACTGGACCAGATTGATTTGTTTAGCCCTAGGGGTACTTTCAGTTGTACACGACCTGAGGTCAGTGCTGTTCGTAATAAACGACACTTGTAATCACGTCACTCCTCATGAACCGTTGAGTGGAATTTAATCATTAAATTGTTATTTAATGACCAAGAGTAGAATATTTTATTTTATTTAAAATACTTGTATTCTTATCACACTCAAGAATTATTTAATATCGTTCAGAGTCTTAGCATTAATGATTAAGAATCTTAAAAATAGTCCTATATGTATTTTACATTGCACTGAAATAAAGCTGAGTGACCAAAACACACACTTTTAAAATTTCACTATTGAGATAATTAAAAATTCTAAACAATTGTTGCCTGACCATTTGGATTTATAACATTTCAGATGAGGCTCGAATGGAATGCTCTATGCGTATGTTTAACCCGACAACAGTGGTGAAGGTCCCATTTGGAGTCTTGTTTGATGTGAACCACGACTGCACAAACCCAGACCTTCCAATCATCGGCAAAGGCGATTTGAAATTGCGTACCTCTTTCATTGAAGGCACGTGGGATGTTCAAGTATCCTTTGGAAACGATGTTCATTTAGCAAAACAAATAAATATGACATTGAATCTTGATAGGCAGTCTTCAGAGTTTTGTCAGATACAAGGTAACACTGCTATATCTTCGAACGAGTTAGCCGATGTTCCACTCGGTGAGACGAGATTATCGATTGATATGGTGGACTACAAAGCGCACGATTCGCCCCATCTTTTCTTCATGCAGGATGTCATTATTCAAGATGGCGCCACGAATTCAGAAAATTGTCCGCCATTGTACGAAGCGAAATTGGGTTTTCAAGCAGCTGATATGCCAAACCTGCCAGCTTTCTCCGAGAATGATAACACTGAAGTGAGTTGTTCTTTACCAATTGGACGCTGGTCGTTCGAAGTCACCGCTGCCCATCACAGTGTAAAACGAGATCTAAATGTTGATAATAGCGCTATAATCAACAGCCTGTTGATTCCACCTATCGGATACGCTGGCATGATACCAATGGGCATTGCAACTGTGGCTGAAGGAACCCATTATAAATCATTCAGTCTCACTGGGAACGTTTATGCTGGTGTTAATCCTTATGAATATCAACCACAACATCCATCGGATAATATGGGTTGCCACGACCCATACGCAGACTCTGTGAACAAAATCAACTACGTGTCCATGCACATAGAACAATCCAAATGTGATGGTGACGTCAGAACTGTTCCAACAAGCGGATCGTGGGATATAAAGATTGTTCCCATTGCTCCCGGGGAATGGGAAGGTACTTTGGAAATATTATCTTTAGGCACAGTAGCTAGTGGTCTATATTTCAATTATGTGATGATGCCTGCAGACGACGGGTCATTCTTATGTGGGCATTCTCCAGTTTCAATCACCATACCAGATGTTTCATATTTTGACTTAGTTGACTCTGAAATATATGAAATAAGGATGAATTTTACATTTCTGATGGAGGACGATCTTAGATTTTCTTTCAAAGGGAAGTTCAAGGCAACAAATACTGCGGGATCTCCGAACTGCAACGTACCAATGTTTGAGGGCAACTTTGGTTTGACAAGTCAGACGCCAGCTGAAATGGTGCTTCCTCATTCTAAAGACTCGTTTGCTCTATATTCTCTACCACGTGGTCAGAATTGGGCGGTACTGCTTGAGATAGGTGGCGCTCCATATTACGCTTTCGGTGAAACAAATGGTATGGACGACATGCGAACTGTGTACATGAATCCTCAGCCTGACAGATATCCAGGTTTATATCCTCTAGTTCTACGAGCATCTGATTCAGCCCGTGGAATTGTATACGAGGTCACATCCATGATTCATCTGGAGGATCTGGATCAGCAACACTATTATGATCAGGGGCCACATTGTAATATGGACTACAGTAACGATTTGTACACAGTTGATTTCAGTATAAGAGAAGGCATGAGTGATGGAGAAAAGACTGTTATTGCCCTTGATCAAGACATCACCATTGAAGCAAGATTTATACCAGCTTTGTGGACAGTTCAAGTGAAAATAGATGACTTCTTCTATGAATCTGAGGCAGAGACACACATGGTAAACTGCACTGTCGCTCCAGCGGTAATTGAAATACCCAATGATAAATGGAATGGTATGGTTAGCACTGGTGACAAACTTCTTACAATCAATATGACAGCAGCAGAGGGAGGATTCAGTATTTCATACAAAACTATAATTAGTGTACAAGACACACCCCGGGGTGATGCAGATCGCCAGCAACTGTACAGGAACGAAATAGGTTTATCAAGTTCGAACCCCAATCAAATGTCTTTACCTGCTGATGCAAATCTTTACTTCAAATACAGATTCCAGCCAACAAAACAACGCGATATCTCTCTTAAACTTGGGGATATCATTTATGAGAAAGAGGCTGCATCTGACTCTGGTAATGTCACAATTCCACCAGATCGTGACGAAGGGACATATATGTTTGAGGTTACCATAACACCGCATGGTCAACAAAGCCAAGAAGAGTTCCGATTGGTTACTATGTTATTTCTTGGTGAATTTGAACCAGGGAATTACAATGAAAACCAAGGTTGTTACGATCCGCAAGCTGGGAGTACAGTAAGACTTAACAGAGTGTCGGTTCATTTGGGAGGTACAATGTGTGATAAGGAAGATACTGTGTTTATATTAAGGAATGAATCGCTTGATATTAGCGTTACGCCGCTCTTTGAAGGAAGGTGGATAGCTATTGTACAAGTGGACGATACGACAATCCAGAATACAACAATAGAAGCAAATATGATTAGAGCGGAAGATCAACTAGGCACATGTTTAAGTTACCCAGTTCACATAAATTTACCATCAGATGTATATCTTGATGAAGGTTTGCGCATGGGCAAAATTAAACTCATACATATAGAGACCAATATAGCCACAGAATGGAGCAGACCCTTTGTTGTCATGGATCATCCACAGGAGCTTGGTCACCACCAATGTAAGGACTTCGAGGCAACATTTGGCCTCACTAGTCAAATTCCTGACGAGATTGTCATATCACAAACTAATAAAAACCATATGGTATACTCTCTACCTGCTGATAAAAGTTGGGATGTTTATTTAGAAATACAAGGGAGGAATTTTTCTAAACGTGTTGTTCCTTTTTCCAACGGTGGGCCACTATCGTTGGAATTTACTACCTCTCCTACGATGCCTCCGGGTCAGTATGACATAACAGCAAGTGTATTTAGTCTAGAAACTAACGAAACATTTGTGATATTCTCCAAAGTCAAAGTAGAAGATCTCTCCGTGACTGGAGGCCATGGCGGTGATGGAATTAAAAATGAAACTCCCGACACTGATTGCAATAATATGGATCCTAAATCAGACATACCTCCTTTTGCAAGGTTTTCAATAGGGATACAAGAAGGTGAGTGCAGTGGATCGAAGAAGGCCTCTATGACACTTAGTAAGCAAGGTCCATGGACGTTTGCGGTACAGCTGCCAATTTATGGAGTTTGGAATGTATCAGTGACAGTAGGAAGATATAACATCGGACCATTTGAATTTTTAAACATGCCAAATCTGCACAATGTTGGTGGGCATGGTACATCGTGTCAGGCTCCTGATAGTTTCTTTGAAATACCTGCCAGTAAATTAGAAAAGTTCAGTGGAGGTGTTCAGAAACTTACCGTTGTGATGACAATGTCGCAAGAACCAACAGAGATGGCAATAATGAGGGTTTCATTCTCAAATATGGTCGAGATAGATTCAATGCCCCGCAATAAGAGGGCTGCAAGTAATAGCGTTGATACTTGCTCATTGTTCGGGGGAGAGTTTGCACTTTCTAGTCAGTCAAGTCGAGGAATGCAGCTTTCAAAATCGAAGGCAAATGAGCTTTTTGTTATGTTAGAAACTGGGCGTTGGGTGGTGGTTACATCGTTAGCTGGTAACGAGGTGAAGAAAACCATTAGTGTGAAAAGGGCGTCTACTATCAACAGAATGACGGTTGTTGCTGATCCAACTGCTTCTTCAGGAACAGCTCTGTTTACAGCTAAAGTCAATCCATACAGAAAAGACTATGGATTTTATTTATCAATACCTGTGTTTATGATGGACTTGGTAGCAATTAAACAGAATGGTTCAACTTGTATTCTTTCAAAAGGGAGAAAAATTGTAGCGATATCTGAACAATACCCTGTAAACAGGATCTTAAGAGGTTCTGGACAAATCATTTGATTCTGGACTTGACATATTTTTTTTCCAACGAAATCACATCCAAGGGTTGAATTTTTATTGGATATTTAGAGAGCGAGTCCTGTATTGATTTCAATAAAAAGGTTAAAATAGAACGCTATTTGAGAGTTAATCTTATACTTTCATTACATTGATAAATTAAGGCAAATTCTGAAAAATTTTAAAGTGCATTTTTTATGAAATATTATCCAAGTATTTAGATGAAACGGTCTTATTTAAATACAAATCATAACATGATGATATTTTTTCATAAAATATTTCTTCAAGAAATTCAATTGAAGGCTCAAGATAAAACGAGCTAATTTAGGTGAAAACCCTTACATGATGATGTGTTTTCATGACTTCTTTCATAAAATTCCATCAAGGGGTGAAAATAAAATGATCGAATTTAAGTGATTTAAGGATCACGAGGATAGGTTTTCTTGGATATTTTCTATGAAATCCCATCCAGTGGTCAAGGTAAAATTTTTATTTGGTATATTTGGTCACGTGTTCGAACCCATAGAACCATATAGGAACGTCATTTTGAATGTTACGTGATAAATCCATATAAGGCTTTTAGAACAATCAGGGGAAAGATGAGGGGAAACCCCTGACACCTGTTCACGATTTTATCCGAACGTCCATCGGATCATTTCGGTTTTTATGCACTTCATTATTTTACCGAAGTTTGCCGATTCGATTCGTCGTATTTCGGAATATTGGGGACAATTTTATACTCCATTGGGAGTATTTTTAATCTACTTCTTATTACGAAGATTCCCGAACCTTGTTCGGATTAATCCGGATTTTCTGACCTACTTCATCTACCGAGATTTAACGAGTTTACATTCGGCTCATTTCGGAATCCTGGTGACAATTTTATACTCCATTGGAGTATTTTTGATCTACTTCTTATGACGAAGATTTCCGAACCTTGTTCGGATTAATCCGGATTTTCTGACCTACTTCATCTACCGAGATTTAACGAGTTTACATTCGGCTCATTTCGGAATCCTGGTGACAATTTTATACTCCATTGGAGTATTTTTGATCTACTTTTTCTGGATTTTGCCCTACTTATTATATCTTTACAACAAGCAAATCAAAAAATTCGCCATGAACGGGTCTCGATCGACTAACCTAGAGCATGGAAGCTAGGCACGTTAGCCATGAGGCTAACGTGCAACCGATACGAAAGGATAAAAGTATTATATATTTATACCGAGCGTCAATTCAAAATGATCTTCACTTTTGACTGCACGTAAATACAACTCGTCAGTTGTATCCAGAATAGATGAACGCCTATGGTACTAGTGAATAACCAAGTCCCAGGCGAGTGGTTCGCACCCCACCGTGATATGTTATTTTTGCTTTTTTAATACGACAGAAAGGAGCAAGGTCACTGGCATGTAGCGGTCCTGATATCGATACATTCTACATGCAATAAAACCAGATACCTGCGTGTGATTAAAACTACATGTTAGAGCGTCGATATCCTACAAATTCTATTTTTTCATAAAAATATTTTTTCATGAAATCGAATCGAAGGGTGAAGATAAAACGATATTTTAGGTAAAACAGCTTTACATGATCTGGTGATGTGTTTTCATAACTTTTTTCATAAAAGACCATTCTCGGTTTGGAGAACAAAGTTCGTCACTCTAATTGAGCGTTATCCCTGCTTCGGACAAATTTGATTTTTTTACATAATATAGATTTGAATGTCTTCTTTTGAATAGTCATAGTTTAATTTGGGTAATATTTCTAGATTTTTCATATAAAAATTACTAGTGAAACACCCAACGTCGCTTTTATGATTCGTACCACTTTTTTAACTTGGTGTATTGCATATTTCCGTGGGTTGATTTGAAAAAAAGACAAACAACGTATACATGAATATGTCATAAGCATATAGTGAGATAATTGTTAGATTAGGTTTGCTATAAGTGACTTTAAAACAAAAAAATAAAAAACATTAGTTCACGTGTTAAAGTCCCATTGACCACGACATCAAGGAAAATTGAGCTTTTTGTCATCAGACATCTTTATAGATGGAACTAGCTATGTACTACATTTTTAAATACACTCACATTGTACATGTAGCTGTAATATCTAAGATGTTATTTTTATTGATGAAAAGATTCTTACATACTAAAGTTACATTAAAATATCAATTGCAATAGCCACCTGTTTTTAACATCCCTTTGTCACTAATCCCTTAATTATCTCTGTGTATCTTAAACGTGTGTGTGTTCGATGTTGATAGCACCCGAGTGCAACCTAAGGAGCACATACAATACATTTTGTGTATGCCCAGTCTGGCCGCCTTATATCTGCCTGCACCGAGAAATGGGCGCAGCTTTGACAATTAACGAATGATATAACGATATCACGGATTTCACCGAATGTTATTCATCCCTAAATAGCTTTTTTATTTAGTCTTATGATCCGACTGATGTTTCAATTTTTTGCAGTGACTCTGAAATTGCTGCGCCAGATATGACATCACAGCGACTCATTTTCCTACATTTAAATCACTAAACTAAATCAATTGAAACATAATCATTAAAGAATGAGGACCTTGTATTTTACTTTGGACGAGGGTAGTGGCCATGTCTTGGCATGGCTAGTTGTGCATTAACGTTTGATACTGTTGTGCGGATAAAAATAATGAATATATGTTAAAGTAGCACTAAACAGATACTTTTAAAGTTAAAAGAATATAGTTACATTTAAAGAATGGGCCCAACGAATAGATATTGAATATAGGACTCGTTTGATGAAACGTTCGTTCTTTTAATTCTAATAAACCTAGAAATCAATCAACGATTAAGTAAATTGACAAGACTTCATGTTCAAGTTGGCTGAATTTCGTGTAACTTAACTCTGTTATGTTTCTAGATTTTACATATGGAGAACAGAATTCGAAATCATAATCACAATCGTATTTTAAGGCAAATAGGCCATGAATATGCTTTTAGTTACACGGTGGATGATCAAATTAACACATTTTGGATGTTGAATTTCATTTCAAGTTCATTCGAATTTACGCATTATCGTGGGAAAGCCCATGGCATTATCCAATAAAATTGATATATATACTGTCTAGGCTGAGACTAACATATATAATGTTATTTAATGTATTTAATATACAGGATATATCTGAGAAAGTTATGCAATATATCTACACGAGAAATAGTAGGGACCGAGGGTTGATATATTACCTTTACCTGTCGAAAATCGAGTATAAACTATGAGGATTAGATACGCATTGAATGTAATGGAACCGTCATGTAATAATTAGAAATGATAATCACAATCAAATCATGAATATTTTATCTAGATTTAAAGTGCTTAAGATTTATTTTTAAAACTCAACCGAACTATTAACATTTAAAAGCACCGAACGAATTTTCTGGGGATTGCTGATGAGCGGGTGGGATGGGATGGGAGGGATAAAATGAAATACTAGATAAAATATTGATACCTTTACGCATGTCAATCTCAAATTAGAATGCATATATCATTATCTCTTTTATTCTTCTGTATTGTAATACGATAGTCTGATTATTGTCAATATCCTATACATGAAATAATGTACAACGTGTATTCTACATTGAATAACAAACGAAATAAAACTCATCTTTGTACGAATTTATTTTTCATATGACACAAAGTAACATAACATTGTTATATGTTGCATTTACGACTACTACAGCAAATCAGAAAATTCGTACAATATCAAACGTAAGAGTTGTTCACAAATACATTGGTATTTTGATATGAGTATCATGTAGTATTAAAATATTAAAATCATATGATCAGCAAGTTTATAAGCTTAATATTGTATTGTTTTTTATTTAAGTGTCGCATGCTTAATTTCATACATATACATCTGTACAATCATCCAAAAAGCCTCGAGCCACCAATGGCTTATGAGACACTGCTAATCAAAATAAATCATATAATATTATATAATAAGATGCATAATATGAGTCAGTTGCAGAAATAGGATTATGAATAAAGCAAAGTTCATGACCTCTATTACGAACATTGTTTGATGAACTCGATCACTCAGTCAGTTGTTGAACATATGCAAATGTGGTCAGGTTATAAATATAAGTACAATTTAAGTCCATGATATTTTCACATATTGAACATAACACTCAGTTCACAAAGAGATGTATACAAATCTAATCCACAAGTAGAAATGATTGTTTCATGCTGTTTATGCATTGTGTATAAACTGTAATCCAAAACATGAATAAAGTGGGCAAGAGGTGGTTGTATGATGGCCCATAAAATCACATTATGTAACACCGGCACCCTGGTTCAATATAGTGCAGTGGCCCATGTTTGATATACGTACATCAAAACTCATGTTTTTTCAAGGAAAGAAGCTAGATTAGTGATATATTGAAAAATCAAACTACTATACCCCAATACTGTAGCCCGTATTTCTTTAAAAGGAATACAGGCTACAGTGAAGTTGCAAATGGAGGACCTTTGTTTATTTCCATAGTTCTGGAGGAATACTAGATTTTACATTGTATAGATTCATCGAGCAGTTTGCAACGCACTATCACCAGAAAAGTCCTATGGAAAAGGACAAAGAATACCCGCTCTATTTGCAACTTAACTGTACCCTGTATTCTTTTTAAATGTGTTCACGTGGTAGGGTAGTGTGATACTCCCTCTGCCTATGCCTACATCGTTCAATCTTTTTTTCATAGTATAACGCCTTATTAATACAACAGTTATTGAGCTGTTAAGAAAACATACTAACAAACAAACCACCGAGTTTAGAGTAAGACATATACATGTATTGTTCTATTATCAAATCATATATTGTGTCCCAATTCTAAAACGTTAACAGTTTATGGTGTACAATAGAACTATTACTATTAACCACTTTAATATATTTAGACATAAAATATCAAGTTACTCATCAGCCAACAAATCTCAAAATATCGAAAAATGAAAAATACGAGGTACTTGTTCACTCAAATCTAGGAGTCAATTGGTAATGTGTACCTATAGATAGTTCTCAAAGTAAATGAGCAAAAGCGTAACATTTGTATGTAGCATGCTTCATAAAACACTAAACTTAGCCCAAAAAGTAAGCGTGCATTTTGTTCCTGGCACTGATTGGTTAATAAGTGAATACAATTCGTTGAATGCACGATGCACTCAAAAGATTAGCAGCTGGGAAAGGCTATTGAACAAAAAGTACGCTTTCGTACTCAAAAAGGATTACCCTTTTACAACTTTGACAACTTTGAAGCATGAACTTCGGAAGATCTAACGAAATGTACTTACTGTTACCCTGTGGATCCCAGGGTTTTGATATGTTCTACAAAGTCATGCAAAGACAGACCATATATGCACTAAAAATATCTGTGACACTTGTATGATATGTATTCCACTTTGAACCACCATCTATTTCAATATTGTGAAAATATATATTTCCCAAATTATGAAATAAAGGAGCTTGTATTCGCGAATGCCGCTAACGCCTGTCGGCTACCGGATAAACCTACTTTACTATTTTATGGGCAATTCATTAAAATATTAATGGAATATTGTCAGGTTCTTTTCATATTTAAATGAGTCGCCCATAGAATGGTAGGTTAATCCGGAAGCTGAAATCTTCCATTCCCAAATCATAGTCTTAGCTTGTATTCGCAAATGCAACTAACGCCTGTCGGCTACCGGATTAACCTATTATTTTACTGGAAACTCATGTCAATACGAATAGTACCTGCCACTATTCCATTCATATTTAAATGACTTGGTCATATTATACTGGGTTAATCAGGTAGCCGGAAGGCAGTTGCATTCGCGAATATAAGGTTAGCTTGTATTCAATAATGCAAGAAACGCCTGTCGGCTACCGGATTAAACTACCTCTGGAGACATCGGGATTTTAAAGCGGCGTGCAAAGCGTAATCGGGTACACCCCAGTTCTCCGAAACCCAGTTGTCCGAAACCCATTACTCCGAAAAATAAAGTCATAATTTACCAGAGAAAGCGGGGGGCGTAGCTTACTTAAACTTACGTCAGTTTCATGCCATGTATTTGGCCAAATTAATGGCATGGACGCATTCTGTTATTCATAGATCTCTCTCTCACTTTGAATTGCATCCATTGCATGGCGTTACCAGAATGGCAGGAACGGGAGATTTATTTTACATTGTGATTCTAAAAAAAAGGTTATTAAAACACAATATATATTACGGAACAGTTTATCTTATCTTCTTCAATCTCTTTTATATAGGCAAAATAAAATGAAACATTTTGAAACAGATAAAATAATTTATCGCATAGAACTTTAAGAATAAAACAGTATACAAATTACGTTGTCAAAATATTTCGTCGCATTTAATTTCTTAGTCTCGGTCTCTTATCAAATCGTAAAAGAATAAAACATTCTATACTTAATCACTTGGGATTTATGTTTCGGCATTCGTTTCAGGCATTTGTTTTTTATGTTCTTCTCCTGAAATGTATTTGTTTGACAATAATCAGAGAAAGTGCGTATACGTATAAATATGCCACGCAAACAAACGGGTGTGACTTCAATTTCTTGTCTGTCTGAGGACGTATTGGGAACGAGGTAGAATTAAAGAATTCTTATGAACGAGTCATGCAAGATACTAGAACTAGTAAAGTAATGTAAATGGATAAGTTAATTTCTGATGGATCTGGATATAATATATTTCAAAACTTTGTAAACACTAGATAACTTCATTTAGGCAGATATAGTATCTTGATATATTTGGCTATCATGCGTTTAACATACGTTCCTAAAACTATGAAGACGTTAGGTGAGAAATATTGCTATTGTACGTTCGAAAAGTATTTGGTTGTATTTTGTAGTTCTCAAGTTACCCATGAACTTTCGTGGGCTAATTAACGTCTTGACTTAGCATATTTAGCCTAATTTTGCAATGATGTCAACGTGATTCAAATGTTATGCTGTCGTGATTCGCAGAGGTTGCGACAAGATTCGTTTTACAACAGATGTAACTATGAGAACATGAAAGCTCATAATCCTGATTATGCAACCTTATACAATCGTTATCTTTGGGACAAGAGCCCAAAAACAAGGTACTCGTGAACGAGAGTTGAATTTGCTCCGTGAACGATAGGATACGCTGTTCCCCACCAACAAAATACAGACATATGCTTCAGTGTCCTCAACGCAGATTGTAGAGAACAAGAGAAAAAATGAAATATACTTTGCCATAACAGAATACTGTTAAAGTATTGTTTATTAAGTTTATTAAGTTTCACAAATAACTTTTAAATGCCTTCTTTACCGTCAACGGACACTCAAATAAATACACAATACAATGCAATGCAATGTAATACAACGCATTACAATACAAACTAAATTAGAGTATTTGTGCATAGCATTTTCCCCTTTTGTTTGAAGGATATTTTAAGAATAATTCCAGCGTTCGTACACACCTGGAAATGTCAGGGTTTTGATTTAATTTTCCAAGTGCCTGAAATGTCAGAGAATTTTAAAATAAGGTCAAAAAGGGCCAAAGAGTCCGGGAATTTTGAAACTGTAGACATGTCATGGAAATGTCAGGGAAATTTGTATCAGTGTTGAAAAAATGATGTTCCAGAAAAATAAATTTTAGGACTATGACAGGATCTCAATGAAATCCAAAATGTAACATTTAGTTGATTCCACACGGGGCGTGTACATTGTCTAACATATATCTAAAAGGTTTACACTGTCTTGATTAATGAACTTCTTAGATCTAGTCGCGCTTCAGAAGTGGAAATCCTTCAATTATCAGAGGTTAATGTTTCTAAAACTGTATTGAAATAAACGTACGTCTTGTTTTCAAACCTACACCTTGCTCCTTTCTGTCGTATTAATAAAGCAAAAATAACATATCACGGTGGGATACGAACCACTCGCCTGGGATTTGGTTATTCACTAACACCATAGGCGTTCACCTATTCTGGATACAACTGACGAGTTGTATCTAAGTGGAGTCAAAAGCGAAGATCATTCTAAATTGACGCTCGGTATAAATATATGATACTTTTATCATCTCACACAGGTGAACGTTAGCCTCATGGCTAGCGTGTTTAGCTTCCACTCTCTAGGTTAGTCGATCGAAACCCGTTCATGGCGAACTTTTTGATTTGCTTGCTGTCAACTTATAATAAGTAGGGCAAAATCCAGAAAAAGTAGATCAAAAATACTCCAATGGAGTATAAAATTGTCACCAGGATTCCGAAATGAGACGAATGTTAACTCGTTAAATCTCGGTAGATAAAGTAGGTCAGAAAATCCGGATTAATCCGAACTGATTCGGGAATCTTCGTCATAAGAAGTAGATCAAAAATCAAGAGAAGTAGATCAAAAATACTCCAATGGAGTATAAAATTGTCACCAGGATTCCGAAATGAGCCGAATGTAAACTCGTTAAATCTCGGTAGATGAAGTAGGTCAGAAAATCCGGATTAATCCGAACAAGGTTCGGGAATCTTCGTAATAAGAAGTAATTAAAAATACTCCCAATGGAGTATAAAATTGTCCCCAATATTCCGAAATACGACGAATCGAATCGGCAAACTTCGGTAAAATAATGAAGTGCATAAAAACCGAAATGATCCGATGAACGTTCGGATAAAATCGTGAACAGGTGTCAGGGGTTTCCCCTCATCTTTCCCCACATTGTTCTAAAAGCCTTATATGGATTTATCACGTAACATTCAAAATGACGTTCCTATATGGTTCTATGGGTTCGAACACGTGACCAAATATACCAAATAAAAATTTTACCTTGACCACTGGATGGGATTTCATAGAAAATATCCAAGAAAACCTATCCTCGTGATCCTTAAATCACTTAAATTCGATCATTTTATTTTCACCCCTTGATGGAATTTTATGAAAGAAGTCATGAAAACACATCATCATGTAAGGGTTTTCACCTAAATTAGCTCGTTTTATCTTGAGCCTTCAATTGAATTTCTTGAAGAAATATTTTATGAAAAAATATCATCATGTTATGATTTGTATCTAAATAAGACCGTTTCATCTAAATACTTGGATAATATTTCATAAAAAATGCACTTTAAAATTTTTCAGAATTTGCCTTAATTTATCAATGTAATGAAAGTATAAGATTAACTCCCAGATAGCGTTCTATTTTAACCTTTTTATTGAAATCAATACAGGACTCGCTCTCTAAATATCCAATAAAAATTCAACCCTTGGATGTGATTTCGTTGGAAAAAAAATATGTCAAGTCCAGAATCAAATGATTTGTCCAGAACCTCTTAAGATCCTGTTTGTAGAGGTGACAGTGACAATGCCATATCCTGGCAGTTGGCATATTCGTGTTAATCTTGGAGAACAGCAATGGGAGTATATGACACAGGACCAGATGGCACATACATTTCATATCCACCCTACGGTTAAAGGAATCCACACTTTACGTGTAGTTTTACTGGCAGACGAAGGAGCTCCAAATAAGGTCGAAGTCTCGAATTTTGAAGAGGAAGTTGAAGTAAAGCAATACCAAGCCATTGAAAGCAAAGAGCGTATTGAAGCTATGGTTAATGAGCGGAATCTTGCAGTAGACCAATCCTATCAATTCAGTGCTGATCTTACTTCGATTGGAGAGGCGTCACAAGTAACTTTTGTTGCTTACCCCGAGAGAGAATACCCGTCACGCTACGTTGATTATTCAAAAATACCCAACGAATATAGACCCCCTCCATTAGCTTCTGATTTCTCAAAGGTAATCAAGGATTTCCGGAGTGAAAGCAATGGAAAGGTGTTACATTCTTACACCGCAAAGAAGATTATTCAATTGCTTAGATTGGAGTCGTTTACATCGTTCTCGCCTCCAGGAAGTGACCAAAACGAGGCAATGGAATCGCCTGCTGGGCAAAATGGTTATCACAACTCTCAAGGCGAAAATAATGACTATAATGTGAATGGCACCAACAGCTATGGACACTATCAAACGAATGGCACGAACACATATGAAAACTATCACACAAATGACACCAACTACTATTCTGATAACTATAACGAGACGCACTATAGTAATATCGATCAGTTTACACGGCAAGGTGGACCTGAAGTGCCTGTTCTAGTGACAGTTGCAAAGTGTGGCGCCCGACGTGGAACGACTAAGGCTTCCATGAGGCTCCCTGCAGGTACGTTTGACAGTTGCATTCAAAGAACTTACTTAATTTGGTGGCCGTTTTAATTTGGTGAATTTGGTGAATTATGAATTCTCCAATTCATAATTTTTCAGAAAAATCCCGTAACTGTTTATAATATGACTATATTTCTTTATCCCATACTTGGACGTGTTACAGGTACATAAAGCCGGTTTGTAAAATCTTATATTTTCATCAGCGGGCAGATATAGCTTTACGTCCCGCTCGAGCGGGCAGATATAGTATATCTGCCCGCTACGTCATAATCGCCATTTGCATATTTGTTCATAATTTGTAACGTACGCGTAATGACTGTAAACGACAATGGAAAAAACACAGACTATCGGGATCTGTTTGATGGTTTAAAAAAGGGAAGGAGCATCCACTTAATCAATCAAAAAATTCTAGAAAATAAATGTAGGAATATTTGAGAGAACAGGAAAATCCGCCCACGGCCAAGAAAACAAAACTGGACATGAATATTCTAAAAGATTTCCACGATTGAACAATGTGAACCAGATGACCAAGATTGGTATGGGATAAACATATTATCCTATAGTCGGTTCAGGATATAATGATTATCCCTTGGCCAATATAATATATTTTCCCTCGGGACCTGCGGCCCTCGGGCAAATATATTATATTGGCCTCGGGATAATCCCAATATCCTGAACCTCATATAGGATAATCTCTATATATTCGGTCTATATTTTTTGAGTTTATTGTGACCCTAAGTATATAAATCAAAATAATATAAACAGGCTTTGAAATGATATCCAATTTGAATTCAGAGTTACCAAGCCTCTGGAGGGAGTGTGATAATTGATAATTTGATACTCGTTCTTAGTCTTCCTCTTTTATCTGCCCACTTTAATATTTTCTAGGTCAATATAATGTGCAGATGGTGACGGGTAACCCAAGTGGCTCCATCGTAAAAGAAATGGGAACTCTCCAGTCACTCCATCCAATTGTAGCTGAATCTATTGACATATCGCCTGTAGCCAATACTCCAGTGATGTACCCTGACATGGTTGTGTTCAACTATGAACTTGATCCAACAGACCCTCCGCCATCCGAATGTCACTTTAAGTTCGATTTCGGCGACGGGACTAGTGGTAAGAGTATATTAAAGGAACTGCTAAGTATACTGTACTAATTTTTACATGTTGATCTTACACCTGAACAATGTTTTCCTCATAAGGTCAACGTTATACCCATGTTGTCCTATTTTCATATACTCATTTTAGTTTTGATACAGTTTAAAACATAAAAAGATTCAAAAACAGAAAAGGAATATCTGAAGGTTTAAAAAATATATAAATACGTAAACCGATGGATGGATACTGATATATTCATGAGTAAGGGCATGTTTTGAGCTTTTTGCTAATTCTTCATTATCAATAGGTGAGAGTGAAAAGAGCTTATGAGAAAAATTAAAATAGATTACACTGTAAAGGAATATTTACTGTTTTCGTTGTATAACTGATGACCTCAGAATAAATCATTCTGCAGATTCGTACATTTTGCAAAGGGGCGTGGGATTTTATTATTATTAAATTTATTTCAATAGAATACAAAAAATGTAAATACAGACATGTAAATTCTTAAATCGCCACAATGGCATTATATAAGAATAGGGGGCAGGTGGAAGTAGAAGTGGCAGAGCAGGCAGGGTCTTGGACTAGGGCAGGTGTGACGGGACTTGAGGATACTAGAGATGGATAAGAAGGAGGGAATTAGCTATTGTCTTTGATAAAATTAACAATGAGAAGTAGTATTTGGGAATTTGCATCTATGTTTAATTTGGGAATTCCTGTTTTCAAAATAGCTATGAAATCAGTTTGAGAGAGATTATGACTGAAGATGTTTGGTTCGAGATCAGTGAGTTTGTCCATGAATTGCTGTCTTTGTATAGTAAGTAAGTCACATTGAAAGAGAAAATGTTTCAGAGTTTGTGGTTTTCCACAAGTGCAATTAGGGCTGTCAATAGACTGAAAGTTGTGAGCGTAGAACTGGGCTTTGAAGTATAGGTCAGCTCTCACTTTATTGAGAACTATTTCTTGAACCCTTGTTAGATTAAGCTGGCTTGTTGACAAAATCGAGGGCGTTTTTTTGAAATGTACTCTTTGGTGTTTTTTAAAATTCGAAAGAGTATTCTTAGATTTAATAGCAGGTGGAAGATTGATCCAATTTGAAATTGCAGCTGGTATTGCTGAGGTGGAGAATCTATTTGAGCATCTAATGGGCATTTTAAATGCTTCATTATATCTCAATACTCTGTTTGCATGGTTTCTAAATTTGTCAAAAATATCAGTTACATAGGGAGGACTTGTACCATTTACAATTTTGAACATAAAGTTGTTAATCTGGATACTGCGTCTTGATTCAAGAGTTGGCCAATTGAGTAGGTTTAAAACCTTTTTTGAACTGCTCCCTTGGATACACCCAGAACAATAAAGTGCAGCTTTATAATAAAGACTGTCGAGTCGTTGTAATAGGAACTTTGAGGCTGTGCTGTACATGATAGCACCATAGTCAAAGTGGGGTAAAATAAAGGACTTAAATATGGTTTCTAGATGCTTACTACCTAACTTATATTTAAGTTTCTTTAAAGGGTTCAACATTTTTCGTATTTTTGATATGATTTCTCCAATATGCTTGTCATATGATAAGCTTGGGTCAAAAGTAAATCCCAGATGTTTGTGCTCGTGATCTCTGGTAATTTCAACATTGTTTAACTTTGAAACAGAAACATTATCGACTTTAGATCTGGATGAGTGGAATATCATTTCAGAACTCTTTTCAGGTTTAAACTCCAATTTCCAGGTGTCAGACCATTTTTCAATTTTAATTAGGTTAGATCTGGCTATTGCATCTACTTCTTGTGGATGCTTAGGGTCAAAAGGATGATGTAGAGAAGTGTCATCCGCATAAATATAGCAATGCCCCTCCAGATTGTCTGGAAGGTCATTAATGTATAGGAGAAATAATATTGGCCCAAGTATTGAGCCCTGGGGGACACCACAATTGATAAAGTCATTTTCAGAATAATTTGAAAGTTCCCCAGATATCTGTACAGCAATTTTTCTGTTAGTAAGGTAAGATTTGATAATTTTTTGAATTTGCCCTTGGAAGCCATATGCTGAAAGTTTATGAAGTAGTAGCTTATGTGGTACTCTGTCAAATGCAGCCGCTATATCTAGAAAAATTGTTTTGGAAGCTTTTCCTTGTTCAAATGTGCTCTGAAGAAAATGTTCAATAGATAAAAGTTGATGAATAGTACTATGACCTGGCAAGAATCCGGACTGATGTTTGAAAAGAAGATTATTGTCAATTAAATGCTTCCTGATTCGATCAGCTAAAACTTTTTCAAATACTTTAGAGATACAGCTTAAAAGAGTGATAGGTCTATAATTGTTGATGTTTGATTTGTCATTCTTCTTAAAAATTGGGCAAACATTTCCAATTTTCCAGATATCCGGGTAGGTACACTTTGATAAAAGTTTGTTGAATAAGTTGGCTAAAGGTTTTGAAATGGTATGGGCTGTCAAATTCAACATTTTGTTTGTGATGTTATCTGGGCCACATGCCTTTGAGGTGTCTAAGGACAAAATTATTTTCATTACCTCAAATTGATCGGTCTGGGCGGAAATGAGTAGAGAATTAGTCCTAATTGGGAAATGGGGCAATTGATCAAAAGTTGCATCAGTATGATTTTTTGAGGCAAAGAAACTCATAAATCGGTTAGCTATATCAAGGTTGTTAGATAAGTCGTGTCCAGAGACATCATCATAGATACTAGAAATATCATTTTTATGTAAATTGTTACCAAGGAATGATTTAATTAACCTCCAATAGTTTTTATCAGATTTATTGAGTTGGTCAATTGATGAGATAGTTTTGAGTTCATGTGCCTCTTTGGCTTGTTCAATTAGTTGGGAAACTTTAGAAGCTTGTTGATTATAATTGAATTTGTTAACTTGATTAGGAACTTTTGAAAATTTCTTATATAAAACTTTCTTTTTTGATATTTCACGTTTAAGATTATCATTGAACCATGGCTGGTCATTTGACCTTACAGTGATGATTTTATTTGGAATTTTGGATTTGTATATGTCCGAGAGTTTTTCAATAAAGTTAGAGGTAGCTAAGTCCAAGTCTATGTTTCTATCGATAATATCTGTCCATTCGGTATTTCTAATTGCATCATTCAAAGTTTCAAGATTAGCTTCATGGTATTTCCAAATGGTTTTTTTAATAGGCTTGGACTTAGTCACACCAACTTTAATTTGAGCTACAATTGTGCTGTGGTCGGTTTTTTCAATGGGATCTGTGACATCCCAGTTGTCAAAAATATCTGGAGAATCGGTCAAAATATGATCAATGCAGGATTTGGAGTGATCAGTTATTCTAGTTGGTTCACTAACAAGTTGTACAAAGTCTTGGTTATCTATGGTTTCTAAGAGTTTAGTTCCTGCTAAGTTTATGTCATCATTATCATACCAGATTGAATGTTTTGCATTCAGGTCACCCATCAGTATGACATGGTCAAAGGCCGGCTGAGATGTTACTATTTGATCAAGTTGAGTTTCCAATAATGAAAAATAATTTCTTGTTTCTGTTGCATTCTGACTGGGTGACCTGTAGCAAGTGCCAAATAAAATTCGTTTATGGTTCACAATAACAGTTACTAACAGGATGTCAAGCCCATCTATGATAAAGTCATTAGAGATTTTTGTCACTAGGGTTTTATGAGTATAAATTACCAGACCTCTACCTCTTTCACTGTAAAAAACATTATAATTATTAATGTCAAAATCACCCGAATCCATTTTGGATTTGGAAATTCCAGCCTCACAAAGGCCAATAATGCTTGGATTAAGTTCATTTATTCTTAGTTTCAAAGAGTCAAATCGTGTACCCCCATTTGCTGAGAGGCTATTTATATTGGAAAACAAAAATGAAAGATTGTTCGGACCTGGATTAGGATGGACATCTCCTGCTATAAGAAGTAATAACATTTTCAAGTTTGGAGCAAATGTTAATATGCAAATTCCAGGTACAACACAACTGGTTGCTAGAACTTTTAAGGTCAAACATAGGGAGTAAGGACTCACAATGTATTTGAGATGCTGATTTATATGGTATATTATCAACAGTGGAAGGAAAAGACAAGTTGTTATGCAACTGACCAGATACAACAATAGTAAAATCCCATAGATCACATATGATATGTCGAAGAATCTCAGGTATGCATATAAGAGCATATACATCACGAGGGGGGGTTTGATCAATTCAAAAAAGAGCAAGTCTCTAGTTATTGGAGTTCTATTTTGTCGGCATTTAGGTTGTTTAAGTATATGTAGATGGTTGAATAGGCCAATAGTCACCCTCCATTGTTGTATTAGGTCTATCCGACCCCTTGTCTAGTCACCCATGCCCCAGTCCCAACCCAAAACCTGCCTGCCACAACCCCAGTAAGGATAAAGTGTCTCATGGAAATGAAGCAATCTGAGGAAGGAGGCTCTCAGAGAAAAGTGTGATGTACTGGTTCATAGGTTCTGCAGTAGTAGCTAGCATTGTGCACAGAGAGTATTCACTTTGCTATGGTTGGCTTTATTGAACTCATTTGAGAAAACTATGGCAAGGAAATAAAAAATTGTCTAAAGGCTAACTGAGTATACACACTTTTCGCGAGATCCTCTCAGTCTGAGTGGTAAAGTAAAAGAATGTTCAGACTTGTTAAGATAAACGCTGAATCACAAAAAAATCAAAGTAAGTGCTTAATATTTTACATACAGATATCAGAAACTTATGTCTGGGCTCCAAAAGAGTCAACTACATGTAATATTAAGCTATGTATCGCATAATGAGATACACTGTGGGATTTTGAAGAGGTTTGTCTGGGTCTCGGTAATGACTGACTTGCTTGAGGAACCTTTTGGTATTTATGAAGTAAATGAACTCATTCATAGAACATAAATTCGAAGATGACTGTATTCACGGAGCCTTCTTTAAAGTGTAAACAAAGTCAATATTTCACCCGGTATTTATTCGTCAATACAATACCTGGTAATATGAGTAATGTCATAGCAGCAGGATGTAGGAGTAGCGGGCAATAATGGAATTTTCAAAAGCTTTCATGTTCGAGTCGTAATATAAAACACCATAGGTCAGGTATTATATCGAGTAATACATACCTTAGGGCTGGGCACAAAAGCTTTCGAAAACGTTTGTACCTAGCCTTGCCGTATTTATTCATCGACATAACACCTGCTCTTTGGTCTATATTTCTTCAATATATGTTTGGTTTATTTGTAGACAACGGGACTGCCGATTTCTCGTACGCCAACAAAGGCCAGTTGGGGCATGCGTATCTACCAGGCGAATATACAGCTGAAGTAACTGTAGAAAATGCCATCAGCAAATTCAACAAAATACTCCCTGTTAAAGTATATCAACACATTGAAGGTCTTTATTTAGTAGCTGATTACGTAAGAATTGTTAATGATACAAGGGGTCCACCACCTCGCGTCCCACGACCGATGTATGTAAACGGAAGAGCAGAATACATCGGTGTGTCCGCACGATTTAAGACTCAGTCGCCATTTGTTGTCAGAGTAGCACTGAACGAAACAGGTACCAATGATACTATCAACACTTATACTAATTACAAATGGATGGTTGTAAATGTTTATACGCCTGGAAACCATGACATGGCCTCCACAAGATGTAAGGGCTCAGGATGCAGAGTTGCTACTTTTATAAGGGATGCAATCACTGACGTTCCTGTGTTATCAATTGACACACTTCGTCCAGGATTCTATATGGTATCTTGTGAGATTCAACGTGATGGAAGTTCATATTACCTTGCTGATATCATTATTGAGATAACACACCGCGTTGAATTAGCGGTGGAGCGTCCCTTTAGGAGTCCAAATGCCGTCGAAAATAACATTTTTGCAGTCGAGAAGAACGTGCATGTGAACATGAGACCTTTAACTGGAATGAAAACAACGGGAGGCGAGTGTCTGCTCTATAAATCCAATGATACTATATCAAGAGAAAGTATTGAAAATACACTCTTACGTGTTGAAGAAGTTTTATTCCGTCCTTATGATAGTGAGACATATGGATCGAACAACGGAAGGGGCGGAGTTGAAAACGATATCGATATTGATGTTAACCCTGATATCTACGACGTTATGAGCGTTTTTGGTGACGTTATTACATCATTTAACGTATCTATAACACGTAGGCCGTCACACGGCCAGCTGGCGCTGAGGAATTACGGGCCTGGTAGGTACACACTTGGTTGCAGACTCAACCTTGATACGGACTTACACGACTTTGTACTCAATGCTACGCACTTTGAAGCAGTAAGTAGTAATGGACCCGTGTTTCTCATCAACAACAACCCAATTGTAAGAAATGAGCTTGTTACTTTCGTCTTATTTGCCCAACGTGTTGGACAAAATTCAACATTTACCGTGAACTATGGAAAGAATGAAGAAGTGACCTTGGAGGCCCCGAGTAAAATTGCAGACATTGAACAATATATTCCCGATTATATCCAGCTTCCATTCAATCCAGAGCACGCACTTGTGACTGTATTTACGCATAACTATACAAAAATCGGCATGTTTCCTGTTGAGGTGACTGCGGTTGGCTTAACAAGTACTCAAACTACTCGATCAAAGGTTGTCGTTATGAAAAAACCATGTAAACTACCAACCGTAATAATGAAAGGGGGTGGCGCGACATCCGATTCGACTATCGACTATTTGAAGTCGAGTCCCATACGGCTAAGAGCACGGATGAGGTTGAACTGCGATTTGGTTGCCAAGGTGAGGTTCGAATGGACCATTCATAAAATGGAGGACGAGTTCGACGAGATGCCATCTATAGATAATCAACTCCCTCGTATACGAGGTACAGACTACGATGAGCTAGACATACAAGTTCGGAGATATACCCTTGACTCTGGAAAATATTTGTTTTTATTGAAGGTTAGTATTCTTATGAATCATTTTTTGTATTTTTAATTTTTTGGCTCGTATCATTCATTTATGTGTTCAAATGGGGAGCGCCGTATTCACAATTTGATAAGATGTCACGGGTCATTTGGCAAGCGCATGTAAATGTATTTGAACTAGTAAAAGATACATTGGTAAGTCAATTGTGATTTCTTATGTATTTTGTCATCCCCTTTATCTATGATTATGCTTTATTTTATCGTAAATTCAGGCAGAGTTGGATTGATACATTTTTATTTGATTTCCATTTATCAAATGCTATATTTGTCATGTTTGGTTTATTTTTATATGTTCTTGGCATTTTGTGTAAGAATCCATTTTCAAAATGGCGGTTGAATTCTTTGCTATATTTCCAGATCATAGTTCCATCTGATCGAGATTCAGGACTTAATTTGGAGAGTCTCACCCAGGCTTGGATTACAGTTAAAGAGCAACCCCTGATTGCAAGAATAAGGGGAGGAAATGCAAAAGTCATCGGTAGGTTCAAATTTTAAGTTATCATATTTGTTATTTCAATAGGGAAAACCTTGCCAAGCTGAGTGTCTAGTAAATATTATATTTTATTAACTACATGTGTCAACTGCCAAGCGTTATTGATTGATTGTTGACAGTTTAATATATGCATTACATCAAACGAAAATGATCAAAAAGTATATTTGTTGATATTTAAATTCAGGCTGGGGAAAAACATTGAAAATGGATGCCAGTTCTTCTAGAGACCCGGATGTACGTTCCAAGTATGATCAGGAGTTGCGCTATTTCTGGTACTGCTCGAAAAGTAATGGTTGGCCCTCGGATCCGACTTTTCCAACAGGTTTGATAGCTACATACATGACATATTGTATCTGCAATAAAAATTTTCACACACTTACTTTGAATTAGAGTGAGCTAGGGTTAAATTAGTTTTCAAAATTAAATCCCTTGATTTATCTGGCTGAACATTGGTAAGTTTGCCTTTTGCCTCATGTTTGGAGAAAATGTGCCAAAATCTCCAAGTTTGGGCCATATTGGGTCCTAGTTATTTTCATAACCCCCCCCCAACTTCCCGTCAAGTCAATTATGCACCCCTGTGTACTTCTTGCATACCTTTTGATTGTTTTGCAGATTGTTATACTGGTTCGCCAAGTACAGGTAACCTCAACATTCATACCTCTGTTGTGAAACTTGATACAAATAATTTTACTGCTGGACAATTTTACACTTTCCGCGTGAATATCGATAAAGATGATCCTGATTTCGAGGACTTGCGAACGGCTAGCCGTGATCAAATAGTCGAAGTTGCTGTAGGTGATCCACCAAATATTGAAGTAGCATGTAGAAGAAATTGCAACCAGTATGTCATATCTTCTCAAAGAGTGGCTCTTGTGGCCAAATGTTCTAACTGTTGGCGTATGACGGTGACGTATACATGGGAGGCGTATTTAAATGATGTTCTGCAAACTAACTTTGAGTGGAAACAGAACACTCTAACTGGAAAGAATAAAAGGGCACTTGTTCTTCGACCATATGCAATAGGAGCCAGCGGACAGGAGAACTGGATGTTTAAATTAACAGGTAACCCCAAATAGTGCATTCATGTTTGAATCTTTATTTGGAAGCTTATGATTTTCATCATAATCGAGCAGTCACGTGGTCCAAAAGGCCCGCCAAAAGGTTACTTCCGGTTTGTAGAATTTCTAGTGTTTTGTAATAATAATTTGTGTTTGTAATAATTTCTAATGTTTTCAAGACAACCATTTTGAATGTAGATTTAACTTGAATATATTTCAATAGCAAGTTTCCAAAGTGGGGCGCATGGATATTCGCAATACAGTCTCCAGACTAATTCCAAACCAACCGTCGGCGAGTGCACTGTGGCACCAGAAACGGGCCAGGTGCTCGAAACGTACTTCAATATTACATGTAGTGGATTCAATGACCCCGACCAACCACTGACATACGAGTTCTTTACTGTAACGACAAACAAGAGGGGCAGAACAAAAGGTACCACCCCAAGTCATATCATACGTTCACATAACAACATCAATTTCCTTTCCGCGATAGAGCGCTTCCACTTCAAACTAAAATCTATATTCCATATTGAATAGCAGAAAGGACAATTTTTAACGTTGTTGTCTGGACAGATTCTGACTTGTTTTTGACACATTAAAACTAGACTCTGTGGTGAAACTCCACAAGATGTTTCAGGTGACTAGCTTAACTACAGTAGATGCATGCACTTTTATGAGCGTTACAAGATTTGCTTTAAATGTCGCAAGTTCTTTGCAGGCAGACTTAGATTTTACACACAAATGACAACCACCTTTTGTAACACAATTTTGGAAATAAGTTATAATAATTTTATCAATGGCATACCATTTTGTGTTTAATTAAAAGGACTTCCTTTCCCTGAAATTACAAGCAAAAATCATAGTATTCACAAAGTTATGTTACAAAAGGTAGGTGGCATTGTTTGTGTAGAATCCAAGTGTGCCTGCAAAGGAATGGACGACATTTAGAGCAAATCTTGTAACGCTCATAAAAGTGCATCTAGTTGAGCAAGTCATCTGAAACTTCTTGTGGAGCTGCTCCACGGAGTCTAGTATTAATGTGTCGAAGAACAATTCAGATATCATGCAAAAAGTTATCCAATTTTATCGAATGTGCCAACAACAGCGAACTTCTTTGTATTTGATTTAATTCAGTAAATCAAAACATTACCAATATTTTCATTTTCATGTACATTACATACATCACCCATTGTTTACTCTGTCTAATTAAATATTCGTCAATTCCAGAGAACCTTCTTTCATTCGGCACTGATGAATTTATGCCAGAAACGTTTCTGCCAGTTGGTGACGAAAATCGAAACATGACTTTGGATTTACTTGTCAGAGTTTCTGATTCTATTGGTGCGGCTGTTGAAGTAAAACTAAACGTCATAGTAAGATATGTTCAGATCATTTGTCGAAAGTCGGAAGTTTATATTCCTTATGTGGGTTAATGGTGTTAATGTGTGTTTCTTTTTCTTACTCATTGCTTTGTATGTCACCATCGGAATTGATGGCATATTGTTATAGTCTCCAACTTTTGTGTGGACGGTGTTCGGGGATTTGTGCTTGGTGGTCGGCGTCTGTAAAATATGGCGTTCGGCGTCTGTATCACATGGCAGCTGTTGACATTTTGCATGCCTTGTCTCCTTTTTCGTTTAGCACCCGTGCTTTCATATCTATGTTTGATCATTTTGTAACCATATGAGTTACCCCTCGCGCAGAGTCTAGTTATAAACTATGAAGGCGAAGCTCTCTTTTAAGAAGTGAAATCGAACGAATGCAAAGGGTTCATATGAATATATCTTGCTCTTATATTCTCTACATAGGTTAATGAACCATTGGTAGTTATTGACGAGGACACTTTGAAGAATATGACATCTGGCGAAGGAGGACTTCTGCAAAACCTAAAAGATATGGGGGATACCCAGAAAGTTGCCCAAGTCCTTGGAACATTCTCTGCTGTAATAAACAACCTTGCTGCTCAGGACAGGTCAACTTCGAGTAATGGAACAGTTACGAAGGAAGCAAAGCTTAAAAGGAAACAACGAAAGCTGGAACGTATGAATGTAAGTGATATGCAAATGAGATATCTTGGGATACATTAATAGATCGATGAGTCAGCCACGTTTGTGTCGTTTTATCCCTATTTTATGCATTTCGACCAAACAAAAATAAAAGAGCAAACTATGAAAATATACTACAGACATTTTCTGGACATCAAATATGATTAAAAAACTGAATTGATATTAGTCTTTAAAACGCGCTATATTGTCGTCGTACTGTGCGTCTAGGCGGGCGCCATATATGTCTTGTAATCATTTCAAAGGAAACCACTCGCCCGTTCTAACTAATTTTTGTAATATTTACAGATGCAAGCACTGACTAATACCAAAAACTGGTTAGGGTTTTGAGCATGCTGGGTAAATAACAAAGCAATCATTCGCTCTGCAAAGTGCGATATTTATCATTATTATATCACTATCTAGCTAGCGACAGTATGATTGGTCAAAACCGGGTCACATGTCGTGGGATATCTGGCGATATTCAATGGCAATGCTAATCAGATAAGACAACCGTGAGATATCTAGCGATATCCCACGCTCCCGGGAATTTTCAAAGAATTTGTTTTCGTTCAGTGTAAATAATTTAGTTCAGTGTAAGTCAAAATGACAGACGAACCGAGTAGATTCAATGTATTTCAATGTTAACCTATGACTTAATAATATTAGGGATGTTTAGCTAGACAGTGATATAATAAAACAAATATTTCACTCTATTTTCGGTGAATACCTGTAGCACTTTCACAAGGTGATATTCCACTTGCCCTTCGGGCTTCGTGGAATATCACTTGTGAAAGATGTACAGGTATTCACCTCAATAGAGTGAAATATTTGTTCAATGTGCCTTATTTCATTTATATTCCAAGATGCGAAAATCATTCATCGAAGATCTTGGCTCAGTGTCGGTAAAGTCAATGGAGTCCTTGAAACAAACAACATCAGCCTTGACTGAAGTGACAAAAGAGGTGTCAGAACTTCCCCCTGAAGCTAAGGCTGACGCTGTTAACACCATGAAAGAACTCAGTAGTTTCCTTAGCAATTCAACAGAAGATGAAACAAGCAGTGAGGATATTAGTAAATCAGCAACGTGAGTAAAATGATGAAATCATAGACGACTTGGTGTCAGATTTTCGGCTTGAAATGTCTTTTACCATATATTATTTTAAATACAGTAAAATCCTGTTTTAGTTGAACACCTTTGGTACCTATAAAAAGTGTTCAATTTGGGACGTTTTCCCCTTATAGTGGTTCATTTGGCATTAGTCAGTTGTTCTTGGTTCTTGGAAGATTATAGAGGTTCATTTAATATTAGATCAATTGGTCTTGGGACTTTGAAGTGTTCCACTAACAGAGGTGTTCCACTTCTAGAGGGGTTCCACTCTACAGATTTTTCTGTAAATGGGTTTTCAAGTCAAATATGATTTTGAAAAATGTTTTGAACAACTGCATCAACTTATCTAAAAGTATTCATTTCTAAATATTTTAATAGCAATTAAGTGTTTATAAGCCATATATAATTTTGAAAAAACTCTTCACGACTAGCGTTTTGTTCCATAAAAAAAGTTATTCATTTTTAGATATTTTATTGAAAGTTCACGCGTTTGCGACCCATATATGATTTTGAAAGTTCGACACCACTGAATGTTTTTGCTTCACCCTAAATATGGATAATCTAGTATATCGTTTAAAATTAAGAATAAGAACTCGCATAAAGGAATAATGTACAAAGCTTTAAATGTTTCGCACTCGCAGGATGTTGGTATCGGGTCTGAGTAATTTACTGGCTTCCAACACAGCAGAAAGCCCAGAAGAAACAGATGATGAAGCTGACGATGAGGTTGCCGTAAAAGCAACCACAGCACCCCCTCTAACAAAAGAAGAGAAAGCCCAGGTAGGGATATCAGCAATGGTCAAAAATGGTCAACGTGGCATTGATTTTCGCTTCCATTCTACCAAAATATATTTCAATGTTTGTATAGTTTTCTAAACAAATATGGAGTCGAAGCCAACCTTGTATAAATGTCCTAAAATATAGATTCACCATAGAACACTGGATTAAAACTACATGCAGTAATGCATGCACTATTCGAAAGTTGGTAAGATCCCAAATGCGGGTAGGATCAGGATTTTGACACGCAGTATTGTCGGTGAAGGGATTTTGACATGGTGCTTCCTCCCGGGAGTAGAGAAATGAATTAGATGATATTAAAATCAATGTTGATTGACATACATAGGCAAAAGAGCTAACCCAAGCAACAATGGAAAGCCTTCAGTTTGTGAGAGAAGCCTTGTCAGCGGGACAAATTCCAGGGGAGGAGCCTACGGTAATTGAAACGGACACAATGAAAATGCAAATCGACAAGCAATACACAGAAGATCTACTGCTCGGTGGATCATTATCAGGTAATTCCTCCACTGGGTCTGCAAACACTGAATTCGTCCTTCCGTCCAATATATCTTTGGGAGATGCAGAAGCTGTTGATATTCAGGTAAACTTTTTGATATATTTACATTTCTTACAGCGTTTTTATGTCACGTCCACAAGTGGTGACATACTGTTTCCAGTCGCCACCTTTTTTGCGAACGGTGTCCATTGGTCGCGATCGAGGTTCGGAGTTCGGCCTCTGTAACAAATAACATGTGGTGACATTTTGCATGTTAAAGTCTTGTTTCTTATTGGACGTAATATTTTGTATTCATCATGGCTATATGTAGGTCGAGATTGTTGTTTGATTTGTATGAACGAAATATTGATCGATGAATACGAAGTTTATCTTTGAGAATTTCATCATTTTATCACTCAACTTCTTTAAATTCGTAGTGTTACTTATTTTAACCAAAGTCCCAGTTTTCTTTAACCGTATACGCACCAATGCAATCCAAATGAAACAATGTCTACTGTTACTATTATTTGATTCAACAAACATGAACTGAGAAATGCACACATTTGCAAATAGTTCTATGTACTGCTGTAGTTTAAAGATATTCTTATGTCACCACCACAAGTGGTAGCAAATGGTAGGTAGTGAGGTAACATTTCGCATTTTAATGCATTGTTATGTACTGCTGTGTGTGCAAAAGCAATGATGACTTGTCAATTCAATAATCAGAGAACAATCAACAATGTGTTTTTTGTATGTTTTTTGTAGATGATTGGTTTTGAAGTCAATCCGTATGCATGGAAAGGTGACCAAATCGATAGCCAAGTAAGTCAGCTAGAACTGCAAGCTGAGAAAACGCGCATACCCGTGTCGGATCTCGAAACTCCTATAGACATTTACATACCAAGATCGACAACACCTTCGGCAAGTTCCGTTAACACAAACATAAGTTCCGAAGGACGGGAGTATCTACAGTTTGAAATAACATCCGAAAGCAAATCTGGCATCATCAATCTAGCGAGCAATATTAGTATAGATGCAGGGGTTGAAATTGTTGTGAAAAAAAGCAATAATGATCTCGATGAAGATCTGTACACTGATGTTATTAGAGCTGAGGAGTTGAATTCAACTGGTGGAGCAACGCTTGTGATTCCTGATACAGCATTCACAGGTAAAGGCACGTACTACATAGGATTCCATGTGGTTGATGCCTCCGAGAACGAGGAAATCATCATGGAGGTATCCACAAGCGAGGCTGGCTGTCAATACTGGAACGAAGCTACAGAAGATTGGGATTCCAGTGGCTGTAACCTAGGGAACAAATCAACATCTGACGTCATACACTGTCAGTGCGACCACCTGACGTCTTTCTCAAGCACGTGGGTCAATATGCCCTCTGGCCCTCCCGTGTTCGCACCTTCAGGTCCAAGCGCGGCTATCAACCCCACTAGTATCATCTTAAGCGCGTGCTTGATAATTCTGTATGGTATTGTCACGTGGTGGGCCATTGGACAGGATAAAAAAGATTATCTCAAGGCTAGTGTTATTCAGATCCCCCAAAGTGATCCCGATGCTACGTACTGCTATATCATGATGGTGTACACCGGAAGAGTCACCGGCGCAGGGACATCTTCCAAGGTCGAGGTGGCTATTGAAGGTACAGTTAACACTGAATACATTTTGCATCTGTTTTTGTATAAGTGGAACACCTCCGCGAATGGAACACTTCAGAGACCCACAGCCATTAGCCATTGACTGACTACGTAACAACACTGAACGAATCTTGCCGAAGTTGATGTTTAATGCGATTTTAAGAGATTTGCATATTTTAGGACAATACAATTGGAAATATTTGAAATTAATAAAACAAGAAATAAAGTGACTTATAGCCCGACTGACACACGTGCTGCCATCTATTTATCAAAGTATAGCGCAAATGGTTGGAGATTGAGTTGACCATAGAAATATTTTGTGGTGTTTTGTGTTATGAGGTTTTCGGTTAAATCGTATTTACAGGTACTAGGAGTAGTATTCCGTTTGTGATACAACCTCAGTCTTTGGACACGAGCAGGAAGGTCCATCAACGTGGAGACATGGATTCATATCTGCTTAGGACAAAAGCGCCATTTGGTGATATTCGTACCATAAGGGTCTGGATAACGGAAACGGGTGATTCTCCAGCATGGTATTAAGTGTTTATTATATTATTATTGTCATATCGGAATATAGTAATTAGAGGTTATGTCACTATCGTGGCATATATGCCCGAGGTCTCAGTGATATATGGCCCGACCTTGGGAGGGACATTGATCTCTGAGAACCGAGGGCATATGTGCCGCGATAGTGACATAAACGATTTATAACATACCTATGATGATGTAGACTGGTCACTAGACTAGTACCATTTTCTTATAGAATTGACAAACAAATGGTTTGAAAATGATTGAAATGAGTTTAGAAAAATTGCTCGCGCAGTTTTATCTTCGATTGATTGGTTATGACGTCAGCGCCTTGACCAATCAGAAAGTTAGCGGGCGCGGGCTTTTCAAAACTTATATTGGCCCGCTGTCTTGTGTACACTTTGCACTATACATCATCATAGGTATGTTATAATAGTAATTATATAGAAATAGTAGTAAAACATGTCTCTAGTGAACATCCTTTCTCTCCACATATTAAATACTGACTTCTGTGTCTATGAATGGTTACCCGATGCATTACCCTCTCTGTAGTGAGCATCTACCTACAGTGAACACATTTTTGAGGCTCCATGCATGGTGTTCACTGTGCAAAGTTTAACTGCACAGTGGTTTCACTAGAATTTCTCACAACAGACTAAATGAATTAAAACAACAGGCAAAATTAATGGAATTCATAGATTTAACATGGAAAAGTTGAAAAGTGACTAAAAACAACCGGAGATTTTGTGCAAACAACCGGTGAAAATCACCTGTTGCCTGCTGCTAATGAAACCCCTGCTGTATATGAAGAAATGAAATTACATGATAGCAACTTACAGACTTAGCAAGGGAGTAAACACCAGTGTTTTATATTTTATTTTCTTTAATCACACAATAGTCATACTATGAGTGTCATACTCTCAGTAATGTATGCGTTACGTATGTACGAAAAACACAATATTTAAATTGCTTTTCCAATACATTCAAAGTGATGATAAATATTTCTCCTCTCTAAATATCCATTTTAACTATAATTTAGGTTCTTGGACAGAATCGTGCTCCATGACCCACAGACCGATCAAAGCTGGTTTGCCATATTCGACTCGTGGTTTTCCAGTGTGACGGCTTCTTCTAAAACAGACAGACAGGTGAACGTCTCCGATCAGGAGATGCGAAGAGTCCCGTTCTCATATCGATTTAAATCAAATCTATCAAGGTAGTGAATATATCATATTGTATCGTAAGGTTGTGGACGGTGTTCGGCGTTTGGCTGTCGAAGTTCGGAGTGTGTAACCTATGATATGTTGTGACATTTTGCATGTTAAAATGCCTTCTTATATTGTAGTTTTGTGTCACCACCAAAAATTGGAGACATATTGTTATAGTCTCCTACTTTCTGTGGACGGTGTTCGGCGTTTGTTGTTTGGTGGTTGGTGTTCGGAGTTCAGCGTCTGTAACAAATGGCAGGTGGTGAAAGTTTGCATGTTAATATCTGCTATGCCATTGCTAAACCTAACCCCTAGAAATACAAAATACTCTGTTTGTCCAATTGTATAGTGTAGTATATTTTTAAAAGTATCTTATTGACATCTATCAGTCAACCGATAAACCATTCATAAGGAACAGACACATAAAAACAAATATCAAAATTGTTACTAATAAGCCAAATGCACACTACTATACCTAACACCTAGAAATGCATAAGATACTTTGTTTGTCTAATTGGATTGTTTAGTATATTTTTGAAAGTACCTTATCAACATCTAACTTTCAACCGATAAACCATTAATAAGGAACAGACAAATAAAAACAAATATATAATCATTACTAATAAGCCAAATTCGTTGCTCATGAAAGCCAAATGCAAGGTATAGTAGAGTGAAATGGGTTGCCGATGGAATAGCCGATGCAATTTGTGATCTGATGGAGAGATTCATAATGTAAAAATTAACTTTTACACTATACAAGGGTCTATCTTACAGTGAAATTGCGAGGGGTTCAGATATGCAGTTCGCCATTGGACTACCTTGACCTTCTACGACTATACAAGATGTTTTATTTCTTTCCAGAGCTTTCCGCCAACATCACGTGTGGTTTTCCCTGTTCCATATTTCTGTGAATTTGACCAGAGTTCAGAAGGCATTGGTGTGTTTCTCTCTCCTTTCATCGTTCATGGTAACGACAGTTATCTTCTATGCATCTGTCACTAGCATTCCAGACTCTTACCAGTTCCATGTGCGTCAAATTGTTTACGGTGAGTATAAACGTTGTTAAGTTGATTTAAATACATACACACGTTTTGCGAGCCCTCGTTTTGTTATGTAACTTAAGTTTTAAGTAGCTTATCAAGTAGCCTACATGAAAATGAGCAATGTATCGCTGAAACAATAGAGCAACATAATTATGTTCATCTCATCACGTCATTTGATGACGCATGACGACAAAGCGACATACAGTAATTGAAGTTCGTTCGGTGCGAGAGAAAGTAAGAACAAGAGCACGGAACGAAAAGGCGTATGTATTCATTAAACAGTCATACCCAACTCACTTCATATTAATTGGATTTTCAGGCATCGAGGGTTGTCTCATAGCAGCCGTGGTGAATTCAGTTGTTGTGTTCTGCTTCAGAATGGCAATGCGACGGACTAAGAGTGGCGATACCTCGCACGATCTAAGCACTTCACGACCAAGTAACTTCACTTCATTATTATTTTCTTTAACAAAATTCTCAGTTAAATTGTAGTACAGGTAGTATGCCTCAATTTTAGGTAAACAAGATTCGAATTTTCATTTTACAGGAATATAGCTTACTCGACCGTAATGATATTTTATATTAAATTCTGTTATTCCTAATATAGCCAAATCCCCTTCAGGTCAGCAGAAAGATCCCGGATGTTGCCCGTGGTGGTTCACTTTGATTGGCTGGAAAATCGGAATGGGCGTTGCCATGGCATCGATTGCTCTTGCAATAACGTATTCTCTTCAATACAACTCTGCCATTATTTCCGAATGGGCAGTTTCATTGGGTAAGTTTTCAAGACTTATGGCCTAGTCACATAGCCCGGCCGATGTCCGGCATCGGTAGAGCTCGGTGGATTTTTTTGGTGCCACCGAGCTCTCCTCATCGGAAGCAGAGCTCGGTGACGTGAACGGACTCCGTCCGGACATCTTCAGGCGACCGACCGAACACCGGCCGGTGACCGTACGGAGTCTGTCTCAAAATGGTAGTTTTTTTCTGCCGATGTGGCAGCAACTACCGGCCGGAGGTCGGCCGGACATCGGAAGGAATACGGCCGGTACCCGAGCAGGTAACAGGACACCGTGCGATCGCCGGCCGGGTTGTTAACGGGCTTTGAACAGTGACCGGCCGATGCTCTGTCCCACATCGGCCGGAGCTCAGTCGGAGCTCGGCCGCTGTCCGTTAAAAAACCTCGTCCTCTGGTTGTCTCAGATGCACGGGACACCGGCCGATACTCGGCCGTGCACCGGCCGACGTGTTTTCCGATGTGGTTACGATGGGGCTGCGATGACATGATGAGGGAGCTCGGTGAGAGCCCGGTGAAATTTAACTCCGAAGTTAAAATTTCACCGAGCTACCACCGATGCGGTTTTAAGCAACAAACGCCACGGATGTCCGGCCGGTGTCCGGCCGGTGTTCGGTGAAAATTGCATCGCTGGCTCATCGTAACCTCATCGGCCGGGCTATGTGACTAGGCCATAATGGTCAAATAAGATCCAAAATTTACATTCAGTTATGAATTCAAGAGGTCAACTACATACTCATTTAGTAGAGATATTTTATAGACATAAATAACGCAAAATAATATTTTTATTAATTACCAAATAAAATTGGGCTTATCGAGGTCTACAACTTCCAGTTGTGGACCTCGACGGATAAATGGAGCGACATGGTCGTTACATAACAATTCAGATTTTTCATTTTTCATCAAATTGTATTTACCAAATTAAAAGTTATGAAAGAAAGAAAACTTTCATTAAACCTGCACATCGCTCCAAAACGCAATATGTTGACATATATTGTTTTTACATTTTTTAAGCTCTAATATAAAGTTTATGTAAATAAAAATTGTTTTTTCTGCGTTATATCAAAGAACAATCATTTCGTTAAAAAAAATAAAAAGGCGAATGCGGGGTTCGAACCCGGGCCTCCCGCGTGCTAAGCGAGAATTGTACCGCTAGACTACCGTTTTATTATGAATGGTGGAGGTAATTAAACGCTACTTAATTTGAATGCTATGATTCGGAAGTGACGTCACGTTCTTCATTTAGAAACCTTTTCAAAATCATATCGTCGGCGCCGATCGAAGCAATTCAATGAATAATCTTTGAAATGACACATTTATCGTAAGTATTTCTACACAAGATTTGCCCCATTTGTTCATCATTCTATAATCTTTCATTAAGCTCAAAATGATAAAGTTCACCTCCGAAACAACCCAAGATTGCGTTTTGGAGCGATGTGCAGGTTTAACATTGTAAAATTTAATTATACTCGCCGTTTTCCTGTTTCCAGTGGTTGCTGTTTTGTTCAGTGTGTTCATAGTACAAGTACTAAAGGCTGTCGTTATGGCAACCGTCAGCACAATACAACATCGTGTTCTAGAGTTGGAATATGTTGACGTTCGGAATATACAGAACTTACAACGTATTTAACAGGTAGCTTTGGACTTTTTTAAAGATAAACTCATAATCATAATTTCGACATTGCTGGAATGGATACTAAATTCGTTGGCACAACATTGCTACACTGTCGCCATACTATTGCCACACCGTTACCACACAATTTGAGATTTCCACACTTGACATGAATGTAGTTTAAAGAAGGACAATTTTAAATTGAACGAGGTCACATTAAATCACCCACAATTCAAATTTAATCACCCACAATTCACATTAAATCACCCACAATTCACATTAAATCACCCACAATTCACATTAAATCACCCACAATTCACATTAAATCACCCACAATTCATTGAATCATATAATCAATTTGGGGATTTTGTTCAGTATCACTAAGAACGATAAAATTCATTAGAGACTTTTTGCAAACTGGTTTTGCAAGATCAAAATGTCAGATAATAACCATATAATAGGATTAATAATATTAATTATTTATAAATGACCCTGGGTTAGCCTAGAAAGTTGATACCATCCATATGCCACGTGGCCGTAAGTTCTTGTGAAACAAAATTACATTTTCTGACTCTATAATCGAATTAAAAATTGTATTTTTTCCAGGGACTACAGTTGTCACTAATGTATGCGGACCCTCTGCCTTGTACTACATTAGTCAGTAGACAGTAGAGAGAAACCAGTATTGAAATGGCCAGTATTTAAGGAACCGAAATTTTATGTTCTAAAAAACGTCCAAAATCATTAGAATGTCCTATTTAGTAAAAGGCATAACATGGAATGATTGAGAAAAATGGACAATTATTATATACAAAGACAACCGTTATATCTTAATTATATAATTTTATATTGTTAAGCCTAACTATTTTTTAAATATAGCCTTTTGAATGAAATCCTGTTTTGTATTTAGACCAGCTTTGTAGCATGAGATCTGCTCCGTAAAACGATGCAGAAAAGATATTCAGTGGAAGTTTTGAAGGATGTGTAGAAATGATGTTCAATCAGTTAATGGAAGGATGTTATACGGTTCACTTTGAGCGTAAACACCATTGGAATGTTATTGACGTGTGATCCTTGTGGCTAGAAGTAAATAGAGTTAAGTTTTTCAACAGTGTGTTAGGGGATTTAGCCCGGCCTTTTTCAGAAAACATGAAAGGACGATTTGCGGTTTGGAGACCTAAATTCATTTGCATATTTTGACGTTATCAATGTCGCCAACGATTTTCATAATTTTACGTATTGTAGATCTAAATGTCCTATTTTGTAAACTTTAGTTTTAATGATGGTAATATTTTTGATTTTTTCATAAAAAGTTCGAGCGAACCCCTAACGTCGTTTTCATGATTCGAACAACACGTATTATATAATTCTGTTAGACACGATTTAAGAATGTATTGTTTTTCAATATTTTTGATTAGCGTATTCAAATGATTTTTTCATGATATGCTCACGACATTTCAAGGCTAATTATTTGTTAATTTTTAGCAATAAAAAACAGAAATCGTAGATTTATTTTCTTGCTTCTATGTTTCACTTTCCCACAAAGCCCGGATGACAAGTAAACAAAGCCCGGGTGTAAAATGACGTCATCTTTTGAAACTTCAGAAATATTGGTTTACTCAATACCCCAGATGCGAGTAGAAATAATCTTGATTTACGTCATTAAAAATTCACAATTCAGTCAAACTGATGTCATATTTGGAATCTACATGTAAAATTACATTAAGAAATGTGGTTTTGAAAAGAGTTAATCAACTTTGAAAATTTAATTTTCAAAGTTATGTGACTTCTAGGTCGGGGAGATTCCCCATAGACCCCATGTTGTAAAACCACAAAAAGTGAAATATTTTTTCTTGTGTTGGGCAGATAATATTTTCTTTTACTTGACATATTTTAATTTGTATAACTATCAGATACATAAGGGTAATATGAAAAGTGAACCACTAAAACTGATGCATATTCAAGTTTAAGGGAATTTTGTAATACCCTGCCATGTTAATTCCCCCGAATCAGCCACCTGGTGGCGAAACAGCATGCAATATGTTTTCAATTTTTCTGTTTAATCAAAATACTCAAGAGTGCAGCTTTAGTTTCCAATGATTTTTGCTTGATCTTGGATTTGAGGATTGGTGGGGGGAGACTTAATACCTGTTGGCGTCTCCTTCTTTTTCTTGCGATTTTTTGTCACGGATTGAATTTACTTGTTTTTACATCCATCCAACAAAATTATGCAATACATGTTATTCAAAAGTTGGTACGAATCATGACAACGACGTAGGGGGTTCGTTAATATTTTATGAAAAAATCCGGGGGGGGGGTACTGGTCAAATTTTTGTACAGAGGGGTGCCGCTGAGACTCAAAATATCTACCCACATCTATGGATTTTTCTCTAAAAATGGACCCACTACTAGGGGTTTTCTTTCAAAAATAGACCCATATCTAGGGGGGGTTTTTTCAAAAAAGACCCACTTCAAGGTAATTTTTAAAAAACAATATCCACTTCCGGCAATTTTTTCGAAAACAGTACCCAGTTCTAGGAATTTTTTCATCAAAATGGGATCCACATCTAGGGATTTTTCGGCGAAATAATGACCCACTTTAGCGACACGTCCCCATATAGCCAATATATGGGAGCACCCCCCCCCCCCCGGGAAAAAAATGAATATCTTGAAAGCCCGTGTTAAAACTAAAGGAGGTATATCCAGAATTATGGCAATGTCTATACATTCTATACATTGTCTATACTTTCTATACTTTCGATCTCCTTTTTCATACTACGTATCTGCCTTCGACGTTTCTATACTTTCTATACTTTCGAACTGCTTTTTCATACCAACTGCCTTTGACAAATCAGATGTCTATAGTTTCTATACTTTCGAAATGCCCTTTCATACTAACTGCATACGACAAAGCAGATGTCTATAGTTTCTATAGTTTCTATACTTTCGATCTGCTTTTTCCTATAACTGTCTTAGACAAATCATATGTCTATAGTTTCTATAGTTTCTATACTTTCTATCTGCTATTTCCCAGGACTGTCTTAGACATATCAGATGTCTATAGTTTCTATACTTTCGAAATGCCCTTTCATACTAACTGCCTTCGACAAAGCAGATGTCTATAGTTTCTATAGTTTCTCTACTTTCTATCTGCTTTTCCCCATAACTGTCTTCGACAAATCAGATGTCTATAGTTTCTATACTTTTTTATATTTTTTTAATACATTGAGGCAATTCACCAAAATCGAAAGTGACCAAGAAACTTATGACTTCACATATTGTTTTACAATGTATAGAAAGTATCGAAAGTATAGAAAGTATAGACATAGGGATTTCACCAAAATGTAAAGTATAGAAAGTATCGAAAGTATAAACATAGGGAATTCACCAAAATCAAATGTATCGACAGTATAGAAAGTAAAGACATGTATAGACTTTAGAGAGTCCTATCGTCTAAGACTGAAAAAAGTATCATTTAAAAAAAAGCAGTTCGAAAGTTTAGAAAGTATAGAATATGCCATAATTTTGGATATACATGAACTAAAGTCGTATACAAAAGAGGAGATTTAAATCTACAATACGGCAAAAATATGACATTTTAGGCGATATTGATAACGTCGAAATATGCAGATGGTTCTCCTAACCGCTAATCGTCTTTGGTTTTCCAAACCGAAAATCGTCCTTTAAATATAGAGTAAATAACTATGCAAATCAAAGTTGTCAAATGAAACAAAATTATATATATCATCCACTGGTGAAGATATCTAAAATTCAAATTACTAAAATGGGAGGGTGGTGTTTAAATTCTCACAAATAACAAAAATGGTAACAATATATCAAAAGACTATTAAATGCATTATAAGATGTAAATTGAATCATATGATTTCCAAAAGCAACTTTTGGATTTGAGGATAGAAAAGGTATGAACGTGGAAGCCGAACTGCGAACACAGAAATGGTGCTGTGCAGAGATATAGGGTAATAAAAATGTTTTGTGTGTATTGTACCCCTTTCGAGGTTAGAAAAATAAGTCTATAGACTCATTATGATGTTCCTCTCCACGGAAATCTTTAGTAAAAGGCGAAAGATTTATGCGTGGTATGTAAGAGGCTTCAAGTAAAAATCAAATGAAATAATATGGTTTTCACTCGATTGTTGTCCTGTTTTATTGATAGCTTCTTAAAATGTTCAAGAAGAAAAAATTATTATTTTTATTATTTTTTTGCCTTGCAACAATTTGGAATACAATTTGGTATTTAAAAAAATCTAACTTTTAAACAGGTGAAAATAAGAGGAGTAAAAATATTGCTCTAGCCATTGGTAATAAAAAATGTAATCTATTGACAAACACATATCAGACTGGAGGAGACATCTATATGTACATGAGAAAATAAAAAACCGGTGCTATTGTTCGATAGGTTAGAACAGAGACATATAACAACGTTTTATACGTCTCTGGTTATAACAAATGATTTTTATAAGAAGAGCAAAAAACGATTTAACTTTATACCTTCCAAGTTCGCATAGCAAACAGCCAAAGACAATCCCGTATTGTAGGCATCATTATGATTTACAAAGCCCACCCGCCCCCTCCCCCTTCGAACTAAGATTGGTCCCTATTTGACCTAGCAAGTGAAGTGGGCCTCAAAGTTTGAAAGAGCTTATCTGTTTTAAAAAGGCCCAAGCGTTTACTCTCCCGCCCCTCTTGATTTCCAGGACCCGACCCAGGCCCATAGCCAGGAGCGGAGGAAGCGACCGCTCCCTCTTCCCCCCTCGCCAGGAATTCTTTCAAAATCATGCAGTTTTCACCATTCTTGACACTCCTACCCAAACAGAGAGAGGTTGAATTGTAAAATTACGGAACAATACATCTTTCAATTTTGTTTATTTGACAATGAAAAAAGTAGCATGATTTTAGACATTCCTCTCGACTCTTTTTGCAGACGACACAAAACTATACAGAAATGTGACAAACCCGATAGATAGTCAACTTCTCCAGAATGACCTTGATGCCATTCAAACCTGGACTGATAAATGGCAGTTAAAATTTAACACCAATAAATGTTCAGTGTTGCATTTAGGGAGGAAAAACACAGAATGTGATTATACCATGAAGAGCAGAAGTACAAATGACAAAATATCAGTCAATAAGTCAAAATGTGAAAGAGATCTGGGAATTCATATGGACCATCTAAAATTTAGTGAACACATTAAAATAGTGACAAACAAAGCAAACCAGACGCTCGGGATGATCAAACGATCTTTCAAATATTGGGACTTTGATACCTTTAAACTATTATTTAATGGACTGGTTAGACCAAAATTGGAGTACTCAAATGCAGTATGGAACCCATATCTAAAGAAAGATATTGAATTAATTGAAAATGTTCAAAGAAGGGCAACGAGAATACTCCCATCACTCAGAGAACTCTCTTACTCCGACCGTCTCAAAGTCCTAGACATGACAACACTGGCCTTCAGAAGACTCAGAGGTGACATGATAGAGACTTACAAATACATAAACAACCTTTATGATGTAGACTCCAATTCACTTTTCCCTGGCTTACAACCACAGGACAAACACCATACAAGAAGGTGCAATACACAATATCTTCGAAAGTCACATTGCAGTACAACCCTAAGACAGCAAACATTTAGTCAGAGAGTTATAAAACAGTGGAACTGTATAGCAGAATGGGTAGTAAATGCACCAAGTGTGAATCAGTTCAAAAACAGATTAGACTCTCACTGGTACAATCACCCAATGAAGTATGACCATACAGTGGACTACCACTTTATACACCGTTACTAACTAAATATGAACAAATTCAAAAGTATTGATCGGTTAAACAGGCAATTTATGCCTACTTACCGTACTTAACTTATAAACTTAT